CTGTAATCCCACAGCACAGGAGGCTGAGGCAGGAGGACTGTAAGTTCAAAACCAGCCTCAGCAATGGTGCTAAGCAGCTCAGTGAGACTGAGAATAGGGTTGGGGATGTGGCTCAGTGGCTGAGTGCACCTGAGTTCAATCCCCAGTACCAAAAAGAAAAAGAAAAAGAAAAAGAAACTACAGAACAGGTTCCAGTTAGAACCAGTCAGCATGTTTCAAGGTGACCTGGAGTTGCTATGGCAGCAAGGACATGAAAGTCTGTCATCTGCTGTCAGTCAAAAGTCCAGACGTGGACCTAGGTGGGACTCTCTGGAAACTTTTCTGGGATGCCGAATAAAACTGAAGGGCAGGAGGGGAACATTGTCCTTCTCATCTCTCAGAGGACACACTTTCTCACTTGAGAATGTCCCATTTCTTATTCCTTCTAAACTCCCGCCTGCTACTCCGAGGGACATGTCTGAAATCTTTCTGATTTGGTTGCAAGAATCAGGGCTGGTGGGGGGGGACAGGGGCGGGTGTGTCTTTGTGTTGCCTCAGTTTCTCAGAAGCCGGCAGCCGCGGCCACAGCCTGGCCTCCCCAGGACCACCTCCTCAACCACCAGGCGGCTGCGCCTCAGCGACCCCTAGGCTTGGGCTGCTTTGGGGACAGACTTGTCCATGGTGTCCCTGTCTTCCCTCCCCTCTGTGGTGGGCCAGCACCACTACTGCTGTCTCCACGGCAATGTTCCCCTTCTCGTTCTTTGTCCCATGCAACTAAACTTGCGGGTATCTAGGACACCCTGAGGGTCACCCGCCTTCCTGAGTGGCCCCGCTCCACTGCTGGTGTCCTGCGCCCAGAGCAGCGGGAAAGGCAGCGTCCTTAGAACCTGCCATTGGGAGCTGAGAAAGTTGACCCCGGCTTGTAGTTTTGGAGGTGCCAGTCCCAGGCTGGGCAGCCCGCTGCCTGGCCTCCGCGTGTGTGTGTGTGTGTGGGTGCCAGGTGGCCAAGGCAGGGAGCCGACGGCAGAGGGACTGTCCGGCAGTGGCCAGGAGGCCAAAGAGGAGAGGGAAGAGGCCAGGGTCCCTCCGCCCTCCGAGACCGCGCCCCACCCTGAGGCCCTCCAGCCCAGCTGCACCGACAGGCAGGTCCCCAGCGCCCTCCAGCAGCAGCCCCGGGCACCGAGCCTCTAAGGGGTGGCGTGATCCACGCACAGAGAAGACTTCACAGATGGCCTCACGCAGGTCCACGTGGGAAGGTTCCCCGGCTCTGCCAGGCCCCCGACAACCCCCTCTTACCCCGGCCTTACTGCCGGGTAAGGGTCATGCTGTGACAAACTGGGACAACAGTGGTCTGCTGAAGCAGGGAGTCACGAGGCTGGGCGGGCCTCCCGCTCCGGAGGAGGTCATCTGGACGCCAAAGGCCATCTGCGACGTGCAGCCCTCTTGGGGTCAGTTTTCTCACGCCCTGGGACCTGACGCGCCCCACCCTCCACCTGCTCTGCGTCCCTACTCGCCTAGGGTGGATAGGATCCGCCCCCTTCCAGCCTTCCTGAAAATTTAAATGGCTCTTTTGGAATTCCATGCAGAGCCGCACGACTTTTAAAGGACTATCTGGTAAACACACTTCTGACCAACACGTGACCAAATACTTCCCAGATTTAGCTCTGATGACTCTTGGTTGTTTTCAAGATTCATCTATATTCATAGAAGGATTCGCCCTGCGCCATGTATCCAGAATAACTGGTTGTAATAACTGAAAGAGACTAAAATGCAGAGCGCAGCGGCAGCAGGAGAGACCACCAGCGGGGCCTGTGGTGGGCAGGGGCGGCTCCGAGTGTCCACCCCGCACAGGGGCAACCCGCGCTGCCAGCCCTGCGGGGCTCGGGGGAGCATTCCCTCCCGCCCTGCGGTTCTCCAGGTGGTTCTGGAATGTCTAATTCTTACTCAGGTAGGAGCAGCATGAGAAGATTTGCTTCGGTTGTCCAAGATACACCACTAAGCAGAAGATGATGTGTGGAAGCTGCACGATGTCACTAGCTGATCGATCATTTGTACTTGGGTCATTCAATGACTATGAAAATTATAGCTTGATTTTTATTGTATCTCAGAAAACATTTTAAAAATTCTTGGATCTGGATTCCAAAGATTTAAGAAGCGATTTGAACAAGATTAAAATCTGAGAATGAGAGAATGGCTGGTTGTTAGGAGTCTTGAAAAGTTTTGGTGAGACCAGCTCAATTCATGTTGGGGATGAGCCATTTTGCCACAGAATCCTCTGAAGACCCATGTCACACCGACTTTGTTCTTGAGGGAAGAAGGGAGCCAGCCCTGGAGCAGGGATACCGTGGTCCAGTGTCAAGCCATCTTCTAGGCATGTGGGCCTCACAGGACACACTGCAGCATCTAACTTCTCTCCAATAGCTGAGTTGCAACCCAGTGTCCCCAAAGTGGCAGAATAGACTTCTCTGTTCATGTCCTATGACACCCAATATTCTTCCCCAGTTCAACCTACTAGGGACATTTAAGTGTATATATTTTGTACTAGCAAAGGTAGGTGCCTTTATAACTATTGAGTTTGAATTGGACGTAACTGGGGAGAGAGCTGATGAGTGCTGCACATCACGGTGCCCCCTGAACTGGGTTTCAGACGTGGTTACTTCCCTTGACATCAATCTGGAGGAGTCTTCTTCTTCTTCTTCTTCCTCTTCTTCTTCTTTGGTACTAGGAATTGAACTCAGGGGTGGGCACTCGGCCACTGAGCCACATCCCTGTCACAAGCTGACTGTGGGCTGTTTGTGGATTGTGTTGCACGTAGTAGCCTCTTGAGGGGACAAGCCCAGCTCTGCACACTCCCTGTTAGGGATTGATCGCATGACGCAGGTGCGCCTCCCCCTGTAGCTCTGCTAAGATCCCACACAGCACCTGAGGTTGGTGTGACTTGCTAATATGTCAGTCTGCTGACCACACATGAGGAAGCAAGACTCCACCCTTGAAACCTTCTCCCCCTCTGATGTCCCCGCTATAAAATAAAGGAAACGTGAGCTCACACTCTTTTCCAGTGTTCTTTCCAGCGTGGAAGCTGACCCTTAAGGTAGCAGAGCCGTCCTTCCCTCCATTTAAAAACTACTCTCTGCATTGTGTGATTTTTTTTTACTGCTTTCTTAGCTTAACGTTCCAGCCAGCTCTTTTAAACCCAGTTCATCCTGTCTGGGCCAGTCATTGTCAAGGCATCCCCAGCCCTAATTTTGTATTTTATTTAGAAAAAGGGTCTTGCTGGGTTGCTTAGCACCTCACTTTTGCTGAGGTGCTAACTAGCAATCCTCCTGCCTCAGCCTCCCAAGCTGCAGGGATTACAGGCGTGCACCAACATGCCCGGCTTAAGTCCTTTTAAATGGCAGTTCTTCTGTTTCCTCCCCCATCTACCCTACAACTGCTAGCCCTCTTCAGCTGGTCTTTCTGGAGGACAGTTTGATGCTGTTAGACTTGAAGTGTTTTGACTTCAGAGAGGGTGGAGTGTTGGCCTGGTTATGAAAGTTCACTGAAAAGAGAATACAGCTGTTCAAGAAGCGGGAGTTTGGGAACTATTAGGATATTTATGTCCCCAACATGGAACCAACTGGGGACAGTTAGTTGAAGGGTGGTCAGCAGTAAAAGAACACTGAAGAGGACAGAGCAGGCACTTGCATGGTTTCAATCCCCAACCTCTTTTCAACGTTGATAAGATAATGTCAGATGCTCCTTGCATTTCTTTGCTCCCTACTCACCTTCCCAAGCACTGGCCTCTGGCTCTTCTTTCCTGTTCAGGGTCATTAACACCTTATCTGAAGTAGTAGGGGGCAGATGGCCAGGAATGCAGGGCTGAGGAATCCTGTTCCTCCTTCCCCATCAGCACCCTGAAGTGTAAACTGAGACTTGCAGGCAGACTGGCTGTGGGAGGCCAGGCTTGCACTGTGCAGAGTTCTCTTGGGGACTGGACACTAGAAGCCAGCTTGAGAAGCTGGAACACACCACAGATGCAAGGAGAAGCAGACGGCCTGGCCGTGGCCTGCTGGTGCTAGAGCCCTCCTTACCCACAAAGGCAGGAATCCAGGCGGATGCACCTCCCTTTCCTGGCTGGGACCTGCTGGGTGACCCCAGTCTTCATACATGTACTATACTGGACCTGTCTGCCCCATTTTCACCTAGATTTATATTTATCCATTAGGTAGCACCAAAACCTTCAATCTTTCAAGGAGTTCTAGATCACCTCCAACTGAGCTGAGTTCTTCCTGTTGCATTTTGGGTACTCTTGACTCTACACCCTTAGCACCTACCATGGTTTTAACTGCATACATTGTGTGCTGCTTACGTCACTGCTGCTGGTTTCTCCACTAACCTGCAACTTCCAAGATGGCAGGGACACTGCAACCCAAATCCTCTGCACTTAGAACAGTGCCTGGCATGTGGCAGGGGCTCAGGGTAGATATTATCACGGGGACAGGACAGATGTTCTTTCCATTGAAATGAACAGCCTGTCTTGGGACTGATGTCTCATTTAAGGGTAGGAAAGCTTGAAAGATAACATTTAGTAAAACAAAACAAAACAAAAAAATCCCACACAATTAAGAAATGAAAGTTGTCTCTCTCCTTTCTTTCTCTCGTGGTTTGTGTGTGTGTGTGTGTATGTGCGCGCGCGCAAGCCTAAAAGTTGTCTGTATCTTCTTGTACTGAAAGAAATTTATGGAACTGCAGAGAGAACCTAAAAAGCCACTGATTTGAGATGGGCGTAGTGGTGCACGCCTGTAATCCCAGTGGCTCCAGAGGCTGAGGCAGGAGGATCCTGAGTTCAAAGCCAGCCTCAGTAAAAAGCTAGGTACTAAGCAACTCAGGGAGACCATGTCTCTAAATAAAATAAAGATAGTTCTGGGGATGTGGCTTAGTGGCTGAGTCCCCCTGAGTTCAATCTCCGGTACCTGCTCCACCCCTTCCCCCCCACAAAAAGCCATTGATTTGAGATCTAGTCGTAAGTCCTATAAAGGATAGGTATTTAAATCTATTTTTATGAAATTTATTCCCAAATTGAAGTGGCAGTATATACAAAGATAACAGAGCTTGTGATAATTTACAGGAATGTTTGCTACAACATGCACATTAGGAAGTGTTTCCAACATATACATATTAGGTTCCATGCTGAATAAATAATCCCCCCAATTAATTTTTATTTTTACATAAAAATAGAATATTGCACTCTTAACAAGACCAGTTATTTTGCATATTGACTTTTTAGATAAATGATGAAATCCAGCACTAAAAACAAAAGACCAAGTAGCAACCCTATTCTAATAGGAGAGTAATTTAAAGTTCTCAGTAAAAAAAAAATGGAAGCTAGACAATAGCTGCAATTTTTTTTTAAACAAAGCAAATCACTTCAATGTGAATAGGAATAGTCTCATCTCTGCACTCACGTGGACCTCAGAATGGACACCTGGCTTGTGCAAACCATGACCTCAATGTAGCCGCTAAGTTTGAGGTTGAAAGTGCACAGGGCCACGGGCCTTGCCCTGTGCCTAGCTCCCAGCAGAGACTCTGGAATTGTATTTTATGGTTTTTAAGCAGAATATTTTAGAAAGTCTGGAAGTTACAAAAGCAGTTCTGTAAACATCATGTGAACTAAATTTCTGAAACAAATGTGCAAGTTATTCTCAGGCAGGAATATACATTTTTATCCCATGGTAACATATTTTTGAGCCTATTTTGCAGTTTTTGAAGCCACTAAAGCAGCACCGCAAGTAAAATATAGCTGTCACTGCATGGCAGAGATGAACTACTCCAAAATGTTTAGCACTGCATCTTCATGTTGTGTAAGTCTGCTGTGGAACAGTTTTCTCCTGTTCCTAGAATTTTCAGGTGGCAGAGGTTATTAGCAACGCAGTGAAAATGGCTTCCTAAAGAATCACTCTGCTTCTGTTTAAAGGACAGCAACCTGTCTCCTTTACTTCTGTGGTTCTGTTCTGGGGAAGACGGTCCAAGCTGCAGATTGGGTGAGCTGCTTCACCCCAGCTGCATGATGCCTGTGCTCACCTGCATAGCAGAGGCTTCCCTGCACATGGGGAGGGTTTCAAAGCTCTGTAAATGGCACTGCTAACGGCAGATGTTAAAAGATTCACCATTGTGTTTGATCCTCAGTGATTCAGCTAAGGATGTTCAATATCTAGTGTTATGGGTTTTAAGTAAAAATTTCATGAAGAAACAGGACATGTCTGAAATTGAAGATGACCATATTTTTGTTCATGGCTTTCGAAAAATTCTGTTTCTCCCTTGAGCTGAGGTGGCAACCAGCAAAAACTGTCTGAAGTTGAGATTCATTAGGAGTTTCCTCTTAGTATTCCAATAGTCCACAGAATGCTTGGTGCAGAGGCACCTACTGAATTACCTGCTTTTCAAAGAAAGCAATTATTGAGTCCTGAAATATATTATCTTTTTCTCTTTCCAGTTTTTGGGGTGTGTCGGGGGTGAGGGTATATCAAGGCAGAAAACTTTTCAAATATAATTTTTAGAGTATCTTATATAAATAACCAGCTAGCCAATTGAAATTCTATTGGCCCTTTTGAAGGGAGACCCTGATTTTTTTCTTCAGAATACCTGGTAGGAAAACACTTTGAGAACATGATTTAATGTACCACGCAAGCCCTCGCCCGGCTGGCTGGTACGCATCACGCAGCTCCCGCAGCATCCCTCGATGAGGACGGGACTTGCCTCTCAGGGCCCAGGGAGGCTTTGGGATTCTGTGCAGATGAACAGGTGTGTGGTTATTTGAAGGGTGTGCCTAGTCATCTATTTCTGCAGGCTCAGCCTCCTTCCTGCCCTGGTGAAGCCGACCATCCCCCTGGAGTTGAGGTGCTCTGGAGAACGCACAGCTCCCTCTGTTCACCCGGCAGCATAGCTGCTGAGGAAGGAATAGAACATGGGCTGCTTCATGCGCTGCTGGTCCTTCCGACACCAGGCGATCACCGTCCCATCACTGTTCGCTGTGTACAAGTGGTGGCCATCACAAGAAAACGTAAGGCTGTAAAAGCAAACCCCATTGGTACGTTATATTTCTTGACATTGTTGAGGTGTAGTGGCCATGATATAGAAGTTAGATCTCTTCAGTGGAGCAGGGACAAATCAAGTGTGCCCACAACCCAGGGGTCTGCAGAGATCTAACACAGTCACTCTGTGGACAAGTGTGAGAAGCTCCCTTTCAGCGGGGCCAGGAGCTTGGCCGAGTTGGTCCTTGCTTTGCCTCCCTTCTCTTTCCTGCCTGGTCCTGCTCTACCACCTACACAGCACAAACTTGGGTGTGGAAAACCTTAAAAACATAACAGCAGTATAGTTTTCCCTTAAAAATTAAGTGATTGTTTTAACAATATATTTTATTTCCCTGATAGACAAAAGAGTAAAAAAAATCTAACATTAATAAGTAATTTAGGTTCATTAAACTTTAAATTTAGTACAGTGAAAATTAATTTAATAAAGTAGAATGTGAATGGCTTCACTTCCAAGTGTTTTTTTTAAATATTGTTTTAGATGTTGATGGACCTTTATTTTATTCATTTATTTATATGCAGTGCTGAGAATCAAACCCAGTGCCTCATACATGCTAGGCAAGTGCTCTACCACTGGGCCACCACTCCAGCTCCCACATGAGTTTATAAAAGTCACATATGTGACAAACTGGTTGTTTGTCAATCTTGTCAAATGTACCCCTGCAGCAAGCCATCGCCACTGTGGACTTTGCAAATAAGGAAGTAAGAAAGTACAGTTTCTCACCTTCCACGGCCCACCAGGCACACTGCCAGGCCTGACTTTCCAGTGGACCCTCAGGCCGTAAGCTCCTATGGCAGGGAGTGTGGTTCTTGCTCTGGGTTCCTGACAGCCCTGTGTGAGGAATGGCTGCCCTTCACAAAGCCTTGAAGCACCCCTTTCTTTATGTTGGCATACTCTAAGATCTAACAAAAACACCATCACAAATCACAGGGAACAGAGTGGGAGATCTTACCTCACAATAGGCTTATTTGATTTGGGAAATGTGATTTCTCTCACGGGCTTTAGGTCCCATGTGCTCCACAGCCTAGAGGGAAAAGTCATCATGCAGTAAAGCCAACTAAAATGCCCTCCACACACCCTCCAGACACCTGCACATCTGTTTCTCTGTTACAAGTCACCTGGAAGGAAATGTAACTATCCACTAACAGCATGACTTCCAGGAAGTTTTCAGTGGTGGGTGTGGGAATAAAAGACTTTTAACTTTGTGTACTTTCATGCTGTTAATCTTTTAACAGTTAACAAAAAATATCAAAATTGTACTAAAGCTACCTTTATTATTTAGAAATGGGAAATAACCAAAGAACTTGTACCTAAAGGTGATTCTCAATCTAAAATTATAATACGCCTAGATATTATTAAGAACTATATTTCTAAAGTTGCTGTATCCTTACGAATGAAAACAAATAAAAAAGTCCGAGTCCACACTCTTCTTACCTCACAATTCCATTTTCTAGTCCCCCAGCAATGACATTGATGGATATCCCCTCAGGTTGGTTGGAGAAGGCCACGGAGCATATGATCTCTCTGCAGTGCACGTGTCCAACGAGGTCCCCATTCACTGTCCAGAGCCTGAGGTCACTGCCTCCACCAGCTACAACATTAAATCGTCCCAGTCACTAGAAGGTGGGAGTCAGAGCCCAGGCCTACTGAGTACCCAGGGTGGCCCTGAGGCCACACTCCTTGGCAGCCTGGGGCAGCATGGTACAGGCCTGCATGCTACCTGGAGACCAGGGTTGGTGGGCAGGTGGGCAGGCAGTCCACAGTGCAGAGCTGCACAGTGAGCAAACCACGGATCCCTGAGCAACTGCAGCATTTCAGTGCAAACTGCCCAAGCTGAGCACTTGCAGCCCTGGGAACGCCAGGCGGTCTCCAAAAAGAGATGGAAATATTCTGTGACACCATCTATCAGAAGTGACTTATGTGACTTTCAAAAAGGAAAAAAAAGTTGCAGTAAAAATTACCTGAGCTAAAATTCTTACAAAAAAGAAAATCTACTCTTTAGAATATCTCATGCGGAATCTTACTTATCCACGCCTTACTGAACTAAATCCTTCTTTTCAAAGACCACAGAGTAACCAGCTATTTTCTAGTTTTCCTGGGGCTGGAAGAGGCCATAATCGCTGCCCCGCTGGAGAAATAAGTGGTGGTTGGGGCCTCGGGCTGAGAGCAGCTTCCTTTGGGGAAATGTTCTCACACTGATGAAGAAAGCCTGGGGGTGGGACATTCAGATGGCACTGTCTTGTACCTTCCATTTCACTTTTTTATTAGGGCTAACACAGAAGTAGAGAACATATTTCTCTCCTTTATTAAGGCAATGAAAATACTTCATATTTAATACAAAGAAACAAATATTGTAAATGTTTATTGATTTACAGGCCTTCAATATCACAGATCAAAATGCCCATGGTGTGGCATTATTCAAAACAGCCACAAGGTGGAAACAACTCAAATGCCCTCAAAAGCTAGTGGATAAATAAGTCTGTGCATGTGTGTGTGTGCATGTGTGCAGACTACTGTGTGGCATGTTATTTACCATAAAAAAGGGAGTTAGTTTTGATGGGGGATTCAACATGGATGAATCCTGAAAGCATTATGCTAAGGGAGATAAGAACAATAGGTTAACACTGTGTGATTCACGTGCACAGGACATGAAGAGTCTCTAAAACAGGCCAGTTCAGGACAGGAAGTAAAGGAAAGGTTACTAGGGGCTGGGTGGGCATGGCCACTGCTGCGTGGCCATGCTTCCTGTTTGGGTTGATGGCGGTAGATGCACACACTGCTGATCTAGTTAATGCCACTGTATATTCAGAAGGGCTGAGATGCAATTCTGTGTTAAATCTACTCTGCGCCCATAGCCCCAGGGTCACTGCACAACACTGATTAGGAGATGCTATCTGAGCAGCATCAAGACACAGGGACTCAGTATGTTAGAGAACAGAATGGTGGATAGTCACCCGCAGGCTGCGTTTACCCTTTCCTCAGGAGTTAATATCTGCTGAAAGTTTTTTTGTTTTTTTTTTCCCTAAGATGAAGTAAACAGGTGAGTATTAGGTTAGAAGGCTTAAGAAAGTCATTGGTGGGCTGGGGTGTGGCTCAGTGGTAAAGCACTCACCTAGCAGGTACGGGGCCCTGGGTTTGATCCTCTGTACCACATAAAAATAAATAAAGGTTTTTAAAAAAAGTTTCTTTAAAAAGTCATCGAGATGTATATATATATATGTGTGTGTGTACATGTTTGTATAATTCTGGCTGTTCTGGGGATGGAACCCAGGGTCTTATGAATGCTACGCAAGTGCTCTGCCACTGTGCTACATGCATCCTCAGCCCTTTTATTTTTAATTCTGAGATAGGGTCTTGCAAAGTTGTCTAGGCTAGTCTCAATTGTCTTGCCTTACCACCCCCACCCTCGCCACCACGTGGATGCTGGGATTATAGGTGCACCCCATGGCACCTAGCTTCATTATAATGTAACACATCAACTAAAAAGTCAGAAACTTGAGCATTCCTGAGGAACATGTTATTCTCCCTACCTGCTGTCACAGAGGCTAAAAGAACATCGAGAACAGCAATACTCTACTTCATAGTGCCACTCTGACAGAGGACTGGGCAGGGCCCACCTTGTCCAAAGGCACGTACTTGGTCCAGTGATAAAATGGTTTAATAAAAAAACACAGAAATAATCTGAGTTTCATAATTTATTTAATTTCACATCTTATCACTATGAAAACTATATCCCATAGTAAGAACTGAGGAATTATGATCAGGAGGAATAAAACTGCCAAAGTAACTTTAGAGAAGATTTCATGCACATACACACACACTACACATATATAAGTACATACAAGCAAATTTATATTTATTTATTTATTAATGTTTATTTTTAGTTTTCGGCAGACACAACATCTTTGTTTGTATGTGGTGCTGAGGATCGAACCCGGGCCACACGCATGCCAGGTGAGCACGCTACCGCTTGAGCCACATCCCCAGCCCCTATATTTATTTATTTTTAATTTTAATTTTAAAGTTACTTGGGTGGGGCTGGGGTTGTGGCTCAGTGGTAGAGCACTCGCCTCGCATGTGCAAGACCCTGGGTTCGAATCTCAGCACCACATAAAAATAAATGAGTGAAATAAAGGTATTGTGTCCAACTACAACTAAAAAATAAACATTTAAAAAAAATAAAGTTACTTGGATGGTATCCACTAAAGGATCAAGATCTCTGGTAGGTTAAATCTGATAACTTTTTTCCCTTCTTGGGCTAGTCTCGTCTGGGTCACTACATATGAGTTTGGCCTCTCTTTTAGAAAGTGTTTTGTTTGCTTTTGTACTGGGAATTTACCCGGGACAATATACCACTGAGCCACATCCCAGCCCTTTTTACTTTTTATTTTGAGACAAGGTCTCATAAGGTTGCTTAAGGCCCTGCTAATTTGCTGAGGCTGGCTTTGAACTTGTGATCCTCCTGCCTCAGCCTTCTGAGCCACTGGGATTACACCTGTGTGCCACCACACCTGGCACCAGTGCTCTTTATGACTTCTTTTATATGTGTTTCAAGAAGGCTTAGAGAAGTTGAGAAGGGTTTTTTGTTCAATTTGGAAAAAAATTGTGCCTATTACTCTGTACCCTGTTCGCTATCTAGGGACCCTTGGATATCCTACTGTGAGTTAGCAACTGCAGCAAAGTAATTTTGTTTCTAATTCCCAGCTGACTAGCTGATATAATATCACAGATATGAATCACTGCTGGCAGCAGGGAAGTAATTAGCTTTAAAAAATCTGGCTCCCTATGGGTAAGCCCTAAGTTTCAAACCTTGCTAAAACAAGAAAGAAGAGGACTTCATATAAATATCATTATTTACTGCCCAGTGTACCTCTGGATGTGACACTGTGAAAGCTGCTAATGTACAAACCCAGGAAGAACAATTAGCCAACTTATGAATCATCTGCTCACACTGATATTACCTAGGTCAGCTCTAAGTAAGGTTTTCCCCCTGGCTGTGATCATTAGGAAATAAAAATGTTTTCATGACATGATTTTATGATGGAGCTGAGAATGGCAAAAACTACGTGAACACCTGAAATCTTTCATCATGACTGATGACATTATAGCTCCTGAATGTAAAAATGAATGAATGTTTTGTAAAAACAACAACAGCAACATCAAATCCTAAGAGACATCTGTGGCATAATAAAAAATAAACATTTGGCTTTTGTCCCTGGTTCCTGGCACAGAACTCTAGAATCCCTTCAGATGCACTGTCTTTTGCTACAAGAAGGAGATTACTCAAGGGGCTGGTCACCAGGATTGGAGGGCAGGGACTTTCAGACCCACCCCCACATGCAGGGGGGAGGGAGGTGGGGCTGAGACGGTTCAGTCACCAACAGTCTGTTAGTGGGGTCTCCATCAAACCCCTATGGCAAGGTCGGGGGTGCTGTGGTTAGGAGAACACACTGTGGGCCAGGCAGTGTGTGCCCCAGCTCCATAGCCAGGCTCCAGAAGGACAGTGCTGCCATGCTCAGAACCCTCGGGACCTCAGCCCACAGGCTCTTCTGGTTGCTCATTTCTACCCTTCATGGTGAACTACAGTAGTAAGTGCAGGCCCAGCACCCAGAATCAGAAAGGCTCTGAAGACGGAAAGCTTTTGAGTGCTGACAACAACCACAGGTAGGAAATCCCACAGCTGACCTCATGTGGTGGGTCACAGACAGGATGCAAGTGAAAAATACTGTATGAAATTATCTTCAGGCTGTGTGTGCAAGGCAGACAAAAACACAAGTGAATTTAATATTTATAACTGAGCTGCACACCTAAAATATCTCAGCATATATATGTAAATATTCCATAATAAAACACCCAGGTCCCAGGCATTTTGGACAAGGGATACTCAACCTATGCAGGGTTGTACTGATTTCTGAGTTGCTCTAGGGAGTCATTAAATCTGAGAGCAAGTGGTCATGGCAACTCCTAAACTGCTCACTTCCAGTGGTGAGAGAATGAGCTGTATTGTTGTTCACCCAGGTAGTGGTAGAGAATTGAAGAAATAGTTGGTGTTTGGAAAGACATCATATATTTGGTGTCATAAAAAATCAAACAATATAAAAATATAAACAAAGGATAGAGGACCACTCACTACAGACGTGTCAAAGATACTCTAGGCTGAGTGGACAGAAAGAAGCAAATGGTTGTTCAAAGGATCCTTTCAATTAAAAAATTCCTTAAGGGCTGGGGATGTGGCTCAAGTGGTAACACGCTCTCCTGGCATGCGTGGGGCACTGGGTTCGATCCTCAGCACCACATAAAAATAAAATAAACGTGTGTGTCCACGGAAAACTGAAAAATAAATATTAAAAAATTCTCTCTCTCTCTCTCGCTCTCCTCTCTGTCTCTCTCTTAAAAAAAAATTCCTTAAAAGCAGGAAATCATACATTTTCTTATTGTTCTTTGTAGCTAGATGCACTATTTTAAAAACATACACACATGAAAAAATCCTGACTTCAGCCAGGAGATGTATTTTTGCATATTAAGGCAGATCATGGCTCCACTTACTATCCTATACTACTGCCCTCTCTCAGGAATGCCTTCACTTAAGGCTTGTCACCTGCCGATGCTCTTCATTTATCAGGAGTAAAGGTATGGGAGGCCACTGCGCCCCAGAATAAACCAAACGGAGTCACTGGGGCCAGGTGCCACATAATCAAACTGAACTTGGAAGTGGGCTAGTTTTCCAAAAAACAGATTTGAAGCAACCAATCATAAGGGGTTGGACTGCCAGAGCTGGCATAGTAAAGAAATCCTCTCTGTGTGCTCCAGACTTCTGCCAGCATAGCAGGCTCCTACTCAGCTCACCGCAGTGTCTTTCTATTTCATAGGTGGGGTGCTGCCAGGTCACGAGGACTAATAAAAGCCAATTATGTCTTCAAACTCAGTTTACTGTGCTTACTAATAGGAGGAAGGTAACAAAGTCAATAGCTAAAAAGCAGAAGCAAAAATAGCAAAGAAAAACAAAAACCAAGAAAATTCCAATAATTATGCAAAATAATTTGGTTATGTGTGCTCAAATGCAATTTTTCATATATCAGGGAAACAGCTAAATTATGACAATATTAATTTCTGCACAAGTTGATGCCTGTATCAAGGATCTCAGTCTCAGACCTGATTGTATTTTAACGCAAATACATGCAATGTCCACAGTGCTCAGGCCAGGTAGGGAGGGACCTGAGAGACGCTCCTCCTGGAAAGTAACCAGCTGGTGGATGCCCTGATAGAGTGGCGGCCCTATGCTGTGGCTTGGGCCAAGCTTACCTGAATCACACACAGTAGCAATGTCACCTGAGGTTTCACTGGCAGAGACAGCTGTGACAGGGCTTTTATGTCCTGCCAGACTTTGTACATAGCACAGTCTGAAAAACAAAAGACATGAATTTGCATATGATCACTAAATAGAACTATTCTCTTATTTGTATAATTCTTTTCTGTCATGAGCTGTCCATGGGCTGTGTGTGTGAACTATGCACATAGTAGCCAAGTGAGGGGACAGGCCTGGCATCGCACGCTGACTGGGCTGCACCATGCAAGTGCGCCTTCCCGTTAGCACTGCCTGTGATCCCACACAGCACCTGAGATGGGTGTGACTCGCCAAGATGTCCATCAATCTGCTGACCACAAGACAGCATGAAGCAAGACTCTACCCTGAAGACTTGCCCCCTGCCTATGTGGTGAAGAACACTCTATCAACTTCTTTGTGAGTCCCCCTATAAAAGTAAAGAGATTCTGGGTGTACACTCTCTTTTCCAGCATACTGTCTAGCGTGGAGGCTGACCTTTAAGGTCGCAGAGCAGTCCCACCCTTGATCTGCAGAACTTATGTCTGTGTTGAGTGATTTCTTGGTTTAACGTTTTGGCCAGCTCATCTCGTCAGCATGGGTCGTTGGCAAGACTTCCTTAGTATGTGTCTACATTAAGACATACATATTTTCTTACCTGATCTTTTGATTTTAATAGGATTATAAAGGTAATCTTATTTTTAGGCATGTGTTTCATTCTTAAAATTATAATGTAATGGTACTATTTTACTCATACAGTAAGAACTACGATATTAAAAACAGCTGTCTTTGGGGCTGGGGCTGTAGCTTAGTAGTAGAGTGCTTGCCTAGCATATGTGTAACCTGGATTTGATCCCCAGCACAGTACGGGGGAAAAAAAAGCCATGTGTGAGTCGAACACCCCCCACCACATGTGAGTCCCACACCCCTCACGTGTGAGTTCTATCCCCCCATGTGTGAGTCACTCCATGTGAGTCCCACCTCCCCACAAGTGAGTCCAATACCCCCCACGTGTGAGTTGGACACCCCCCATACCTGTTCAAGTCCCACAGGATGCAGGTTCCGTCTCTGCTCACGCTTATCATGATGCTGTACGGTTTGCAAACACACAAGCTGGTCACCTCTTCCGTGTGCCCATAAAGGTGTATCTGAGTCTCCATTTCTATCTCTGATGGCTGAAATTCAGAAAGTATAAAAATCAGCACAGAATATCCTCGTATAGTTACTCAAAAATAAGGAAGCCAAGTGATTCAAACAGCCTTCTTACGTGATCAATTTTTCTCTCATGTGATCAATTTTTCAACCCTATTCAGTTCAACCTGTTTTAAAGGATAAAACTAATAAAAAATTTTGACTTTTTACATTGGTGGATTTCATCAACTTGTATGCTTTTCATTTTTGTCAATTCTTCTCTAGTCTTTTTTCAAAGGAACATATATTTTTATAGTTATAATATTGCTACATAAAAAAATTATTTATTTTTTCTTTTACACATTTTCCTATAAGTATTTTCTTCAAAATAACTGGAAGATAATTTTTTTTTTTTGGTGGTGCTGGGGATTGAACCCAGGTTCTTATGCATGCAAGGTAAGCACTCTAACAACTGAGCTCCATCCCCAGGCCCCTATAAGTATTTTCTAGTTTTGATACTGTTTTTGTAACAATTTTAAAGTGATATAATACTCTATATGGTTAGTATAACTCAGTTTACTTGAGTGTCCTTCATTTATAGGCTTAAAATTGTTTCCAATTTTTCAAATTATAGATAGTACCATAAAATTCTTCATGTTTAAAAGCTTTATGAACTTTTTCTTCAGGGAAAATTCTAGAATTTTATGACTATGTAAAATTATAATTCTTGGCAGTACAATTTTCAAAGGTGCTGGACCAATTTTTATGATGCTACCTGTGGCTATGGGCTCTCATGCCCTGCTCCTCGTTAGGAGCTAAGGCCCGATTTCCTAGGCCCAAGAGAGCACGCTGATGCCCGAGGGTGAGCCTGGCCTACATAGACTGGGTGTCCATGGGCTTTGGCTCTCGTTTTCCTTATCAGGATGCTCATTATCACAAACATTTCAGTATTTTCCCTTCAAAGATCATAGAAACTTAAGAAGAGCAAGTGTAATAAAGACCTATATACTGACCACCCAGTTAAACCAACTAAATATTTTATATTATCAGTTTATTTTTTTAAAGAAAGCATTAAACATTATACATATAGTTTATGTCCTGTTTTATATCCTACTTCCTCTCCCTTGTCAGAAGTTACAGCTGTCTTAAATTTTCTTCTTCTTCTTCTTCTTTTTTTTTTTTTTTGGTTCTGGAGATTAAACCCAGGGGTGCTTAACCACTGAGCCACATCTCCAACCCTTTTTATGTTTTATGGATTTAATCCCCGTGCTGTGCTGGGGATCAAATCCAGAGTCTCACTTAGTTGCTTAGGGTCTCGATAAGTTGCTGAGGCTGGCCTTAAACTCACGATCCTCCTGCCTCAGCCTCCCAAGCCACTGGGATCACAGGTGTGTGCCACTGCACCTGGATCTCAATCCTTTTTGTTTTTCATTTTTTTTAAAATATTTTTTTTAGATGTTGATGAACCTTTATTTTATTCATTTATTTTTATGTGGTACTGGGGATCGAACCCAGTGCCTGACACATGCTAGGCAAGTGCTCTTCCACTGAGCCCCAGCCCCAGTCCTTTGTTTTTCATGTTGAGACAGGGTGTCAGTTGTACCGGCTGGCCTCAAACTTGAGATCCTCCTGCCTCAGCTTCCCACGCAGCTGGGATTGCAGGTGTGTGCAAACATGCCCACTCCTTGATACTTTTAAGGCTAATACATACATGCATATATTATAAATATATTAATATACATATATGTATATATAAGTATATTGATAATATAAACATAATAGAGATACATATTAAGTATACATTAATATATGTATGTGTGTATTAGTCTTTCATATAATGTATATACATATATATTATATATGGGAGGCTGAGGCAGGAATATCACAAGTTCAAGGCCAGCATGGGTAATTACATATATATGATATATATCCTTAAGTATATGTCTATTAATATACATATATATGTATTACCTCTGGAGAAGACAGGATTGACTCATTTTTTATTCATCCATGTGAACTACTGTGATTCAGCAATCAAAATTTGAGTTTTAATTCTGGAAGCTTTTCAGTCACACCTCCTCTAATTCTGCCTTTCTCTAGTCTCTCTTTCTGTAACTACCTGCCACCTCTGGACCTGCTCATTCTCACCTCTCTACTCCTTCTTCTCTCATCTTTTCTCTTTCTCTGTGTTACATTCTGTGTAACTTTTTCAGATCTGTCCTCCAGTTCATCAGTTCTGTAACCTGCTGTTGACCTGGTCATTACAATGAACTGGCTGTGACACCTTGGTGAAGTTACAAGACATCAACTCTGTGTTTCAGGAATCTCATCTGAAAATGGGATGATAAAGAAAACTTCATCCAAGGACTGGAAAGAAGATTCAACATGTTGGAATATGTAAAGAGCTGATACCAAGTAAGCATTAAGTAAATATAAGCTATTATTTTAATTATTTTATTTCTATAATTTTTTTTTCTCATATCTACTTTATTTTTCTTCAGTATCTCAGAAAAAATATTTTTTAGTTGTCAATGGGCCTTTATTTATTTTATTCATTTACTTGAGGTGCTGAGAATCAAACCCAGGGCCTCACACATGCTAGGCAAGCTCGCTACCACTGAGCCACAACCCCATTTTTAAAGAGAACAACTACTCTGAGTACAGATTAATTAGCTGCCTCAAATTCAAAACTGAAGGAGGTTAGTGTTCTACTTGACAAGCTGCAAGTTTGGCCTCTAGGGCCAGTATTTTCCTCAAGTTTTATAACAATATTATTCTCATTCATTTTTGTAAAAAAAAATGTCAGAAGGAACCTAAAAGTACAAACTTACTGAGCTCTTCTCCACTTTTCACTCTGTGACATGAATGACAGTCATGGGGCAAATACAACACAGGGCCCATGGAGTGTATCTGGTAATTGTATAAACTGTGCTTTAAACTGACTGCAAGAGTTACTGATCTTGTGCTGGCTGGGGTTGTGGCTCAGTGGTAGAGCCTAGCATGCTCGAGGCACTGGGTTCGATCCTCAGCACCACATAAATGTAAAATAAAGATATTGTGTCCACTTAAAACTAAAAATAAATAAATAAATAAATATTTAAAAAAATACAGAAATAAGGAAAACCAAGAGCAAGGCTGTTCAAAGCGTTGACAAAAGCAAGTGGAGATAAAGAGCAAAGGATAAAGCCAGTTTTTAAAAAGGTACCCAGCTATACAGTGACTTGAGTGCACAGCACACCTCTGCCCCTGTGGCAGATTTTGGAGTAGATTTGCAGGAAACACAAACAGGAGGGTGAGCTCAGAGGCTAAAGGTGCTGGCTGCTGTAGATATTCAAGATGCACAGGGTGAAAGCCATTTTAGACCTTTTGGGAGTAAAAGCGAGACGAAGCAGACATTCCACAAGTTATGGCCTTCCTCTGCTCAGGTTCCTTAGCATCTGTTCCTGTCACACAGGACCCTGACCCCTGGCTCAGCTCACTTCTGCCCTGTTTAGTCATGCCTTCCTTACATGTTATACTCCATACAGAAAACTATTTGCCACCCTCCAAATCACCAGGCCTTGACTCCATGCCACTGTGGGAGCTGGTTCATGTGCCAAAATGTTATCTCCTCTTCTCTCCATGTAGGAAATCACCCTTCAAGACCCAGCCCAAGTCAGGCTCCCTGCCACTGGATGGCTCCTCTCCTGTCTTGGAGCACGAACTCTGCTGTCTATCCCCTCACATGCTGCCTGCACCACTGTGTCCTGGTCTCTCACCCTGGAAGGGATACCCCTTGCAGACTCTACTCAGGTCTCCCTAAGAGGCCAACTGGGTCTATCACTCCAGCTGAGAACATTTTAATGGCTCCTTAGGTTCCGAGACAGAAGCAATATTATTACCTTTATACCCCAGGGGATCACGGCAAAGAAACAAGGGATTAAAATGGAACAAGCACAGATAAAGTAAGAAGAACCTGGAAGTCACTCTATACTACTTTACAGGTTTCACCCAGCAAAATATATTTTATAATATAACTGAGAAAAGTGTAATTAGTGGGAGTCACTTAAGAGCAGCTACGTATCTTGGAAGTTCAGTGAAGGGCTTAAAACATGTTTCTTCCATTAAGTAATAAAAATTTATCCAGAGAGAATGGGAATGCTTAACACTAGGGTTTCTAAACTTTCAAATGTGATCACCCTTCCTAAGCATTCAGGTGGGCACTGAGAAGGCAGGCAAGCTTCCAATGTCATGACAAACCCTAGACACAAAACAGATCATAACTCAAAATGCTATTTGTCTTTGAAACTAAAGAGCAAGAGCCTATACAATTATTTCCAAATTTTTTCATGATCATTGTCACCAGCCATCTGTGGGTTGTGTGTGGACCATGTTGCGCACAGTAACCTCCTGAGGGGATAAGTCTGGCACTGGGAACTCCCTGTGGCACTCCCTATAGGTACTGACTGCCCAGGTGAGCTTCCCTCTTCCCTCTCAAGCTCTGCCTAAGATCCCACACAGTGCCTGAGATGGGTGTGACCTGCCAAGATGTCAATCAACCTGCTGACTGCAAGGCTCTGCCCATGAAACCTTACCCTTGCCGTTTTTAAAATTAATTTTTAAAATTTATTTATGACAGCGGAATGCATTACAATTCTTATTACACATATAGAGCAAAATTTTTTATATCTCTGGTTGTATACAAAGTATATTCACACCCATTCATGTCTTCATACATGTACTCTGGATAATAATGTCTATTACAATCCACCATAATATCTAATCCCATGCCCCCTCCATTCCACTCCCACCTCTCTGCCCTATCTAGAGTTTGTCTATTCCTCCCATGCTTCCGCTCCCTATGCTCCCGCTCCACTATGAATCAGCCTCCTGTATCGAAGAAAACATTTGGTATTTGGTTTTTTGGGATTGACTAACTTCACTTAGCATTATCTTCTCCAACTCCATCCATTTACCTACAAATGCCATGATTTTATTCTCTTTTATTGCTGAGTAATATTCCATTGGTATATATGCCACATTTTTTAATCTATTTATCTACTGAAGGGAATCTAGATTGGTTCCACAGTTTAGCTATTGTGAATTGTGCCGCTATAAAAATTGATGTGGCTGTATCCTGTAGTTAAGTCCTTTGGTCCTTTGGGTATAGACTGAGGAAAGGGATAGCTGGGTCAAATGGTGGTTCCATTCCCAGTTTTCCAAGGAATCTCATACTGCTTTCCATATGGGCTGCACCAACTTGCAGTCCTACCAGCAGTATATGAGCGTGCCTTTTTCCCCACATCCTCGCCAATACTTATTGTTGTTTGTCTTCATAATGTACCTCTGAGTGTTTGTGTTTTGTTATTTGTTAATTATTTGAGATATTAAGATTTAGGGTGGCTATTTAGGGGGGCTTGGATTCCTCTGGCAGAAGAACTCCCCAATGAGACACTGGCCGTCTTCCCCCCTGAAAATCATTATAAACCTAAATCTAAAGATTTAGATATGTGACTTTTCACATTTTAAGAACTGGTGTGGGAAAATGAAAGCCACTTTCCTGCCCTGACAGGAGGGCCCAGGACCTACCGTGCTACTGGTGAATCTGTTCGTGTAGGCCGTGATCACACCGCACTTGCTCCCAGTGAAGAGCTGGCAACCGTCAGGTACCCAAGCACAACTAGTCACCTTCAAAAAGGACAAATCAAAGAATGTAACATCTTCAAATTGTGAGAAGTACTTCTATTTCTCACAGCTATTTTAAAAATTACACAATCACAAAATTCCAGGTAAATGTTTTACTTGAGAAGATGGGGCAGGTGCCAGATATAATAGCACTTTCTGTAACTTTAAACCAAACATTTAAAAATTGTTTCCAGATCAAAAGGTATTACAAGGCCCCTGAGGTCATCTGTTCCCCAGCAGCTCAGCTAAATGGTCTAGGAGAGGTCAGACCCCAGTTTGAACTTGAGTGCATGTGTGAGTCTCACAGTGGTCAGCTTTCACTTTCACACAGCTCTCCCCTCTTCTTTTCTGGTGGAGAACAAAGTATATTCAACAAAGGCTTCGCTTCTGCCAGTCCTAAAGGCCCTTGAGTAGGAGAAGAAGTAAACATAATCATGAAGCAGAGAAGCTGGGGTCACTCTTTTGGTGCAAAATTCTTCAGTCCCAGCTGAGAAGGTACCATTCAAGCTCAGCTGGGTTCCCCACGTGGCTGGACAGGCCTCCTGTGGGCCCCAGCTGACACCCACTGCCCTATCCACAGCCTCTGACTGCAAATGCTCTGCCCCCAGGGCACCTCTGCTGCAGCCCATAGTCCCTCCCCACTTCACTAAGAAGATGGAGGTCATCAGCTACCTACTGCCTATTCCTCTTCTGACCTCCAATCCCTGTCTAGACCCACAACAGAACACTGGTCCTTATATCTTCAAACCATCTATTCTTGGACCTACAAAAATGTTTAAGTCTCTGCTACATTAGAAAATTACTTTCTTTGATCATGATTCTTCTTTACTCATAATAAATTATGGATCCATTGGATCCACTTTTATTTTTTGAGTTTCTTTCTTCACTAGTTGTAACTATTTGTAAGTACTGCTACCTAATAAATTTTATTCTTTCAAAGAAATTTACTTTAAAAAATATAGAGAATAGCTGGGTGTGGTGGTGCAAGCCCATCATCTCAGATATTTAGGACACTGAGGCAGGAGGATCACAAGTTAGAGGCCAGCCTGGGCAACTTTATTGGGACCTTGTTTCAAAATAAAAATAAAAAGGGTTGGAAATGCAGCCCAGTGGTAGCACACATCTGGGTTTAATCCTTAGTTAAACAAACAAACATAAATCATATGTGTGTGTGTGTGTGTGTGTGTGTGTGTGTGTGAGATATGTCATATATATATGCACACACATAGAGAATAAAACATGTATTATAAATGTATATAAGAAAACTCATTCTCTTACAATTACCATACTGATCCACTGAAGTCTTTTCTAAACCTAAAAGGACTGTGATCTTATTTTTCCTAAATCTTGAAACATTTTGGTATTCCATTGTTCTAGGAATCATTTTGTCACTACTCATCAGTTATTCCTAACTATGCTAAAAACATAAGAACAAAATTAGAGATGATGGAGTGATCTCCTAGAAGGATAACACAATGAGGGAAATGAACTGTGCCATCTTTTGGTTTCCTTACTGCATTGTTCAAAGTACAGAGTGATCTTTCAAGAAGGCACAAAGGAAGGTGGACACACCATTTCTGGAGTCTGCTTTTGGCTTTCACTGAAAAGCTAAGAAATCAGAATTTTTCATTTTCTACCAGTAACAACAAAGAGAAGGAAAGTGAAAGAGAAAGAAGCCTCTTACAGTTAGGAGACTAATCACAAGATGAGGGCAAGGTGCCAGCAACGCCCTAGATTCTCGGCAGTGATGAGAGTGATCACCTAAGTCAGATCTCAGAGTGAGTCTCCATATGGTGGTATTCTAGATGAATTTTTCAAACTGAAGAACAAATGAGCAAACAGCATATCTATTTTTTTAAAAAATTTATTTATTCTAATTTGTTATACATGACAGGAGAATGCATTTCAATTCATAGTACACATATAGAGCACAATTTTTCATGTCTCTGTTTGTACACAAAGTAGAGTCACACCATTCGTGTCTTCATACATCTACTTAGGGTAATCACGTCCATCTCATTCCACTGCCTTTCCTTCCCTCCCTTCCCTTTGCCCTATCTAAAGTTCCTCCATTCCTCCCACCCCCGCCATCCCCATGGATTAGCATCCAAATATCAGAGAAAACATTCGGCCTTTATTTTTTTTTTTGATATGTATATATTTTTGGTTGTAGTTGAACACAATACCTTTATTTTATTATTATTATTATTATTATTATTATTAATATTTTATTATTTTTATGTGGTGTTGACGATCAAACCCAGCGCCTCATATGTGCTAGGTGAGCACTCTACCGCTGAGCCACAATCCCAGTCTCTTGGCCTTTGGGTTTTTGGGATTGGCTTGCTTCACTTAGCATGATATTCTCCAACTCAATCCATTTACATGCAAATGCCATGACTTTATTCTCTTTTAATGCTGAGTAATATTCCATTGTATATGTATACCAGTTTCTTTATCCATTCATCTATTGAAGGGCATCTAGGTTGGTTCCACAATTTAGCTATTATGAATTGTGCTGCTATAGACATTGATGTGGCTGTGCCCCTGTAGTATGCTGTTTTTAAGTCCTTTGGGTATAAACCAAGTAGTGGGATAGCTGGGTCAAATGGTGGTTCCATTCCAAGTTTTACAAGGAATATGATTTCCATATTGGCTACACCAATTTGCAGTCCCACCAACAATGAATGAGTGTTCCTTTCTCCCTACATCCTTGTCAACTGTTCTTATTGTTTGTATTCTTAATAGCTGCCATTCTGACTGGAGTGAGATGAAATCTTAGAGTAGTTTTGATTTGCATTTCTCTAATTACTAGAGACGTTGAACATTTTTTCATATATTTGTGATTGATCATATATCATCTTGTGAGAAGTGTCTGTTCAGTTCCTTGGCCCATTTATTGATTGGGTGATTTGTTTTTTTGGTGTTAGTTTTTTGAGTTCTTTATATATCCTGGAACATGCTCTTTCTGATGTGTGTATGGTAAGAATTTGCTCCCATTCTGTAGGCTCTATTCACCTCACTGTTTCTTTTGCTGAGAAGAAGCTTTTCAGTTTGAATCCATCCTTTATTGATTCTTGATTTTATTTCTTGTGCTTTAGGAGTCTTGTTAAGGAATTCAGGGCCTAATCCAACATGAAGAATTGGGCCTATTTTTCTTCTATTAGGTGCAGGGTCTCTGGACTAATTCCTAGGTCCTTGTTCCACTTTGAGTTGAGTCTGCAAACAACATACTCTAAAGATAAAATGAAGTGTGGTCTCCTGACCCGTTTGTCAATTCACTGGAAATACTTGATCATGCAATATTTTACAACAAGAATCTGGACCATCCCTTTTTGTTAAAAAGACTTAGGAGAGTATTTGCTCATCTTTTATGGTGTTTGTTTACCAAATTTTACATGACACAAATAATATATATTATATGATATATATACCATTATATAATATTACACACACACACACACACGGAACACAGAAAGACAAATACTACAAGATGTTGTGGATTCTAAAAGAGTTGAGCTTGTGGCAGCAGAGAGTAGAAGTACAGTCGCCAGGGCTGGGGTGGGAAGACGGTCACCCTGGCTGAAGGGGACAGAGGCTTGGCTGTCCAGGATGACAGAGCTCTGGAGGCGTGGTGTGCGCCATGGGGTCTGCAGTGAGCAGGACTTCATTACGTACTTGGAATTAGTTCAGTACATCTTAAAATGTTCCCATCTTACACATAAATTAATTGTGGTAATCACTTCATAAAGTGTATCAAAACATCACGTTGTGTACCTTAAACATAAATAGGTTTTATTTATCAATTACACTTCAATAAAGCTGGAAAAAATATAAAAACAAGATCTATATTTAAAACAACCTTGCAAAAACAGTTTGATAAACACTTGTCTTTGTACTGAATAAGATATATCAGTGAATTGAAAAGCTTAAGGTCATTGCTTCTTTGTCCTTTCTTCATATTAAGTCTACCTAATGAGTTAATCAGTAATAGCCAACTCTTAAACAAGTAGAAGGAATTCCTAGTAATAGAAGGCATAAAGATTTTGACTGAAAAATCATGGTAAGTGTCTTTGCTTTAGCATTCAGTTAATGGTGATGAAGATTTGAAGATTTCATTTGCTCTTCTTCACCTTCTCCCTGGAAAGTCTAGATTGTAAATCCAGATAACTGTTGTCAGCAGGGAGATGCACCTGGTCATAATCTAATCATGTTAATGCAAAACACATCTGACTCCCACTGTGCCTGTGTTTCGCTCTTCACCCCCATCCATAACAGTTCCAAAAAGGAGTCAGTGAGACACGCATGCTTACTCCTCAGTAGATTCTGTGTTTCCAGTGCCAGCTCATTTTCATGCCAGCTCTGTGATGATTTATGGTGATAAATTGCTTGTATTCAGACATATATCTCTGTCTGCATCAAATGCTTTGATAAATGTAGCTGATATGTTTCAAAACTAAAAAGAATTCTTATTAAAATCTGAGTAGGCCGTTTTTCACGGTTCCTTTCCTCTTTGCTTGTCAGCTTACTGGAAAACCAGAAAGCAAAGGGTGACATCCTCTCAGCTTATGCCAACCAGTCTCTGCTCCCCTTGCTCCACCACCAGAAACTTCCCCACAGTAGCTCACCCTGTCCCTAAAGAGCTCAGGGAATGCAGGACATCCTAGGGCATAGGAACAGTCTTGTTGCCTAGAGGATGGATGAGAGAACGGTAGGAGAACTTCCCACAGACAGAGAAGGGAGACTGTGCGCTCAGTCAGAGCCTACGGCAGCTGCAGCAGTGCTACGCATCTACACGACAGTTACAGTTGACAAACTTCAAATGTTGGAAATGTTTTCATAACTGCTCTTTAAGGGTAGCATGAGTACTACTCTCCCAGTTTTAAAGAAGAAGAAAGACACCCCAGCTTGGAAAGGCTGAGTCATATGCCAAAGACTACATGGTTAAAAAATAAGAAAGCCAGGAATCCAGAGCAGATCACAGGGCCTGAGGCCCAGTATTCTGCTACTTCACCATGCTGAGTGCCCAGTCCACTTAGGAAGTCAGGTGACCAAGATGGCGCTATGGTTAAAGTAAATGACCTAGTGACAAAGGCAAGTGAACAGGGAAGAAAGCAGTGCCAGTTCTGCTCACAGGCCATTATGATAACCCTCTCAACAAGGAAGTGGATGGAGAACAATAGTGGGTACAGTTCAAAGAACAGGGCAGACACCAATTCCTCAACAACACTACTTAAGGATATTTAAACAAGCTGCTGTGCTCTGGCTCCTTTGGAAAGCATGGTATTTAATCACTATAAAGTGTTCCACAGAATGGTTTACCTGGTACTGCTGTGAGCTCTGAATGAAGTTCACTGGCGGCTCACTTTGCTTACTCTTCAACCTTAAGATATTGTCAGCATACCCCCAGCTCAGGATGGCCGACCACTGAATGTCAGTACTGTTCATGCTTCTCACACCTCCAGGGAGAGGAGAAAGAAAAGTATCAAACTGTCACTTCTCAGTAGTTATGTGACAGCCCCCCCAAAAAGCAGGTTAAAGGCTAAAGAAGTTTTTATAAAACACAATGATTATCAATTGCACTTGATTCATGTTCTGAGACACCATTCCTAAAAAAACAACAACAAAGGCAAACTACTTAAATAACTTTCTAAATGCCAGTGTGGAAAGGTCAGTATAAAAGCTTTTAATGTTAGAAGGAGAACTTTGCTAGGAGAAAAGACCCTTCTATCCAGGGAGGGGATGTGACCCTGTCAGCTGCAGCATGAAACACGGCAGCCCTTCATTTTAGGGGCTTCTCTTCTCTTCTACTTTAACAACATAGTATTGAGCGCTTTTGGCAAAAGATCTAGAAATTGTGACCTCTTTTCTCAGTACTGTTTGTAATTCACAGTTTGTTGCTATAATGGTAAACACAGCATGAATGCTGTACATGGGACTGTCCTTGAAACCTACAGTGCTTTAAAACTAGTTTGAGGGATTTCAGGAAGAGAGAAGTGCTCCATGCACTCTAGTCTTCCGCAGGACTCCTAGCATGTGGACAGCACAAACAGTTCTTGAATGAATCAACAATACATTGAAAATACAATTCACAGATTTCTTTTTGTTTTGTAGGTTTAGTAACCAAATATAGGCATCAGTTTCACAACAAAGGAATTGGGATATACTTATATTCAGCTCCTCTGAATATGAGCTGCTAGAGAAAGGAGCGCCCTATCCTAAGACTTGTGTCCTCTCATTATCTACTAGAACGCCCAGCCTGTGGCAGGTGCCCAAGTAACCAAGTTTCTCATTGACAAGTTTTCTCTCTTTAGAAAACAAATTTCACCTAACACAGCAGCGAATCTTAAAAAGACTTTCCAAGGAAACTGTTTTTTCAGCACCTGTAGGCTTAGACCCAGAAATTCCAATGCTGATGCAGGGTGCCCGAGGGGGACCCAAGCCAGAGCTGTGGAAAAAGCACTTCAGACAATTCTGAGGCACAGTTTTCAAGAAACTGGCTTAAGATCATTAAAACCATCTCAGCTGCCATTGGTTACACGTATAACTAAGCAAAATCTCAGAGCTTTTTCATGTCAGTGCTGAGTGTGTCCAGCTGTGATTAGGCCCCCTAACTTTCACTTGCAGGCTGCAGTCCCTCTCAGTAAATGGCCTCTGGAATGTCTATGTGGACTGTTATGTGTCAGGTTCATGCAATGACACCGAGAGTCCTTGGCCCAGGGTATCCAGTGTCTGATGGCCACTTACTAAACACTTAGGATGAGCCATGCCCTGTGCTAATCATTCCTGTGCATTATTTCTTTGAATCTTCACAGTAAATTACTCTGGGACAGAAGAAATTTTACTTCCCCCATTTTATAGGCTAAAAGCCAGGATGTGAAAAATACTGAGTAATTAGCAAAGCTGGGCACAAACTCTGGGCTCTGTGCTTCCAGAGCTCTTAGCTGGACGCACTTCTCTGCACACATCAAGGTGCTAACAAATCCAAAATATAGTGTGTGGGGAAGTCAAGTGTAATTTGAGTGAACACAGCTATTGAGGAAACACACTGAGAGCTTGGGACTACAGTGGCATAAATAAGATAGGTTGAGAATTATATGGGAAACATCTATATCCAATAATGCTAAGTGATAATACTAATAGAGATAAACCCCGGTGCACTCTAATTTCTTTAAAGGTAAATAATTTACACATCTTAGTATTTTAAACCTTATTAGCAGTGATTAATTACATTGCCTCATAATTATTTATAATACACTAGTGAGAATAAACCACTGACATCCCAGGCATTTCAATTAAGTAGACTGAACTTGTCCTAACTTGCTAAACTGAGATGAAATGGTATGCATGCTCCCTATTCCCAGCAACTATGAGAACTATCCTTCATTCTGTGAAAGAATAAGAGTGAGCCTGAAAGAACCATGGACCATTAGGCACACGTAACTTCTTCAGGTGGCCTGTTCGGCCTGGGTGCTGGCACCCTTGTACATGATGCTGGGGAAGGTTGCGAGCAGGACTTCCCCGAGGAGCACTGTGCATGGAAGGTAAGGTTATATGCTAACAGTGCTACCTGCCAAGGGCATTGGGTCACAGGCTGGCTTCCAGGTAAGTCTGTATACAGCCCGTCATGAGTCACTGTCCTCAGTCATTTCAGAGCTCACGCCTCGGCCTCATAGGTGGGGAATATTTTTTGCATCTAATGAAACAGTCAATATGGAAGGATTGAGGGACTGCTTAGTGGAGAATGTCCTACTTCCTCCCTATCTAGGTGACATTTGACACACAAATGGGTCCTGCTACACAGCACTCTTCATGTGTCACTGTCACTAAGTTGGCACTGGGGAATCAGAAAAGCCCTGATTTTCATGCATTCATGTCTCAAAGCCTACTTCCATGGCTCTCCTAATTCCTTTGTTTTATTTTGCTTGTGGTTTAAACTTGTGGCTCCATCTTCTGAGGTTTGAGATTTGTCTTTTAAATACATCTGTCTACTGTGGGGTTTAAGAGGCCTAAAGTGAACATTTCTATCAAATTGGTAACACTTTCATCCTGTGAGCATGACCATCTATCTTCATCTCTTTCCAACTCCTCCTTTCATTTTAAATGGGACTGCATTTAATTTTCATGTTTTTCATATGTTACATTAAGTAACTACATACACAAGCAGAGTTTTCCACCAAGGACGGAGAAAACTTTAGAAGTCACACAAAACAGCAGCATAGGTGAGCTGGAAACATTCTAACGAAAGATGTCCCCAGAATGATTTTCATTGTTTTATTTTACCTTGTTCCTTGCTGTAAGTCATCAGAAGACAGAAATTTCGGGACAAACCACAGATTGCTCTGGTGGGCAGAGCCTGGAGAGAACCGAACCGTTCTCCATGGGGCTGGCTGAAGCAGACCACAGGCACAGGAGCGCTGGGGGAGCCCACATACTCTCCCCACTTTAAGCCTTTAATCCATGACAAAGGGCTCTACAACCAAGGAAAACGAAAAGTGTGATTTTTTTTTAAATATAGTAAATACAGAAATTACTTCTAATTTAAATCCTAAACAAGGAAAACAATCTGATCATAAGTTCTTTGAGGACAAGAAGTATTTTACATATTTTTACTTCCCTATGTTTAGCATGTAAGAACACGTTCCTTATTTGATTTTTATTCTGTGGCTCTAGCCCAGCCTGCATGAAAATTTCTGGCTAAAAATTCAAAATCCCTTGAAATTTGAGCAGAGGAGAAAAAAAAGTTTACTAAGGCATATTTCTTTCAGGTTAGCTGAAATACCTAAGCTGAAGTGGATGCCTATAGGGGACTGTAATGTGGAAGATAAGCCAAAAGTACATATGAAAGCTACAAATTAAGACCACATGTGGCACAGACAAGCTCACTCAACTGTGAGCTCCTGGAAGACAGGGGCCACCATGGACTTCTCCATGTGCCTGGGATCAGTCCCTCAGTGGATGCTTGTGACTGAATGGAAGGGCTTATCAGCACAGCACATGGAAGGGACTAGAGCACCCAGTCCTCCAGAAAGTGCTAAGAAGTTCTAGAGAATCAGAGTTACCCCAGAGCAGAAGAGGTGGGCTCAAAGAAAGGAAGGGTATAGGGAAGATGTTGAGGGGGAACACTAGTGCCTGCGCGTGAATAGTGACTGAAATACTTCCTCTATTTTTAGTGAAAACCAGAGTTGAGAGGAAAAACAAAAAGGGAAGAACCAGGACCTTTTAGTATCTCTCCCAAAAATTCTGCTCTTTCCATGGTCTTTTCTTTTATTGTTTTAGACTCTATTAATCTTTTATTTTTCAATGGTTTTTTTATTTTTTTTAAACATTTACAAGTTTAGTTGTTTTGCTTTCAACTTTTCAAATGTAAATCTAATAGAAATAACATACTAAGCAAGTTTCAGTGATTTACACACACACACACACATACACAATACCTATAAATATCTTCAATAAATAAATTTATTTATGTTATTTTCCAAATGAATGAAAAATCAGGCATCACTGACCTACAGACTCTCTTCTTTAAAAAAGGCACAGCAGTCAGAGTTCTGCTTCTTCTGTTGGGCCATTACTGGGGCAGAGTGTTTGTTTTGAGATCGGGTCTCACTGTGTTGCCTAGGCAGGTCTCCAACTCCTTCCCTTCTCCGCCTCTCAATAACTGGGACAACAGACACAGGCTACCACGCCCAGCTTAATATATAGTTTTAAGTGGCATCCAGTGGTCTGGAAACAGTGAACATCCCTGGGAAAGCTGAGGAGCTTCAGAAATGCTCACACTAGGACTGGGAGGTCAACATCAGGTATTCTGAGAACCTCTCTTTTTTCTTTTTTTTGGTGTTGGGGACCAAACCCATGGCCTCATGCATAGTAGTAGCAAGTGCTCTATCACTAAGCTATATCCCCAGTCCTTCTTATTTTTTATTTTGAGACAGAGTCTTGCTAAGTTGCTGATGTTGGCCTTGAACTTGCAATCCTCCTGTCTCAATCTTCTAAATCGCTGGGATTACAGGTGTGTGCCACTGCAACCAACTAAGCTCTCTTTTCTAAGTCTTTAGCCTATGCATGCTGAAACTGAGAAAAAGTGGTGCTAAGTTCTAGTTATGCTTTATCACTCATAACTCCTTGCCTCAAGAATCCTTTCTTGTGAATCGCAGAGTTTAAACTTTTGTTTTTCAATTACATGCAAAGATACATGGCAACTGCTTTATGTCAGAGTCAGCAAGAAGGAAGAACACTTTACTGAAATGCTTCTCATCTAGCTCTGGTTGTTTTTAACTATCACAATGAACTGAAATCCACAGAAGTGACAGGTCATCTGGCTGATCCCCGTAAGTCCAAGGACTGGGTTTCAGAGCTGGTGGCTTAGGTCTGAACTCTATGCAGACACCACCTGAGGGCCAAGGAGAGACCCTGAGGAAGCTTTCACAATGCTTCAAATATAGAGAAGTAGTGGCCTAAATGCATGACATGTCAGCCAGAAGTACGGACAAGCCAAACTCTAAAGAACTTGCAACTGAGAAGACATTATTTTGAAAAATAATGACTGTCTGTCAGGCACCATCCTAGGAGCTGAAAATACTGTAATGAGCAAGACAAAGTCCTTTTCCATGGAGTTTCCATCAAGTAGGGCTGTGGGGGACAGAGAGTCAATAGATACAGACAGTGTGTGCCATGGAGCAAAACAAGAAGGGGAGGCAGAATGACAGAGCTGATGTTTTAGATACTAGGGTTGGAAAAACAGGAATGCTGGGGCAGAGACCTGAGTGCAGTGAGGGCCAACCTGGATCCATCTGGGATTGGTCCTTCCGGGGGGAGGACAGACAGCATGAAGGTCCTGAGGTGGCAACGAGGCAAGTTGGTAACACATCCCACTGCCATTAGACACACTGCCAAATTTCCATATGTAGGTCAACTTAAGATGGCTCATTAACAATAAGTACAGTAGTAAATTAGGTGGCATTTATAATTTTAAGATACCTATTGTTAAATTATTTTGACAAGAAAAAGCAATGGATTATTGTTAAAAATAGCAACTATGGTAATGATTTGTAAAGCTTCAAAAACACAAAATAAAAATATGCCTTTTTAACATGAAAAACAACACTGTGATTTGGTTTTAGCAAAACAAGAATGCCCAACATATTAATGATTTATAATTGAATCTTAATAGTTTAATGAGTTTGTTTGCATTTAACATGCACATTTGACATATATGAGCATAAAGAGTTTATTTCTAGTATGCAGATATATTTGAGCCATATTATTATATAAAACTGTCAAAACAAGGTTTGTGGAAATCTTTTTCTCTGAAAATGGGCACAGCTCCCTGTAGCTGAGAGCCACTGCTAATCCCTCTCTAAGGTCCCTTCCCCGACTGTCTTACTTCCACTGGCCTCCTGCAAACTCTTGCAGCACTCTACAGTTCACGTTCTAACCTCTTCTACTGCTTTTATATGAATAACTTAATTGAAGATTAAGGCTTGCTTGATTTTTCTATTTCAAAGAAAAATTATATCTACTTCCTATTATCAGAGGCTATACTTTTTATCATTACAATTTGGGAGGCCCAAGAAATTTGTAAAGTTCCCCAGCAAGTGTAAACCAAAACAGTCACACCTCTGGCCAGTGCTCTTTTTTGTTGTGGTGGTGCTGAAGCTTGAACTCAAGACTGAGGGCGAGCTAGGCGGGGTTCTACCACTGAGCCCCATGCCAGCCCTTAAGCTTATGGCTTAAGATGACAACCAGGCCCAGATTGTGTGTTCCACAGGCATCCTCATGTGTCACTGTACGCCAGTCTTGAGGGCTCCTCTCCTCTTCCTATGTGTCGCACCCTGGGAGGGTTTCCCTCGTAATAACCCTTCTTTGTCTTCCCCAAGGGAGGCCATAGTCTGACATGACCAATTCTTTCCCTCTGAGCTTGAAGGCACTCTTTTTCTCTCAGTGGCACAGCATTTACCACACATAGGATACTGCTTTAGCTGCCTGAGCCTTCTTGCAGGGCTGTTCACACCCAAGACCACGCCTATTCATTTCTGGGCCTCCAGAGCCCACATGAGGGCATAGAACCATAGGAGTCCCATCAGGTTTTGCTGAATTCTACTAAAATATGAGTGACATACCGGACAGGTAATTTCTTTGACCTGCTCCCGGGTCTCCCTGAAAGCAAACTGTACTAACAGCCCCACAGCAGCTGGAAGTTCTCCTTCAATGTTGAGTTTGGCTCCAGGTCTATTGGCATGGGCTGTGTGGAACAGCTGACGAGGGGTCTGCCCATAGGTTTTTATCATGGTCTCTAGGGCTCGTCTCTGAACTGGATCTTCAACTGCAGAGACATCCATTCCAAAATACGTCTGCAGGGTGAAAGAGCAAAAGAGCATAAGACATCCGATGAGCAAGACTTGGCTTGGTGACAAAGGGAAACCACATTGGTTTTATTCTTTAGACAATGGCTTGCTCCTCTCTATTTCAAATGCAAATGATTTAATCAGGTTAGCTACCTATTAATGGTCTGAGATCAGAATAGGAATAATCAATGTCTCTAAATGAGTGAATTAAAAACAATGTATCTTATTTGATGCTAACTAGGTTTGTTAATAAAACAATTTAAATTTAATGCCTGAGAATATCGTACAAGATTTCATGTATAATATGAAACTACTAAAGAAGTTGCTGTCCAAAGTAATATATAATAAAAGGAATAACTGAAGTTAAAATACAATGAAAATTGCAAGTGGCCCCTGGTGAGTAGCAATGAAAGCTCCAAGCCTGTTGACGGAAGGGGTGCTATTTTGTGTTTCTTGGGTGGCCACACTTTGAGGTCAGGTGGAGGTGCTATGTATTCACTCCTTCACATCCAAAGCTGGCAGCTGGCCACAGACCTGTCTCATGTTGTGCATACCCACGTGGACAGTCTAGCTTTTGGCATTAAGCCAGTCACAGATGACTTTAATTTACATATCTGGGTAACAGCATTTCTATAAGCACCAAAATAAAATGCCAAAACACTTCAAGTTAAACAATCTTCATCTTTACTGCCCTCACTCTCTACCCCCAGCATCAGGGACCAATAGTCATTGCAAATGCCTGTTGAACTAGAGCCATTCACAGGGCTGCCTGACTGTATGTACTCAAAAAATCTGATGAGCTCCTTTCAAATTTATTTTACAATACTGCTTCTTTACATTTGGTGCTATAAGTTTCTAAGAGAACCCTGAATAATTATGAATGATGAATTAAGGAAGGTAAAAGGTGTTTCTATATGTCTTTTGGAAAAGTCAACATTTATTTGTATTTAATTGTATGGTAGCCATTATCCTAATATGAATTTGATTCCTCCCATAAGAGGTTGTTATTGTGATTCACACTTTATAAAAGTACACATTTAGGTACAGAGAGGTTAAGCCATCTGCCCAAGTGGTCCCACAAGTGGTAGAGTCAGAGTGGGGATCTGAACTCAATTCTGAATTCAGACTATGCACTTAACCACTACATCACCCCATGAGCTGAATGTTATTCAGCCCCTAGAAAAACAGTATAAACATTATCCTTTTACAAATACTGAAGACCCAATGAATTAGTGAAAAACCTCCTAGTCAGGTGGAAACTTCCTTGCAGCTTCAGCCTTCAGATAGGTTTTTTCCAGGTACTTTTAATGTGATTTTATTTAAGAATAATTGAAAAGGTGCAAAAGTTCCTAACTGCTGTAAAAGTCAGTCGTATTTTAGGATCAAATATGAATGAAGCTCAAAAACTATATCTGAACCCTTCATTTTATACTCAGTGGGATTCAGGACATGTTATTCCAAAACACAGCAGCTAGGCACACTGAATGTTTTAAGCCAGAGAAAGGACTCTCTGATCTTCCCTGCAGCTGATCATGAAACCTAGAAAGGGTTTTTTGACCTTGCCTTGAAGCAGGTCAGAAGACCCTCCTGTGAGAGGTGCCCTCCCTCTCCAAATGGAAGAGCATCCTGAACTCCACAGTCAGGGTAGAAAACACACAGAGAGGACGGAGCCAGTAGGCCTCCCGATTTCCCCTCGATTCTTGCATGAGGCTCAGACTTCTTTTATCTTATCCTACACCATACTTCCCTTTCCATTAAACTCAGCATAAAAACACCGGGTTTAATCACTTTTGGGGTCTTCATTTTCTTAACATTCTTATGGCACATAAACTTCAAATGAGATAAATCTGAATGCCTTTCTCTTGTTACCTTTTTATTCCAGAAGCCTCAGTCAGTGATGGGTAGAAGGAAAAGGTCTTTTTCCTCCTCTACTACTATTTTGTATAAAATTATTATCTCCTTTTTCAAAATAAACTTTCCCAAAGCATATATCTTCTATTGGAATAGTCAATAAACCTGTCTTACTCTCTTTTCCAGACAATAAATCTCTTAAGGAATTTCATTTTATATAACCTTAGAAGTGCCCCAAATAATTACAGAGCAAAAGGGACTAAAGAGAATTTTATTTTTAGACTACTTTTTAGAATGAATCTCTGGCATAAATAAGCATAGGTATAGAGTTGTTTGTGCATTTTAGCTACATTTGTTATAAAACACTTATAAATTTGTCACAACCTATAGAGAAAATTACAGTTGGAGGGGAAGTCCAAGATCAGTCAACTTCAATCTGCTGATTTTAAAGTTAGGGAAGTCATGAGGTTAAACATCACATGCAGTGAATTAACAGTTAATCTCTGTACTTGTACTGAGTGACCCCTAGGCAGCATCAGCAAATATTGTTCTCATCATCAATTGCTTTTTAAACATTCTGCTTCTGGAGACATTTCCTTAAACAGGCCTCAGAAGAACCCCTCTTCCACAGCAGGGTACACCTATCTACCCCACCTCTCCTCCTAACCTCATCTACCCTCAATACCTCTGCCCCCCAAAGCTAGCAAGAGAAAATGTTTCTTGAGTAGATAAGAGTTTCAAAATAAAAGGTTAGTCTATCCAACAACATAAAAAATACACGTGAAAGTGTTACAATTATACTTCTAGGAAATCACAGAAATAACCTCAAGGATATTAAACAGTTTCTAACTAAATATCCAACAGCATACTGGTAAAATAAATCACAGTCATACTTTGGAGTAGTAAGTAGCCATTAAAAATCACATGAAATGATATCTAGTGATCTGAGTAATTTAAGACTGATTGTTCAGGAGAGAAAAAGGGTACCCAACTACACTCATATTATTATACTACTGGAATAATGTACAGAAAAAAGTCTGGAAGATGGTTTTCATATTTCTCTTGGGATGGTGACATCAAACCTTATTTATAAATTTCTTCCTTTTGCCAGTCTGCATGTTGTAATTTTCCTACCAAGGCACATGCAGTGTTTCTGTAATGAGGAAAAATGATGTTGTTTTCAAACAGAGCATGTGCGTAGGAGAGTGTGCCAGAAAAGAGTTGACATGGCAAGCTGACTGCTCTCCTTGGAAAGATGTGCTTGCCAGGCGGCCCGTGGCTGGTGTCTGGGAACCTGGCAGTCAGAGCCTTCCCACCACTGTGCCTACACTGCACAACGCTGTGCATGCTGAACACCTGCTGTCCTCTGGGAGTCTGGAGCTCCAGCATGTGCAAAGCAGATGGTGCCTCTGTGTGACCAGCCCCGAAAGACTCTGGTGCTCAGTCTCTGACAAGCATCCTGGCAGACAATACTTCACGTGTATCACAACCTGTTGCTGGAGGAAGTGTGTTCTTGTGCTTCGCCAGGAGGAGACTGGAGGAGGTTCGTGCTGGCTTCCCCCAGACTGTGCCCCATGTTCCTCTTCCCTTTGCTGATTTTGCATTGTACCCTTCCCCATAACAAGCCTGATTTGCATGATAAGTCCTTAAGTCCACCTAGTAAATTACTGAACCTGGGGGTGGTTTGGAGGAACCTTTAACATGCACCTAAGATATTTCTTAAAAGTTGAAATATAAAACCTCAGAAATCTTGGGTAAAAATAATAACAAATCAGTATAATTGCCAATTATGTTTGATAAGTTGGGTATTTTAAAGAAACAGCCTACCAGATAACTAAAATATTTAGGTTCTCTCTTACATATGCGCAGATTATTGTAAGAGTCACTTACAGCAGGATGGAAAACATTGATGGCTTGAACAGAAGCCTTTCCCTTCTGCTTGTACCCGAACACCAAGTCAATCCAGTGACAGATGTTTTGGGACACATGGTCAGACTCTAGAGCCTGCCGGTGGATGAGGATAAAAAGGCGAGGATCGTTACGTGCCCATGGGGGAAGGTTGACGTGATTAACCCGTTCACCATTCTGACGCACACCAAAATCAAAACCTAAACGAGAAGATTAATATCAATGTTTACTTCCCAAAGCATGCTTCACTCAACGCACAAAGCAGGTCTCAAGAGTCTTGGCCTCAGCGGATGAGTACTCCCAAGCTAGAAGCTCTGACCTTTGCAGTAAGAAACACGACTGCTCGCTCACTTTCTGATTTACGGAGAGGGCTGTGTGCATAAATGCTGTCCGGATTAAATTTAAGATCTTTCAACTTGATCCATGTACCACTTTATACCCACATATTAGATGAAGAAAAAGTAGAAAACCACTGCCCACAAATTCCAAATTCCCATTAATCAAATCTTCAAATGAGATAAGTTCTTAAACATCTGGTCAATTGTAAACTTGATTAAAAACAAACTAAAGCTTTAAATAAGCATTTTTGGGATTTTTGTATTAACATTTAAATGAATTTATTTAATGAATTATAATTATTTAAGAATATTTAGTAAATAGTATACTGTACTTTGAAAAACCCAACCAATATAAAGCACATGCAATCCTAGAATAAACTGAGAGTGCCTATTAATTTCATAGGTATCTGTTCTGATTTCATTTCTACAATGCATTGCTGTCCCAACAAAGTGATACAAGCACGTGGAATACCAAGATCCTTTTGTTACATGAATGAGATCATCTCTGTCTGTCTCAGTCTATTAGCCCAAAAAAATCCTTGGAAGTGTTTATTTAAAAAAAAAAAAATCGTCCTAAAAGAAATACCTTTGAATAAAAATGTTTTTGTGCTACATTTTATGGACAGAAAAGCTAAACAACATAACAGACAAAAATTAAAAAGGACCTTTTGAAAACTGAGTAAGATCCCTATACAATCGAAGTGTTGTCTACTTCTTGATTGTAGATGAATACAGTAGAAAGATCTTTTTTCACCAGTTTTGAAATGATACAATGTGAGGTATAAACTGAGGGCTTACATAAAATTACCATGGAGTGAGATGGGGGCTGTCTGAGGGCTCCCAGGCATTCTTGGAGCAGCCCAGGGCCAGTTTTGGAGGTCCTATCCCTGGCACCTGCAGAGCTCCAGGAGATCAGTGTACAGCTATTTTCATTATGGGGGAATGAAAACATTATCACACTCTCTCAGAAGTACAAGTTAGGAGTGATTTGCTGCTGGGGGCTGGAGCTGTGGCTCAGTGACAGAGCGCTTGCCTCACACATGTGAGGCTCTGGGTTTAATCCTCAGCATCACATGAAGATAAATAAACAAAATAAAGATATTGTGTCCGTATATAACTAAAATATTTTTTAAAAAAAGAAATGATTTGCCTCTGTACCTTCACGGTTGACTAAGAACTCAGGAAGATAGAAAAACTCTGGGATAAGCTCCTTCACATCAGTCATGGATTCAAAAGATGAGAGGCGCCAAGTTGTATTTGTAGAATGAAAAGTTCTGTCTGGAATGTCAAAACTTTGATCTACAAAGAAATACAAATAATATAGTTGAGACACAGAGACTTAATTTCATTTGAAGCCTGTCATAACTTTTGCTACTTCAAAAAGATCAAAATAATGTTCATTTTGTTTGTTCATAGTTTAAGAGAGAATTTATATCCTTGAAAATAAGTATTTCCATATATAATTTGAGACCAGTTCCATTATTTTTCATAATGTACATAACTAATAAGTTTATATCATTTGCTGCTTAATTGATTACTATCATTTACCCAAGTATAATAAAAGTTCCATAAAAGCAGGAGCCTGGCTGTCACTCACACTAGTACATAATGGATACACAATAATTTCTTTACTGAGTGAATGAATTATAAAGAAGGAAAACAAGGGATTTTGAACATTTTTCAACATATTTGTTGTCCATTTATATTTCTCTTTTGAGAAGTGTTTAGTTCTTTTGCTCATTCATTAATTGTGTTATTTTTTATTTTACTTTTTGCAATGCAGGGGATTGAACCCAGGTAGAGTGCATGAGAGGCAGGCACTGTACCAACTGAGCTATTTCCCCAGCCCTGAGTTATTTTGTTTTTGGTGTTCAGCCTTTTGAGTTCTTTATATATTCTGGATATTAATGCCCTGTTGGAGGAACAGCTGATAAAGATCTTCCATTTTATGGGTTCTCTCTTCATGCTCTTGTTTCTTTGCTATGCAGAAGCTTTTTAAATTGATGCCACCTCAAATACTGATTCTTGGTTTCATTTCTTGTGTTTTATGCCTGCACTGATATGTTGGAGTGTTGAGCCTATGTTTTCTTCTAGCAGTTATAGAGTTTCTGTCCTAATTCTAAGGTCTTTGATTCACTTTGAGTTGACTTTTGTGCAGGGTGAAAGATAGGGATATAGTTCTATTCTTCTACATATGGACATCCAGCTTTCCTAGCACCATTTATTTAAAAGGCTGTCTTTCCTCTAACATATGTTTTTGGTACCTTTGTCAATTATCAGATGACTGTATCTATGTGAATTTGTCTCTTGTCTTCTATTCTATTCCCTTTGTCTTCCTGTCTGCTTTGATGCCAATACCATGCTGTTTTTGTTACTAGAGCTCCAAAGTAATAATTTGAGATTTGGTATTGAGATGCTTCTGGCATCATTTTTGTTGCTTAAGATTGCTTTGGCTATTCTGGGTCTTTTATTCTACCAAATTAATTTTAGGACTGGTTTTTTTTTTCTCCAGTTCTGTGAAGAATGTCATTGGTATTTTTATGGGAATTACACTGAATTAATATAAAGCTTTTGGATGGCCAACAAATACATGGAAAAAATGTTCAATATTCCTAGAAATTAGAGAAATGAAAATCAAAATTACATTGAGATTTCATTTCACTCCAGTTAGAATGGCAATCATCAAGAACACAAATAATAATAAATGCCGGCAAGAATGTGGGAAAGAAGGTACCCATACATTGTTGATGGGACTGCAAATTAGTACAGCTACTTTGGAAAGCAGTATGGAGTTTCCTCAAAAGACTAGGAATGAACCACCATATGATCCAGCTATGCCATTCCTTGGTATTTATCCTAAAGTGCTGAAATCAGCATACCATAGTATATGGGCATATTAATAATGTGTATAGCAGTGTAACTGCTATAAACCCAGCTCAGGTGCCTAGTAACAGATGAATGGATAAACAAAATGTGGTATATATACACAGTGGAGTTTTATTCAGCTACAAAGAAGAATGAAATTATGGCATTTGCTGGTGATTTAAAATAATATTGAAAAATCTTTAAAAATGAACTGCATACACTATAAAATTAGGGAACATTTTATGGTTTGTAAAATACATCTCAATTTTTAAAAAGTGAACTGCAGGTTTTTAAGCAGACATGTTTAAATTGAAACTAAAAATTGAGACAATAGCAAGATGATTTCATGTACTACAGCTCTTTTGAGGAAGATTTTGGTGAAGGAATAAATAGAATTCCTGTGGTGTCATTAGTCTCAATAAGTTCTCAAGAAGTCAGAAAAAACAAAAGATTTATTTGTTCTGATGACCCAACAGACTTTCTGTGCAGTTATAAAACACATCCTTACCTTGATAAGCTAAGAACATTTTGGTGAAAGGCGGCATCCTGACCAGGAAGTGGAGCACAGTGCCACTGTTGGAGTAGTGGGAGCCGTAGTGGTAGGGCTGCACTGGGGGCATGGGGTCATCGTCCCTGGCTCCTTTGCGGTACTCTTCCTCCAGATACTGAAAGCAACAAAGCCCCAGAAGACTAATGATCATGTGCTCCAGGCAATACTGGGAAAGTGCTGCTTCCCCTTTCATCCTTCCCTGCCACCCCTTTCATGCTCTTCTCTCCTGACCAGAGACTTCAACCGCCTAGAGAGTCTAGGAGTCTGTCCTGAGCCCTGTGAGCCTGACCACCTGAGCTCACCCGGCATCGTACCTATGTGCTCGTAATTACTCAGAAAACCCACCTGCCCTGCATCCTCCCTCCAGCACACCAGCTCCCAACATCTAAGTGGATCAAGCACCCAAGGAACAGGAGCTGCTCCCATCTCTAGAGAGGCCTGCATTTGAATAGCATTTCACCTTGTCCATAGAGAATGTTTCTCCAGAAGGGGAAATGCAATAGAAATGCAGACATCACCCATTATTATAGTTACTATAATACTGCATGGCTGCTCTGCAGTGTGTTACACAGAGGTGGAAAAGAACATGGTGATCTTTTATGACTCCTGTATTCCCATCATGAAGGAGGAAGTTCAATCAAACATCTGTTCACATCACTGTGTACATCTCCCCTCGGTTCTGCCTGGCTCCACAAAGCCAGGTGTACTGGATCTTTGAGTCCCTTTCAGACTCCTATAGATAGCCCCACTTTCAAGTGCAAAATCAAACTGTGACAGTCACAGGTTCTTAGAGGAATGTTTTGGGAACTGTGATATAAAATAATGCGTGAATATGAGAAAACTGTTTTAGCTGCTTTTATCTTGACACTGTTGTGAAGAACATAATTGTGGCAAGTGAGCTTTTTGCATTTCCAACAGAATTCCAATAATACTAATATCACAGAAAAAGGTAATTAATTCATTTTTACTTTTAAAATTGAAAATCTGGTAAATTTCTGTTTTGATAAACCAATGCATACTTTTTAATTACTAATAAGGTTTATTATATACAATCAATACTTTAATATTGATATGTAAATTACACTGGGGGATATAAATAACAGGTCCCTGGAAAGCTTTATGATTTTTATAAGAAATACAATTATGTATTTGAATAACAATGGATTATTAGCTTTCAATTTATGCCAAAATAAAGGTATTATTCTTTTTCTTAATTCTCTTGAGTTCTCAGAAAATTAATTTCATATAATGATTTCTAGTTGTCAATTAAAGTACAAGGAAATGAAAAGAAAAAGCAATACTATAAATTTAAAATTAGGTAATCACAAGTCTATAAACAAAACTCCATTTTTCATTTATCATAGTAAGAACAGAAGCTAAAGCTACCTTGTATGTGTCCACATAGCGATCTTCTTTTTCTTTGTACTGCACAGCTATAGGCTTAGAGAGATTTCTACAAAGAAAAGGATAATGGGAAAAGTCTGAAACAACTCAATACTGCCAGGACTAAGCTGTGTTTCATTCTGGGAGTAAACAAGGGATCCACAAAATGCTTGGCCCTTATTTTATGCTTACACGTGTTGCTTTGCAACCAACAGTCACCACTTAAAACTATGGCTGTTTAAACAACTAAGAGAATTCTTCATCAAGTCTGTAATGTATTAGAATTCCTAACTCATGTGTAACCTCAACAAGAAGAGCTACTCCCCCTCCTTCCTCAGCCTCCCCAAGTCATAACTGTTGCTGCCCATGGCAGCTGGTTTTGTCAATCCCTGAAAGTTCTTGTTCCATTTTCCAGACTCTACATGAGTCAGGCAGAATAGAGTAAAGGGATGTTTGGACAGAAATTATGATCATGAGGGGAGGCTATGTAATTATGAGCCTAGTTAGTAAAAATTGAATATATGATATATGCTTAAAATTACCAAGTTGAGATTTGGAATGAGTACTGCAATAAATATCATGCAATCTAATCAGGAGTTGAGGGATGCACTGAGCACAGTGAGGGTATGCGTGCACACATGTGACTGTGCAGTGTGGGTGTTCCCCCTGGCTGGATACCATATGCTGCCATTCTTGGAAGCGAGAAAATGCCAGGACCATGTCCTCACTTTTCCATGCTTTAGAATCCAGTGGCATCCTGTGTGGCCCTTGAAACAGTCAGAGAAACAACTCTGATGAGGAGGGACAGGCTGTTCTGGCTGGGGGCCATCTGGTCTGACACAGGGATGGGATAACTGGGGTTTCATCATCTGGTACTGTAACGAGGTCAGCAGCAAGACAAACCTCAAGTTCAGTAGGTCAAACCAGTTCTGCTTACGAGATACAGAAACAGCCATTTTTTTTTTTTGGATAAGTTATTATTTCCTAGGGATATGAAACTTAGAAATATTAAATGTTAATTCTGTTAAGGCTTTTCTATTAAAAAACTTGGTCAAAAGTAAGAACAGTTTTATAGAATAGATATGATTTCACATCCCAAAATCAGAGAAAATCTTGTTTAAGATCCTGGCATGTGGGGCTGGGGCTATATATAGCTCAGCAGTAGAGTGCTTGCCTAGCACATGTGAGGCCTGGGTTTGATCCTCAGCATCACATACAAATGAATAAATAGAATAAAGGTTTTTTAAAAAAAAGATCCTGGTATGTAATTTATATTAATTGTTGTGACTGACAAATCAGAAATTATCATTGAGTAAACAGAATAAACTAAAAATCAGTTGCAATACTACTACTTACAGGTAATTATTTTCATATATACTTGCTCAGATTTTTTTTATTGATCTATATACATATTTACTGCTTTTTAAAGTAAAAAAATTCAATGCTGATAATATAATATTTTATATATATATATAGTATTGGGGAACCCTGGGGAACTCCAAGCTAACATCCTAGCCCTTCTGAATTTTGAGACACAGTCTCACTAAGTTGCTTAGGGCCTTGCTAAGTTGCTAAGTCTGGCCTCCAACTTGCAATCTTCCTGCCTCAGCATCCTGGGTCACTGGGATTACATGTGTGTGCCATTATGACTGGCTATGGTATTATTTTAATAGCTATAACATGTAACAATCAAATTAAACCTAGTGTTGGGCATTTAGTTTTCTTTCTAAATTTTAGCTACTTTGAAAAAAATGATCTGAGGACTATACTTGTGGCTAAATCTTTGCAAGCAGAACCAGATGCCAAAAAATGCAATGATCCAGGCAAACGTGGTTCCTAGGTTCATGAAACCTATGGCTAGTGGGACTCTTTGTGGTAGAGCCCCCATCCTTCAGTATTTTCTAAGAAAAAATTCCTAGAAGTTAAATTGCTATACAGAATATGCACATTTTAAGAGTTCTCTGGATAGATATTGTCAAACTGCCTTTTAGAAAGAGCATATTTCTTCATACCAGAAATGTATAAAATGTTTAAATGTCACTGCAGTGTATAAAAACGCCATTTGCTCTTTTTAAAATTGACAATGTGTTAAAATGAACCCAATTTCTTGAGAACTGCCTGAGTCAGGCCCTCCCCCTTTTTTCTGGCAGTTATAATTAAGATAGGTTAATATACCAAGTGAAATATTTGGAATAAAATTTTCCTTAAATTACACAAGAGAAAAAAATTTCAAGCTAAATAAACAAAGTATTCTCTCATGAACTAGGCCTATTTTGGTTACTATAAAATACAGTTCATTTAGGAAAAGCAGAAAAATGCTGAATTCTTGTCCTTTAATTTTCAAATTTCAAACTAAGAAATTGATGCTCTATTAATCACCAATGGACCAATGAGGTTTATTTTGTTTTGTCTTGTTTTCCTTTTAAAAGATATAAAAGATATAATAAAATTAAATATTCCTAATACGAAGATCTGGAATCTGAAATGCTCTAAAATTTAAGACATTTTAAGCATCATACTAAAAAATCAGATTTGGAGCATTTCAGATTTTTGGATTAGGGATGCTCAACTGGTAAAGGCTATGCAAATCCTAAAGATGTCAAACACTTCTAGACTCTAGCATTTCAGCTAAAGATACTTAATCTGGGTAGTTAGAAACTTAACCTATGTTTTCATTTCAATGTATTTTTTTTTTATTGGTTGCTCAAAACATTACAATAATCTTGACATACCATATTGCATACATTTGATTCACGTGGGGTATGAATTCTTATTTTTACCACGTGTACATATTGCAGGATCACATTGGTTATACATCCACGTTTATACATACTGCCATACTAGTGTCTGCTCAATGAATTTTAATTGCTTGCAGTCGTTCTTTCTGATTCTTAGACTGTCCTATCTTTGATAATGAGAGCCACTTCAGTTTGCTTCTGTGCGCTTTGACAATACAATATTAGTTTTTTTAATTCTCTGGCACAACAAAATATCATAGGTTTATCTTGTACATTTTCTTCTAATTTATGAGAAATGAGAGAATAGGAAATCACCATTTTGCCATCCCTAGATTATAAAGATTTTGTAACTCATAATTGTTGAATTGGGGTGATAAGAATATGGGGTTTTATTATATAGCCATTTTATATTTGTGCCTGTTTGAATTTTTTTAATAAAAAAAAATCTTAGTGACATAAATACCATGTTTGGATGAAATCAAAAGGGGATGATACTTTTACTCACCTATAGATAGAGGGGTCACTGAGGTCCAGGGTCTCACTAATATAGTCAGCAAGTATAAATGGGAACACTGGGTACTGCATGAGATCATTGAAGGATCGGCCAGCATGTTTGTTTAAGTGAGTCAAATATTCAAAATTGGTAATTTGTCCAGTATACCACAGGTTTGTCAGAGCAGTAATGTTGCCATATTCCAGAAGGTTTGGTAGGTTATTTGTGAGTATACTGTGGTACACATCATCGCGAACCTAAAAGGGAAGGATTAAAAAAAAAAGACCCAGATATTGTTTAGGCTATTGACACCCTTTCCCCACAAAGAACCATGACATTAAAAACATGCTACCAATCCCAAGTCCTCCAAGAAAAAAAGTTTTCTTCAATAAAATGAACTGGTGGAACACTGAGATTCAGAGTAGGTCTTCCTCCAGAGGCAGGGCTCTTAGCCATTATGCTTTGCTGCTAGAAAAATCTCCTAATAATTATCTGTTAATAACTTCTAAGGAAAACCTGTGCAGGAAAGTGCCCTACATAAAGATACTGAAATGTCAATAAGAAAAAAGAGTTTCCTTTTGGATAAACATGACATGGTGTATTAGGAAGGGCAAGGCTCTGCACTGGATTCTTGAGCCAGTTTAGAGTCTGTGATTCTGCTTAGACTTGGTGCTGAGTTATATCTGTAATGTGGAGTGAAAATACTTCTCTCTTAAAAATCAAGTGGAATATCTTAGGTAAATGGGATTTCCAGTACTGAATGAAAACAAATATGAACTCTTTTTTGTAGAGATTCACAAAAGTTCTGTCACAGTAAAAGAGTATTATGATTCTTCTAAACCAGTTAAATGATAGTTTGTAATGCATGGGAGGAAAAAACCCAGAAAACCAAGGTTTTGCTGACAACATGCAAAATACTCATGGTAAATGCTCAGGCATAGGAAGAAGAGCCACAAGGCGGGAGAGTGAGAGATAGAACTAAAAGAAAGTGACAACAATGAGAAGCTGTGGCTGTAGTTTTGGAACAGGCAGAACCAGAGTTTAATAACCCAAACTTGTAGCTTAAATCTGAAGCTTGGGCTGGGCTGGGGCCTAGTGGCAGAGCACTTGCCTCACATGTGTGAGGCAGTGGGTTGGAGTCTTAGCACCACATATAAATAAATGAATAAAATAAAGGTCCATCAACAACTAAAACAAATAAAAAAATCTAAAGCTTGCCAAGTCACCATGGATGGAACAGAGAGGTGAGGGAGAGAATGGTGGAAGATGAGGTCAGAGAGGTAACAAAGTACACATTATTCAGGGCTTCTTTAGGCTACTGTAAGGGCTGAGTGACATGGGAAGTAACTGGAGGGTTTAGAGAAGAACAACAGCATGACCCAACACACTCCAGCTGTTGTGTCAAGAGCAGTCTAGAGTGGAGTGTGTATGGAAATGGGGAGACCAGTTAAGAGGCAGAGAAGATAGAGGCTTAGACCAGGATGGTACCAGAGGAAGAAAATTCTGGATGTATTAAGAATAGACATGGAGATGAAAGAACTGTAAGCCTAGGATAATCTCAAGGATTTTGGCCTGGATGTCACAGAGATGGTTGCCAAATATTCAGATGGGGAAAGCTAGGAGGTAGTGGTGGAGCAGGGACTTTAGAGGTTCATTTTGCTACATGTTTCATTTAAGATGCCAATCAGTAACTTCCATATGGAGAGGCCAAGCTGGGAGTTAACATGTGAGTGTGTCACTTATGTGTTGAAGATAAAGTTGTAAGGTACTAAGGTACTGAGAATAAGTTGTAGATCATTAGGATGCAGAGGGCATTTTAAAGCCATAGATTGGAGGAAAAGAGAAGAGGCCTGAAGAATGAGTCCTGAGACACTCCAGGAAGGATCTTCAAATAAGACTGAGTAGAAATGGCTGGTGAAGGAAAAGAAGAATCAAGAGGAAGTGGTGGCCCAGAAGCCCAGAGAAGGTTTTCATTAAGAAGAACAGACCAATTACCTGCATCAATCACTGCGGACAGCCCAGTAAGATGAGGACCAGGAAAAACAAGCATAGGGTTTAGCAGCATGTCGGCCCTAGTGGCCCTGACCATAGTGGAGAGAAGGAAGCGACTACAGCATTTCTGCAAGGGAGGACTGGAGGACAGGTGCCCCAAGTGCCCCAGGGGGTTCTCTATAAGGAAAGCAGAGAAACAGTAGCTGAAGGACGTGGGTCAAGAGAAGGCTTATCCAAGATGGACAACTGTAGCACTAAGAAAGCTGAAGTACTTCTTTCAGTCATTTTGGGGAATCCAAATTTAATGCAATTTTGGAGGTCAAAAAGAATGCTCATACAACCAAGGGTTTACTTTAACTAGGACTAAGAAATAAGACAAAAAAAAAAAAAAATACGGGGCTTTCAGAACAGTGAGCTGAAGGTTAAATAAAATAAACTTTCACATAATCATTAAGAATAGAGATATTGGTCTTGGGATCACTTAAACAGTATAAATCTATTTATAAAGTTGGATTTACCTTGGTGTTATCGAATGCTAGCAGAAGTGTCCTGCCATTTGTTAAAAAGATTTCTACAGCATTATCTCTCAGTTGCCACCAACGCTTGTGAACTTCTTTAATTTCCTCATATGTCCAGGAAAATGATGCTGGTTCCAACTCTCCCTGCAGGCTCTAAGACAAAAGAAATAGAAGTGTTTGCTTTACATGAAATATAAATCAGAATTTTAATTAAAAAAATTTAAAAATATCAACATGAAATAAAAAATCCTTCTTTTGTGGCAAAATGAAAGATAAGATGAATACTCTCCCACTATAAATGCTAGATAAAACTTAGGAATAAAAAAAATTTAAGACTTCTTTTTAGGTCAGTTTTTTTTTTTTAAAGAGAGAGAGAGAGAGAGAATTTTAATATTTTTTTTTATTTTTTAGTTATCGGCGGACACAACATCTTTGTCTGTATGTGGTGCTGAGGATCGAACCCGGGCCGCACGCATGCCAGGCGAACGCGCTACCGCTTGAGCCACATCCCCAGCCCTAGGTCAGTTTTAAACTTTAAAAAAAAAAAAAAAAACTGAGCAAGTGAGTTCCCATGTGCCCCCTCCCCTAACACCACAGCTGCTTGCACTCAGTTTTTCAGCTATTAATATCTTACATTGCATGTGGAATACTCATTATAATTAATGAACTAGTATTGATTCTTATTTTTACCTGAAGTCTTCAGTTTATATGAGGCTTCATCCTTGGTATACATTCTTGTAATTGGCAAATGTAAAGTGAGATATTGAGAACAATTCACCATTAAAGAAACATTCAGAACAGTTTCACTGCCCTAAAACCCTTCTGGCTTGATCTATTCATCCCACCTAACACTGGCTACCACTGAGCTCTTCCCTGTTTCACTTTTTGGAGAATGTCATATAGTTAGAACCATAACTATGTAGTCTTTTCAGGTTAACTTTTTTTGCTAAGCAAATCTTTTAAATGCATAGCTGAGCCTAAAAGAAAAGAAGGCAAGTGAAATCCCCAGAGGGGGAAAAAAAAGAGCAGAAGTCACACTTTGGCTGCCTGGTTATGTGTGTGTTTGCAGGTATACACATGTATGCACAAATCCTGGTTCCAGAAATGAAATGAATGAACATCTATAACATACAAAAGATGAGGCCTGTGTTTTCTGGAATCAGAGTGTTGAACAGAGACTCTTTCAGAAAGCTAAAATCCATGACCAGACACATTCCCAGCAAAAGTACAGACGAAACCAGTGTGCCTATCAATAAAGAATACCAGGAAGTGTCCCTCCTTGGTCTGAGCTGTGTGGAGAACAGAAGGAGGCTTCTGAGAATTCAGACGCCATGCCCACACATGGGTCTGAGTCAAGTAGCCTGTCTGAGTGGCCTGGAGACCTCCAAGCTGTGAGACGCAGCTCCCGTGCTCAGAGCCATCCTACAAAGGCAAACCAGGGTCTCTGGAGGAACACTGCTGTGACTAGTGTGGCACTCTCGCAGATCAACACCCACCAGAGCCAGGGACCCTTCCCACTTGCCTGGGGGAGACTGAAAAAGTGACCCCTGGAAGGCCCTAATCCTAGCCTGCTCAGACAATCCCCCACATTCTGGAATTAGAGGTGGGGCCATGGGTCCTACACATCATACCATTACTGTCTCCTTCCAAAGTATAAAACCAAGAAAAACTGAAACAATGTGAGTATAATAGTTTATAAATTAAAACTGAATACATGAATTGTTACTCAATGCTTGTAATAGAGAAATCACAAAAAATGTTTGTAATTAAAGTATAAGACTTTATATCCTCAAATAAAGTGCCTCCTAGTTTTCCCCCTATTAATTTTCACTTTTGGAAAACTACGTTTGTCTACTCCTTTTGTGTTGGCCAACAGGAAACTCAGAGTGAAATTTAGAATTCAATTGCAATTAATATTTTACACCAAGTTCTCTATTTTCAAAAGCATGTTTAAATTTTTAAAATTTGAATTGCTATATTCTGTGTTTTCCCTGGGTCCCAAATAATTTTTAGAATAGAGTCAATACATTATAAATAAAATAAAAAAAATTAATGAAAGCATAATATTCTCAAATTTAAATAAAATTCCTCTTTGTTTAGCTTCAATGTCAATTCAATTCAACACACACAACTAAACATTCTTGTGCAAGGTACTTGTTAAGTGCTCTGCGTGAAATCAAACTGTACAAATGCTTAAATGCAAGATAGTAAATGTCATATAGGATGAAATAATACTATAAAAGCACAGAAGAAGGAAAGGTCCTTCAAGCTATCAAAAGGCAAAGGCATTTTTTAGAAGTCTTTAAAAGAAGGAAAATGTCATTTATGGACACAGGAAAATGTGATCTCATATATCAACTATTAAATTATTTGGTTGATAAAAAGATACAACTTGAAAAATAAGTATACTTTTACTAACTGGGACAAACCCTGAGTTAATTTCTATATAAATCAGGAAAGAGTGCCTCTCAATTTGGGGGACTACATTAAATATTTTCTTGACTTTTTCACATTATTGGTTTTATAATCAAATTTGATGTTTTCATGAATTAATTACATTAAAAATATAGTCATCATTAAACCATATGTAATCTTATTTAATAGCCTTAGAAATTCAAGGCTTTAGGATTTTTCTAAAACAAAAACTCTTATTTCTCTTATTATAGGAATCTCAAAAAATATTTTAATGGTATACAAAGTAATTCAAATGGATTAAAAAGACTTACTATAGGAAAATATGAATTAAGAGTTCTTTTTTTTTTCTTTGGTATTGGGAACTTCTGGGCACTTAAGCACTGTGCCACATCCCCAGCCCTTTTTTTGTATTTTATTTAGAGGCAGGGTCTCACTGAGCTGCTTAGCTCCTTGCTTTTCACTGAGCTGTCTTTGAACTCATAATCCTCCTGCCTCGGCCTCCCGAGCTGCTGAGATTACAAGCGTGTGCCACCGTGCCTGGCTTAAGAGTTCTTTTATTTATTTTCTAATTAAGATCAGTATTTCTAGAAGAATAAGCTACGTGAATATCAGGATGACTTAAGTTATTCAATTACACAAAATTTTTCTTTCTTTTTGAAGGCAAAGGTACTTCATAGTAAATTGGGAGTGGTGGGGAGTAGCTACTTGTGGCTAACCAAGGACACTGCTGAGACAGAATGGACATAAGCTGAAGTAAGAGGAGCACTTTAGAATATGACACATAATAGTAACTGCTGAGAGACAGAGGAGATGGCACAATCTTCTTTTTAAAATTATCTTTTAAAAATGTTTGTCATTCAGATTAATCTACACACGGAGTGACAATGGATAAGCCGTAATAGTTCTGCCTGCTCTCTCATAATGGATTATATATTTTTGAAATTTGTTTAGGCTTAATGTAAGTGAAAAGTAACTTAAGCCTCTACTCACCGAACTTTCAACTGTATCAGAAGCATTATCTTCCACAAAATACATTCCACATTTACCTGCAGAGTAAGAGTTTACAAACGTACACACACTGTTATCAGATATGATTAAAGCAGTACTTCTGGAGTCCTTGGGCTTGACTTTGAACTCTACATCTAGACATAGTTCCCAGCACTCAGTAAATATTTTTAAATGGTATCCATAAGATCTTGGGCAAGTTACTTAACCTCAATGTGTCTATTAATAAAAAGATGTGTATGTTGGGGAGGAGGCTGTAATTTATAGAATTATTGTGAAAATTAAATTAAAATATATAAAAATGCTTATCAGAAATGTCTGGCACTTAACACTACATAAATATTGGCTATTTATTATTATAATTATACTTTTTATATTACAAGCACATTGATTTGCTTTGTTTTGTCACACACTAATTGAAGTCAAGGGGTAAACCAAATTTTCTAGCAAAAGAGGATTAATAATAATCCTTAGTTGTTTTAACGATTGAAACATTCAATAGAGCAAAATAGCTCCCATTTTTTTCTGCTTCCTAGGCTGCCTGTTGCTAACACATACCATGTTTTAAAATGTTAGGAACTTCCCTGGGGCTCTGCTGCCAGCACGCTGGTCACCCTTGAGTACTGGGAGCCCATGCAGCAGTGGCATAGCTGGCTCTGAGAAGGATGGTATCTCCATCCATGGGATGGTGGGGCTCAGTCCCATCGAGCTCAGAGCTCCATCTTGGACCATGGAGGTTGCAGCTTTTTCAAATTTGAGTGTACATTAGAGTCACAGAGAACTCATTCAAACACAGACTCCACCCTCCACAGAGTTTCCGATTCAGGAGTTCTGGGCTGGGGACCAAGAATGCATTTCTAGTAAGTTCCCATGTGATGCTCCTGCTGCTGCTGATTTAGGACCAGCTTTGAGCACAGCTGGCTGACAGCATACATACGGGCTCTTTAAAGGAATAGAGACCAAGTATTTATAACTATTTCTTCATTTCTTGAGGGAAAAAAAATCCCCATCAAATTTAACTATAAAAGTATTTATGAGCTAACAATCTTGGCTTTTCTCTCGGAAGCACAAGAAAGAATATAAATTATGAAAAATATCAAGGTATATAATATATATGTCTTATGTATAAGTGTATCTGTTAAAATAGTAGAAATATAAGTATACCAATATATTTTTATTTTAAAAGTCTAAATTGGTATATTGTAAAAGGAATGATTAGATTAAAAATGTGCACATATAAAGATATCAGATTAATTAAAATTAAAATTTTAATTATGTGTTTTCAGAAACCAAATGTCATCTCCCTCCCTCTACCTTCTTCCCTTCCTCCCCTCCTTCTTTCTTTCTAGTTCTGGGGGTTGAGCCCAGAGGTGCTCTACCACTGAGGCACACCCCCAGCCTTTGGATTTTTTATTTTGAAACAGGACCTCACTAAGTTACCCAGCCTGGCCTATACTTGTGACCCTACCTACTACCTTAGCATCCTGAGTGTATGTGCTGCTGTGCCTGGGCAAGATGTAATTTCTTATAATTTATAAGTCATAAGCTTTATAGTAGTCTCTCCTTATCAGTGGTTTTGCTTTTGATGGTTGCCATTACCCACAGTAAACCATGGTCCAAAAATATTAAGTGGAAAATTCCAGAAATAAGTCATTAAGTCATAAATTTTAAATTACATGTTATTCTGAGCAGCATGATAAAACCTTGTCCTGCTCCATTTTGCCTGAAACATGAATCTGCCCTCTGTCCGGTGCAGCCATGCTATATATGCTACCTGTCCATTAGTCACTTAGTAGCCATCCCAGTTATCAGATCAACACTTGTGGTGTTTTAGTGCATTCAAATAACACTTATTCAGCTTCATAGTGGCCCCTAAGCAAAAGAATGGTGATGCTGGAAATTCAGATGTGCCAAAGAGAAGCCACAAGTGTTTCCTTTCAGGTGAAAAAACGAAAGTACAATAAAATATTCTGAGTTATTTTGAGTTATTCATGTAACTTTTATTATTAAATATTATTATCATTGCTCTATTTTATTATTAGTTACTGTTGTTAATCTTTAATGTGCCTAATTCACAAAGTTTTATCACAGGTATATAGGGAAAAAAAGTATATAGGGGGAAAAAAAAGGATACACTGGGTTTAGTATGCTCTATGGTTTTAGGCACACACTCAGGGTCTAAGATGTATCTCCTGCAGATGATGGGAAACTATTGTCTATATAATGTCATAGCCATGTGGTATTAGAGAAAATTTATCTGATATAATGTAAATGTGTCAAAACACTTCAAATTATCTAAGGATAAATTGTGTATAAAATTCTTCAAAATTGACTTACCTAACAACAATTCACCAGCTGTCTCTCTAGATGGTGCAACGCTGATACACCTTCGATTTACTCTGGCAAAACATATTTAAAATCACTGTGATTAAATGTTTTGACCACTTTTAGAGTGTAAGTTTTATCTAGTGGAAGATTTCAGCAAAGTGAACTAGTGTTTCAATAGCATGAGGTATCTTGTCAAAACCCACGGGACAATACTATGCCATTTCTTAACATTCCAGTGGAGGAGGAAAAGACTGAATCCTTTAGAAATGCTTATAATCCCTGTATATACAATATAAGGGTTTGGCTATGTAAAATAGACTTCAATGTCTCAGATCTTCAGTAAATAAATAGATATTGTTTGATACCACTGATACTTCAATACATAAAGAAAACCTAGTATACTAGGGGATTGTGGAGTCAGAACTAAGTTCTCTATTCTTTTGTCAAGTCACTTATTTTTTTGAGGCTTAGTTTTTTATATATAAACTGGGCATGAAAATAATAGCAATCCCAGCAACTGTAGTGATAATACTATCAATAGTTAATATATACTGACAAACATAACACTAAATGCTATGAAAATTTGAGTATGATTATTTCCCTTCTTTAATAGGTAAGGAAACTGAGGGAGAAAGGCTAATAAGTAACTTGCCCAAGATCAGATCACTAGGAAGAATTGGTTCTGGAATTTGAATCTTTAATTGCTACAATATATTGCCTGTTGATGAGATCACCAGCAGCTCTATCTACTCTATAAAGAGCTATAAAAAAAAGTCAACTACAAAAATATAAGTATGCTAACAAAGGTCAGACACAGTATGACAACTGAGATGTAATAGACTGTGCTATCAGTAATGCCATTTGGAATTTGGCTATCCAACCATGTCCTGTTTTGAGCCTCTCTTGTTTAGGACTTTTCTTAAAACCACAGCATTATATAAAATGAATACTACAGCAATGCTACAAAAAACCATACATTCACAAGAAAGTGAATGTCTGTGGATTCAAATTTACCTTATAGATTCACTTGCAGCTTTGTCTTTGACAGTAGAAGAGAAAGAGGAATGAGTTTTGTCTTCAAACAGGTAAGAGAGTGGTGGTTTGGCCACATCTATTGGGGAAGACATACATATTATCTAATGACCAGTTATCTGCCTTATTAATGTGCTGAGGAAGAAGCCACTATTACCTTCTGATTTTTGTCTATCTCTCAGTAGATACTTATTTGGAATAGTTAAGTAACATCTCTGCAAACGTCTCCTCTCTCGGTTTGGCCCTTCTGTGGGATCCAACTGCCATGAGGTTGGATAGTAGATGGGGTCATACCAGACAGCTCTGAAAGTGAAAAAAAGGAACATTTTAATTGGCCACCCAATTAAAGTCATTGAAGTCTATTTTACATAGTCTATTTCTAACAGCCTTAAAAATCATGATAGAAATTGAGTAAATAAAAATCGCAATGGATCTATTAAATTAAAAAAAAAAACAGGCTAGGGATTGCATATACATAGAACAAAAGGATAATATAAAAAATGTGTATCCTTCTGCTCCTGAGTTCCAGTTTCTGAGCACCCTTCTGGAGCAAGCTCTGCTTCTAGTTTCTTGTGTCTACTCAATTTTTATAAAGGACATATCACCCCTACTATGAAAACTTTAGCAACATAATATAATACATTAGATTTTATATGGTTAACTAATGAAAAAAACTTTTTTCCAAATTAACTTTTTACATTTCCCATTGTGTCTATTACCTAATATAAAAAATTAGCTTTTTTGTGATATGTATCACTTACAAAATGTTTTAAAATAAATTTATATTTTAGCTGACAAGAATATTAAATATTAAATATATTTTTAGAAATAAATAAGAGGGCTGGGGTTGTGACTCAGCGGTAGAGCCTAGCACATGTGAGGCCCTGGGTTTGAGCCTCAGCACCATATAAAAAACAAACAAACAAATAAATAAAATAAAAATGTTATGTCCAACTACAACTAAAAAATAAATATTAAAAAAATAAATAAATAAGAGAAAAATCACTCTTAATCCTACTACCCTAAACTTTAGATTCTTTCATTTTTAAACATGCATGTTTTTAATTTGCAGTTAAAACCATGACATATATATTTCTATGTCCTGCCTTCTTTCACTGAACACAGCGTAACCTTCATTATCATCTTTTCAAGTGTCTGCTGAATATCACGCTGAGTGGACGCATCATGATGTATTTAACCAAGTTTCTAGTACTCTTCATTTACATTCTTTTCAATCAATTCACTAGTGTGACTGATACAGAGATGGAAACCTTTATGTTTATTGTCTGATGTATATTGAATATTTTCCTTATGATAGAATCACTGAAACATTTTTAGAGTTAGAAATGTTTGTGGGGAAGCTGGGTATGGTAGCACATGCCTATAATCCCAAGGGTTCAGGGGGTTGAGGCAGAAGGATTGCAAGTTCAAAGCCAGCTTCAGCAACTTATCGAGCCCTAAGCAACTCAGTGAGACCCTGTCTCAAAATACAAAATAAAAGGACTGGGGATGAGGTTCAGTGGTTTAGAGTCTCTGGGTTCAATTCCCAGCACAAAAACAAAACAAAACAAAACAAAAAGAATGTGGGGTTCTGACATAAATTGTCACAGTGTACAATGCCACCAGACCTCTGCCCAAGGATAATTAATATTCTCAGTTACTATCTTGCTGTGAATACTAGCCCCTGAAAAAATATTTTTAATGTAAAAAGTAAAATGGGGTATCTGAAAGCTTAAAAAAATCAAATTAGCCTCCAGCAATACTGAATGCTTTCCTATTTGCTTATTAGCTCTATTTGTTTCACATGAGGAGTATGTTCATATCTTTTTTTTTTAAATATGCAGTGCTTCAGAGATCTGCATGTCATCCTGCTGTGCAGAGGCCATGCCAACCTTCTCTGTATTGTTCCAATTTTAGTACACGTGCTGTTTGTGCTTTTGCTTTTTTTGAAATTAAGGATTATGATATTTTCCTTTTAAATATGCATAAGGTTTCTAAACAATAGAAATATTAACTCCTTGACAAACTTGCTAAAAATAGACTTCAATGCTTTTTCATCTTTAACTACACTAGAAAGAAATTAAAGTTCAAAATCAATAATTTCTTTTCAGTTTCTTCTGTTGCATTAGAGCTTAGAAAGTTACCTACTCTTCAGAGTTGATACTCTATTTTCTTCCTCATTATAAACTTTTTGAATTTAATTCTTTCATCTACCTATAATTTATCTCAGCATGTAATAGTGTATTTTAGTACCCTAAGTCATACAAATCAATTTTCTTAAATAATTTAAAAAATAATACTTAAATTTCCCTCTTTTCAGTACTCATAATGCATCTTCTAAATCACATTAAACAAGTCTTAGTTAGACAAAGATCATTTTTTTCAATTATCCTACTTCAGTGATTTTCCTATTCATTTGCAAAGACCGTATTTTAAAATTAAAGTAAATTTTACTGTCTGAAAGAGCTAATGCCCCCCTTACATTTTTTCTCCAAGAATTAAAAAAAAAACTCTTATGATTATTCTTCAAAATAAAAAAAGAAAACACTTGTGATTAAACAAAAAATGTTTAAGCTATTGAAACAATTTTGTGAATGTGAATTCCTGAGTGAAAACAGTGTTTAATACCCACTTACAGAACCCACAGGTAAACAACTTTAAGCCACCTCTCCTGCTCACCTATCATGTGTCAGCTGCTGAATGAGCTCCTGCCAGTGTCTGCTGGCACTCAGGTCAACTTTGTACATTCCTCGGATGTGCTGGATCACCTTTTTCCTCTCAATTCCCTGGGAAAGAGACACTGCCTGTGTGATATCTGCAGCTATTTTAGATATATCCTTTGATTTTGAATCGAGACGCTGAAAGAGACTAAATAATAAGATTGTCCATAAGTGAATATGGAATATTAAATATTTATCAAAACACAGTACTTTTAAACTGAAAGATTACTCGAGGGTTGGGAGTATAGCTCAGTGGTAGAGTTCTTGCCTGGTATGCACCTTGCCCTGCGTTTGATCTCAGCACCACAAACACTGCCCCACCTCCCAAAATCTCAGAAAACCAAAAACCAAACCAAATCAGAAAAGCTAAAAGTATACATGAGACCTAAGGATTGCCACAGGATATGACTTGGGAACACATAAAATCTTACCTTTGCTGATTATTATTAACTGTTTTCTGCCAGGAAGCTTTGTTCACGCCTTCTTCAGTTTCATATTTCTTTTGTTCCTAAAAGATTTGTATGATAATATATTACATAAAATTTCTTTCTTGTCATGTGCCAATGTTATGGTATGGAGGCCAAGAAACTAATTTTAAAATCAGTTACCCAAGAAAAAGTATCTTCAGACCAGAATATTTAAAATATATAAGGCACCTAAGTAATGCTAGCACTATCCTTTATTACTGTATGATTTGGGTTATAGAAGTGAGGGTAGAAGAGTTCACTTCTAAACTGGATGGAATAACAATGCCACCTGCTCCCCTATTTTGCCTTTTCACTGAAGAACCCATAACTCAAGGTATAGATCAACTTGCTTGTCACCATAAGAATTTTCCCTTCACTGAAGGCTACTGACAATGGACAAGGATGACTGTACAGAGAATAAAAAACTCCTTAAGATACCAACTTTTTTTCTCTCAAAGTGAAAAAGCACCATATGTTAAAAAAAAATCACTTAAAGTTTACCATCAGTGATACTCTACAATTAAAACATTTTTCAAAATCATACTCAATGGTAATGGGAACAATCATGGTTCCACTGACTCACCTCTTTGATCATTTTAATAAGGTCTGGTTTTGATGGTGTGCTGGGAGGGATGCACTTGTGACCACATAATTTTAAAGTATTCATCAGTAGTTCTGCTGTGTCTAGTTCCTCTTCAGTCAGCTCGTCTTGGTGATTATGTATCAACTCTGACAAATACAAAACTAACTTGGCTCCATGCTTTAAAAAAATAATATTTTTTTTAGTAATAAGGAATTTTTATTTCTTCCAAATAAATTATTTAATAGTAAATTAAATTAAATTGCTAGACTGATTTGTTTGAATCTGATCTGAATATATCAGGTACAAAAGACATCTCCAGGGACAAATGAAAAAAATTTAATTAGGCACTGGATATTTGATGACATTTTTTTAGGTGTAATGATGTTATTATTGCAGAACAAAATGCCTTTAAACAAAAAATGTAGAAAATGCCATGATTTTCATATTTTACTTTAAAATAACTTAGAAAAAGAAGACATGACTATAAAACAATAAAAATACTAATGAATGTTAAATCCAGGTGATGGTGACATGGTGTTCATTATACTACTCTATCTCTGTATATTTGACATTTTCCGTTTTAAGAGGTTAAAAAGTAGCACACTAGCTAGCTAACTTTGGGGGACAGAATTTTGGAGAGGATTTGTTAAAGGAATACAAGATATGGGAATATAGCTGGGGATACAGAAAAAGACTTCTTAGTTTTTCTCAGAGAAAGAAGGGAAACTTTTTTTAAAAACCATAAATGTTAAAGAAATATGCTTATCCATTCATTTTCTTTTGATTTTTGCTCAGTAGAAGAGAAGTTGGTGAAATTTCCAAAACAAAGCCTATCTTGGCTCATCTATTCACTGCTCTCAGAGAGAGCAAGAGGTGGAAAGCTCTGGAGCCAGCAAGATCTGAGCACCGAGTTCCACACGCATGTTCAGGGGAGTGGTTTGGGTCAGTCTTCTACAAGCAGCCCCTCAACCAGAATTAGAGCATTACATAAGGTAGACAATTGTCCTTTGCAGTCCAAACTGAAACCCAACTTGGGCTCGTGCTTTTCAAAGTACATGTATGAAGACATGAATTGGTATGAATACACTTTTTATACAACCAGAGGAATGAAAAATTGTGCTCTATATGTGTAATAAGGATTGTAATGCATTCCACTGTCATATATTAATAAAAAAATTTAAAAACACAACAAAAATAAATAAAATAAAGTGACCCTTCCATGTTATCAGATGGTAATGTGTATACAATATATTAATTTTGTGAACAATTTAAACATGTCCATTTTACTTTAAAATTTTGCATTGATACCAATACCACTGCATTTGGTTTTACGACATTTTAAACTGAGAACAGTATTAAATGTCAACAGATGGATCTGGAAATGATTACATTTTGGGTAATATTTAAATTAACATGGAATCACATCACGTAATTTCCCCAAAGCTAAGATGAACACATGCAATGGTGAAAATATCAAACTCATTTTAATGCAACATTTAGTTGCATTAGTCACAAGACAGCTGTCACCTGACCAAAAGAGGAAAAGGAACAGATGCTGTGTGAGTAAAAGCTTGAAGAGTTGGCAAATAAAGAAAAATGGTAAATGACTGGAATATTTTCATACATGTCTTAAAAGTAGCATTCCTGATATAACTTGTAAAATATTTCAGTTTAGTATTTGGTGGCATTCTAAAGTTATCTTGAAAGACTATCAGAAATGTTTTTATTCATTCTGAATATGCAAAGAAACACATGATTTTCTTTAACACTAAGTTGTTCCTAATATCTCATTTTAACATCCTCTGATAAATTGGTTCATTGATTATAGTTTCTGGGACTATAAAAGGTGTTACTGGGGGTAGATGCAAACATTTTTCTTTTTTAATTAGCCCTCACAAAACAGATTTCTTGGGAGGCTTGGGGTAGGAGAATGTCTTGAAACTATGAGCTTGAGACTTAAGCAACAGTAGCAAGACTTAAGCTCAAAAACAAAAAGGAACTGACTCTATTAAACATGTATCCCTACAAAATAATAAAACGCCAAAGGGCATAAAATAAAAATTTTCAATGAAGGTTCTCAGAAGGAAGAGTTCTAAATGGACTATACAAAGGGAGGATGGTTTTGAAGGTGCTATGGAGTGAGCTGGGTCTAGGGATGAATAGGGGAAGGGGCTCATGGACACAGGAGAGGGCACTGTGCATAAAGCAGCATGGCAGTAGGCTGCACAGGATGTGAAGAAGCAACAAGAGAAGTGACAGTACTACCTAGAAGGAGTGGAGACTACAAACTGATCTGCTGTAGCAGACATGGGGCTTTAAGACCCAAGCAGACTACAAATGGATGCTATCTTGTATGCAGGTGAAATCTCTGCACACTACCACATAACAACCTGCGGACACACTCTTAAGTAAAGCAAGTAAGGGCAGAAGAGGCTTTTCTGCTTACTACCTTCCTGTAGGCTGAGTAGAGGGGGTGATACCGACAGAGGTATGTGTGCGGTTGTGGACAGACTTGGTTATACCTTTAACAGAAATAAAATAAATGAACACACTACCTACAGGGAGAAGGAGGAGGGGAGGGCACAGGTAAAAAGCCAGAAGCTCTCTGAATATGCTGTTTCACAATCTGCTTTGGGAAAATTAAACAAATTAAAAAAAATTTAAATTTAAAAATTAAACAAAAACCCAATGGAATCTGTAAAAATAGAAAATAAAAAGAACCTAACTAGTTGGTTAAAGTTGATGGCATTAACCAAATAAACTATTTTAAGTTATTTTATAATACTTCATTTTCAACATATACTTCTAATAGTAACCTAAGAACAAAGAGAACCACAAAGGAATCTTAGGTTACATCTAGTGGGATTGTTATTAGTGGTAACATTAGTTACCATCACTAATTATAACTGTTAGTGATGATCTTATTTTGAAAATATTATATATACAGAAAAACAAAGCAAGTAATTATGTTAATGTCATCTGGATTGTCATCATTAATAAAAAGAACTACAAATATAAAATCCACAAAAAGGAAAAAGTTATCAGATGAACTCATGATATCTGTTTCTAAAAAAAAAAAAAAAAAACCTATTTCCTAGCTTTGTCCACTAAAGTGACTGAGAAGAAATAAAAACCTAGAGGAAATGAATGCACTTAGTACCTAGAATTGTAGTCCCTAAATACTGTGATCTTGAGAAGAAGAACAGGGATTTCTTGGGGAGTGTGGTTCAGGTTGTGAGAAAGAAAATCTACAGGAGACTTGGGACATCTTTCTGTGCCAGAAATCAGGGAAGTCCATCTTATTAAATTGTAAAAAGTGGAAAAGGCCATGTTAAAAGGACACAAAAACTTCAATCTCTGCAGCATTAGTTTGAATATCAAATAATAATAACTTTAATAGATTAAAACACATAAAATTTATTTTAAACTACTTGAGTCCATAAAGATCCCTCAAATTGAAACAATATAAAAGTTAGAGGGTACAAGGGAATCAACTCATTACTTTAAAATTTAATAAATAGGAAAAGAAACACAGGCTGGGGGAGTAACTCAACGGTAGAATGTTTGCCGGGTTTACACCCCCAGCACTATTAAAAAAAAAAAAAAAGTAAAAACAAACATTTATTCTGCCTTTCCTTCACTGAATATTTTAAGGTAGTCAAATAATTGACAAGGGAAAGTTTTTCTCTATGACAAATTTTAACAAATAGATAGTAAAGGAATGAGAAACTCACGGAAATGACTATTTTCTAACTCCTAGGGGAGAAGCAGAATTTGGCAATTATCATTCATGACTGGTATGCTATTTAGGTTAAAGATGGATGGTACACTACAGACTGGAGGGATCAGGCAAAGCAGAGCAATCAGAGCAATCTGTGCCCCCTGCACTGATATGAGAGCAACCCAAGAACACGGGGATCCAGCCCAGCCTGTGATCCAGAGCCACAGGGTATGGTCACTGGGTAAAATCTGCAATGTGAGAAACTCTACAGAATAAGAGACCCTGAAAAATACAATGATGGAAGAGAATTGATGTAGATTAAAAATATTTAAAACACCAAACAAATGCAATATGTGGGCACTGCTTGTATCCAGAATCAAGCAAATTAATTATTTAAAAAAATAGAAAAAATTGGGAAAATTTCAATACTGATTGGGTATTAAGTGGTAATAATAAATTACTATTGATATTGCTGAGAGTGGCAGGTAAAAAAGGTCTTTACCAGTTATAGATACAAATTGAGGTATTTCTAGGTGAAATGATTAGATATCTGAGATTTGCTTCAAAATATTACAAAGAAAAATCGTAGCTGGGTAATGTCCTATGGGACCCTTTCCTGATTCTCCCAGGTTATAGATATGTTTGAAAACTCCCATAAGACGCTTTTTAAAATCAGGTACAGTAATTTGGTGTGGAGGTGGCAAGAAGGTTATTACAGAAAGCAAGGAAATCGGCAAAGTCTGAGCTAGACTGGGAAGACAGACCACAGAGAAAGGGATGCATCTGAGAGACACAGCAAGTAGGTGACTGGCCCTGGCGACAAAATGGATTTAGAAGGAAGTCAACAAGCTGAGTCCAACAGTAATGTCACTGACACATGGACTAGGAGGAGGCGATTGATGGGGAAAAGAGGGTTGCTAACACCAGGGTTGATTTTTTAAAAAATATTTTTTTAATTGTAGATGCACACACAATATCTTTTTTTATTTTTATGTGGTGCTGAGGATCAAACCCAGTGCCTCACATATGCAAGGCAAGCGCTTTGCCACTGAGCTACAGCCTCAGCCCCCAGGGTTGATTTTTGATGGATAGAAACATTGCTAAGTAAAAGGAAAGAAAAAAACACCACCTCAAAATTTCCACAGAAGGGAACAGGAAAAGGAAGATAATCAGCGCCCTCTTGCACTCGAGACTCTCAGCTGGAAAGAGTGCCTGAGGGTATCCCAGGAAAGTCTCAACTCTATATGATGTATTTCAGTTTTCTAGGTATTAAAGGGATGCCTGTTCTTTTTAAATATGTCATCAATTAACTTTTTTACTGAGGAACAACTATTGACAAAATCTACAAATAGATACTAAATACTTATTTCTAGGAGGTTTTTTTTTTAATTAGAGTTTTACAGTCATACATAGTAGTTGGGTTCATCCTGACAAATTCACACATGCGTGGAATCTGATTGCAACTCACGACCCACCTTTTCCTCCTTTCCCCCTCCCCTGCCCATTCTCTCTCCTCTGCTCTATGTAACCACTGCCTAAAACAAGCTATTGGAGTCTTACTTTTATCACCCTCAAAATCTCCCTCATGACCCCTTCCAGGCAATTCCTTTCCCCACCACCACTTCCACAGACACTGCTTTCCTGAAGCCTATCACCATACTTAGTTTCTCCTGTTCCTGGACTTGAAATGAATGACCACAGACTGTGTAGTCACTTGTGCTTGGCTGTCCCCTCACCAACTCAGCTGTGTTGAGATTCATCCACGAGGGCAGGGCTATCCGTAGTCTGTTCGTCTTTACTGTTGCACAGCAGTCTGCTGTACAAACACACCACACATTGCTTATACATCTACCTCTTGTACATATTTAGGTTATTGCCAGGATTTTATGAAAAAGGCTGACGTGGATATTTTTGTATAAGTCTTTTTATGGACATACATTTTAGTTTCTTTTGGGTAAATATCTGAAAATTGCATAGCAGGGTCAAGAGTTATGCATATATTTAATTTTATAAGAAACTATTTAGCAGACCTCCAAAAGGTTCAATGTACCATTTAAACTCTTCATTGATTGCTTTTACTTATACTAGGAATTGAACCCCAGAACACTTAATCACTGAGTCACATCCCCAGCCATTTGTATTTATTTGTTTTTTGATTTAGGGTCTCACTAAGTTGCTTAGGGCCTTGGTAAACTGCTGAGGTTGGCTTTGAATTTTCGATCCTCCTGCCTTGGTTTCCCGAATGACTGGGATTACAGGCATGCACCACTATGCCTGGCTCCACTGATAACTCTTAAGGTGACATTATTTATATTCTAAATGTTCTTTTAACTGCTTTTGATCATTCCAAATTTTTTTCATCATAACTGACTGGACATTTTTTGAAATATGCTGTATGTACTCTTACTTGAGATACTCAGTATAAGTGTTTCATAGATAATAAAATGCTTTTAAAAAGGCTTCCAGTTATTTAAAAAAACACTCCAAGATATGATAATAAATTACAAAGGATCTTATAAGAACTCAGACTCAGAACTTCCTAATTTCAGCACTGAAAAAAGATTGGGAAATAAACAGAGAAACCAAATCAACCCGCATAAAACAATCTAACAAAAGACCTCAGGTTAATAGCTTGGTAAGAATATTATATTCATGACATTAATCATAAAAATACAGTTTAATTTCAGTTCTTGTTTTGAAAACTTTACTTGCTTACTTTTATCAAATGCTGAGATACTTACTTGCAGGGATGGGCTGAGACAGTCTCGAAGTATTTCCTGATGATTTGGTTCATGAACTATTTCAAATATCTGCTTTCTTTCTTGTGCAGTGTGGGCTGGTGATAAAATATGCACAAGTAGTCTTCCAAGCTGCATTCGGAAGGTTTCCTTACAAGATGATAGAATTTTAATCCACTGTTGCTTAGAACCATTGACTTTACTTGAACCCTTAAATCAAAATAGGAATGAATTAGAATCAGACTTCTTAAGTGATAATATACAAACTTCATATAGCCCTAAAGATGATAGAGCACGTTTCATTCTAGATTTTAAAAAATTCTAGAATTAAAACAATATTCAAAGTTAGACATATTTGTACCCATACAGGTGGGAGTTTAAGAGAGATGGAGATGCAATGACATGTATAGTAGCATTATTCAAAATTGCCAAGAAGTGGAAACAATCCAAATATCCATTAATGGATGCATGTATGAACAAAATGCAGTCTATACATACAATGGGATATTATCCAATTTTAAACAGCAGTCAAGTGCCCACACATATTTCAACATGGGTGAACCCTGAAAACAGTATGCTAAATAAAATAAGCTGCATACAAATGGACAGATATCATGTGATTTCACTTATATGAGGCATCTAGAACAGTCAAATTCTTAGAAACTGAAAGTGGTTATTGGGGGTGGGTGGGACTGGGTAATGGGAGTTATCGTTTAATAGGAACAGTTGTAGTTTGGGATAATGAAAAAGTTCTAGAGATAGTGGTGCACAAAAACATGAATTACTTAATGCCACAAGTTTGTGCTCTTTAAAGTGGTTAAAATGGTAAATTTTATGTTACACACATATTATCAATTAAAAAAAAAAGAGAAAGATGGATGAAAAAGCTAAAGTTTTATGCCATTTAAACAATTACCAAGGGCTTAGTATTGTAAATTAAAAATTAAACCAAAAACAAAATTATCAAAGAGCAATGGCAGATACACCCACTTTCACTTTACAATAAAGGAAAGGATTCATAATAAAGAATTAGTACCACAACATTTAGCATAACATTCACAAATTAAGAAAGTATATAAGCTGACCATCAATTTTCCCTAACAAATGACTACCTCAGTTGTTTCAACCACTGAAGTTAGCCAACTTCTGGTTAAATCACTTGCCTTGAGTTCAAAATTGGAATTGATTCTGAGTTTGGAAAATGACTTTCCAATTACTCTAAGTCCTAAGAGCCCTGTGTGAGTGACTTAATTCTATGTGAGTCTGCAGTTTGTTTTGCTGTTCAGAGCTGGACACTAAAACATAAAATTTAGATTTAGAGAGTGTCAAAATCATGATTTATGAGTTCTGCTAGAACTGGATCAGTGTTAGTTATCTATGGCATGAACTGACCATGGAAGCCCAGGTGTGATAAGAATAAATGGAGCCTGATGCAGCCAGTATTCTCTAAATCATTCTTAAGGTGTTGTATGTGTTTACTCCAAGATCTAAATTTCAAAATTCAGAAACTCAAGAGTATGGCTGTAAGTAAAGTCCTTTAAAAACCGGCTGATATGGGCTGAAACTATGGCTCAGTGGCAGAGCGCCTGCCTACCATGTGTGAGGCACTGGGTTCAATCCTCAGCACCATATTAAAAATAAACAAATAAAATAAAGGTATTGTGCCCATCTACAGGAAAAAAAAACAAAACAGGCTGTTGATTAATATCTCAGAGTAATCATCAAAGAGTTCCTCTTTTCTGATACTGATCTTCCTAGACTACAAGATTAGAAAAAGGCTTTCAGGGTACAGATCTAGAAACCAAGGTTGCATGAGGTGAGTCATTTTGGAATGGGGAAATCAGCAATATATATTATTTGATTATTAAAATTTTAAGTTGTTGGAGTTTCAGAAGACTCTCTGAAAGAGCACAAAGAAATAGATTTTGGAAATGTAGTACATAAACATAAAACCTCTATTCCTTTTGTGTGAATGAACATTTCCCAAGTGATATACTTACAATAGATACCTTGAATCCCTCAACCAGGTAGGTGAACATCTCTCTTTGAAATGGGTTGAAAACAGAAGGCTGTTCATGATGCATATTTTCCTCAGAAATTTCAGTCTGGGAAATTGAGGTCTTGTTTTGAGTTGCATTTTCTGGAGTTCTTAAAATGTCAATAATGTCTAAATTAAACTCTTTGAATTAAAAAAAAACAAAAACTATTAGTCAAATCACAATACTTCCATTATAAGTGATAATTATGCTTGTAAAAATATTTTATGCAATTACTAATTCAATTATCACAATATAAATGTGGGGGGGGGGGTATTCAAGACAGTATATACAGTATAGTAGAGGAAGAATTCACCTAAAATAATGCAGATTTAAAAATACATTAAGTCACGAAATCATAAATAAAAGATTTAACTTACTAGTAAAGATGAGTTAAACTGCAAAATTATTAGAACCGTAAGACTCTTGTACAAATCAAACATAAAGACCTCATAATAATTTGCATTAGCTAGATCTGCAGAACTGTTTCACTGTATGTACAATCCAATTACTGTGATAATCCTGGTTCAGTTTTGGAGTATAGCCTGGGAACTGTTACCCCAAATGTAAATTACAAAAGTTAAGACAAAATATCCCCCTTGGGTTTTCTGCTTTTCTAGTGATTAACAATCATTCTTTTCTTTTCCCTGCCTTTCTGAGGTTACCTAAATTTTTTTTTCCCAGCTTTATTGGGGCATGATTGAGAAACAGACATTGTGTATGGTGGGTATTTAAAGTGTAAATGTGATGCACTGGCTTACATATACATTATCAATGATGCCTCAATCAATCTGCTACCTACTACACACTTCTATCTATATAACATTCCTTTTTTGAGATATGGTCTTGCTGTGTTGCTCAGGCTGGTCTCAAACTCCTGTCACTGTCCTGATAGTGACATTGTACTATAGTTTTGCAAGATTCACTGGGGGAAAACAAAGTAAAAGGTACACAGGATCTCCCTATTATTTCTTAACAACTTAATGTGAATCTATAATTACCTTAAAAGAAAAGTTAAAATATTAGAAGTACCAAATTACTCTAAAATCAACAGTCAATCTAGGATTCCATTTAACATATTAAAAATCATCCTTTTATTCCAGACTATCCATTCCAGGTAAGAAATTCCTTTAATAATGTAGACGTTAAGAACAGAAAAAAAATGCAGTTTAAAAATTTGAAACCTAATGGGTGCCCTCTGAAGGTACTTTTCTTTACATTCGCTGTCTGAGGAAGGACAAGCCAATTCTGCCGTCCTACCTTGGTAAATAATCCTGTTGACTGCTAGGACAGTGAGCCTCTGCAGCCTCTGGGCGAGCTCTGCCTCAGTGGCCTGGCTAGGGCTCTCCTGGCTCATTCTTCTCTGCATCATGGTGTGGAGCTCGTCGCTGGCCACTGAGCGCATTTTTGTCAGAAGAGATTCTGTCTGAGCCAGGGGATATTTTCTAGGACCTTCAAGTATATAAATGAAAATGTGCAAAGCCAGTGTTAACAACAATCAAGAAATCTACTTTTAATACAACTTTTTGGTTATTAGACCACAAAAAGACAGACTTATTTATCATAAAATAAATTTATACAAGGGAAAGAAAGAGAAAAAAATTAAAAGAAAGTGATATTTTCCCCTTTTCCAAGAAGTGCAACAGTACTTCTGGTTCTGAAGTCCAAAATAATCAGGTCAAAGCCCATGATATAGTTTAACAGGAAGAATATCATTTTTGAATGTTTGAGTCTTCTGAAATATTCAAAGTTTTAGATGGGCATAAGTGGTTCAGAATGTTTTGGTAAAATAATTTTCAAATACTGTTTCACTTCCCTGTGTTTCAAAATCATCAACAGAGTTTTAAAGTATGTCATGTTTAGTAAGAATGTTACTATTTCTGGATAATTACTGTTGTTGGATTTTAAAAAGTAGTTTTGAAAATTATATATGATGACAAAGTAGAAATTAGCCAATAAAAGTGAAGAGATCAGAAGGGTGAATGCAAGCCCAGTGATTTGCTATTAGAATGATTTGGGGCAGATGCATCATTTGGAATTCAGTGCTACATGAATATTTCCTGAGAAATTCTTTGTCAGATTGGACAGACTGGAGTGGTGCTCTTGCACCATTACTGCACCTGCTCTGGAAGGTACCACACCTGTAGTGCATCCAGGAGAAAACATGGGGGAGGAGTCTTGATTTAATGGGCTGAAGGAGAAGGGCATCGGAAGTTGACCATAGGAACCAAAATGACGTCTTGGCAGGTGAGGAATAATGGAACCCTTCATTGGAATTGAACCTTTGTTTTAATCATGAAAATATGTCAATTTCCATAAATAACTTCTATAAAAATGACTTATGTATGAGTAAATTATAATAGATTTTGATGACTTATCCTGCGAGACATTTAAAAATTTTACAGTTATTTTACATTGCACATTTTGGTGGGTAGAGTCACCTTTGGGGCAAACAAAACAAAAAGAAACAACAAGAAACAAACAAAAAGAATAAGTATCCTGGTTGTATGCTGGTTGCATTCAATGATAACACTGTCAGGCAGAGTCCTTAGTTCAGGCAGATTCTTCCCTGATGTCTATGTCTCTGACCACTTTCCCACTGGTGATTGACAGTTGCCATCCAGAGGGAGGGCAGGGAACAGAAAGAAGGAATGCTGTCCTGTCCAGCACTGCATGCTGGGAAAGTGGGAAGCATGTCAGCACTCCTGCATCGAGCCACATGGAGTTGGTGTGGCCTTAAGTAAATTTCTTTCTAAGCCTCAATTTCCTCATATGTAAGATGTGGATTAGAAAGATAATAGAATTTACCTCACAGATAGATATTTATCATTATCTCACAGTATATTCAATGTATTTATTTATATGCTTATTGCTTATTCTAATTCAAGTTCCAAGAGGACAGGTAAAATAGTAGCTGGTACATGGTTGGTACTCAGTAATTATTTGATGATTGAATGAATGGATCAAGAGTGTTATTTGAAAAAAAAAAAAAAAGAGTGTTATTTGCTGGATTAAATTAAATAATGGATGTGAAACACAATACCTGCCTCATTCTTTATAAAGAATAAAAAATTGTTAATGGCTGGTATTTTTATTGGCTAAAAACAAAAAGGAAATTCATTTGTATGTGAATTATATTAATAATACAAAAATATCTACTGTCTGTATGAATGACAATTTAGATACATATATATAATGTATATAATTAATATATAAATAATTTCCCAATGCTGACTAACTTCATGCATTCAGATGACATGTAAAGTTTTTTGATATTGATATGCAAGGAAGCAGAGAGGACACTTTTAAAAGAATGTACTTTACTGTCCTGTTTATAATGGCAAAAACAAACAAGTTACAAAACTTTGTTTACTGATAAAAAGGAAGAATATCATGATACATCAATTCAAGAGATTATCATGAATTCATTAAAATATTTATTGATATGGAAAGATGTCTATAATATATTAATTAAAATAGAAATCAGTTTGTAAATAGTAGGCACACAGCATGATGCCATTTAGGCAAAATTACATCTCTCTCCCATATATATATCCATGCCAAGAAGAGACACAGAGGCCAAGGAATTGGGACTCTGTTCCCTGAAGAGAAGGGAACTCAGTGCTGTTTGCAGGATGGGGTCCTGCAAAGGGAGGTGTTTGCAAGGCATCTACTGGCATGTAGGAACCTGTGCAGTATACTACTAGACCTGGGACAGGAAACAATCTACCTGGGACAAAAAAGAGGTACAAAGGTCGGCCAGCTCAGGTAATAAATAATAAGGGCAGAGAGTTTAGTTATATGAATGTTTCAGAAGTTTCATCTATGGAAGTTTTATTTAGAAAAAGTTAAATTACTGTAAGACATATGTTTACAAATTTTTCTATATGGGTGAGGTTTTTAGGACTTTAAAATTCTGCATAGCATTAAACACAAATAAGTGAATTAGTGTGAATAGAAGAAAGATTTGGTATTAAAAGTCATTAAGTCTGTAAAGGTAATTAACTTTAAGAAAAACAATAGTGCTCTGTTTGGAGATACTTGAGTGTTTGTGTAAACAAATGATGTACACATACATGTATGTGCTCGTATCCTGTTTGTGGTTTTAGTTATCTTTCCGTATTATGTTTGTATAAAGGGAATAGCAGACTTTGTGGAAAACCTAAGGAGGTCTTTTAACATCAATATGGATTATTGGATAACATGTGCTAATTTACAGCTGGTTCTGATGCCATGTGCATTCTAACTGAGTACATGCCAGAGGCCATCGCCTGCCTGATTACTGCACCAACCCCTCCTTGACTCTCCACTACCTCTTTTGCTCTCCTTTAATTCACATTCTATAGAAGCTGGAGGCATTTTTTTTTTCCTCCTACAGTACTAGAAATTGAATCCAGAGTGCTATACCACTGAGCTACACCCCCACCCCTTTTCATTTTTTATTTTGAGAGAGTCACTAAGTGTCCCAGGCTGCCTTGGAACTCGAAATCCTCCTGCCTCAGCCTCCCAAGCAGTAGAGATTACAGGTGTGTGCCACCATGCTAGGCTCAGAGTCACACTTACAAAATGAACGTCTGATTAGATCATGCCCACTGACTTAAAACCTTGACAACTTCCCATTAGGAAAAAATTCCCAACTCTCTGAAACGATCCATATGGTTATCCATGAATTGGCCCACACCATCCTGGACAGCCTCACCTGGCAACACTCTCCTCCAGGGCCACATTCCAGCTAGAGGGCTTTCTTTCAGTTTTCTGAACAAGTTGAGCTCTTCCCCAACCTTGGACCTGTTGCCTATGCCTCTCATTCTACCTATAACACTTTTCCTTGACTCTACCTGCTAACTCCTTTCTTATCCTTTATGAATATACTGAAATTTCACTTCCACAGAGACCTGAAGTAAATCCAGTCTCCCTACTATGCTCTATTACAGTCCTCTGCACTTCCATGTTGTTTGATAATCTCTTCAGGGGCAGAATATGTTTTTTAATTATTGTAACTCCAAAATTTAACCTAGTGCTTGACATGGTAGATGGCTTAAGAAATAACTGATCAAGAACTGAAAATAAAGTAGTGGAATAGTTTCCTTTGGGAGGAAAATTTTCTCAAATTTTATAGTTCAACTTTTTAACCTGAGAAATATTTAAGATACGAAAATATAGGAAAATCAATCTACTTTCAATTCATAATTATTAAAATGTTACTTTAATACTCACCAGCAATGCTCCTCCGCTTCTGAAACACAACATGATGGGGGGCAGAAGGTAAGTGGACTGAATCAGGAAGGCTTTCAGAGTCATGATTCGCAGTGCTCCTTATGAACTCCATGGCCGCCTGGAGGACTCTAAGCTGCAGAGCAATAGCCATATCTAAAAACAGAAGAGACTAGAATGTTATCTAGCTAAGAGTTGACTTTTTAAATTTTTACATATTTCATATATCCAATATTGTTTAGTTATCTACCATCTGAATAATAATATCCCAAATAATACATAATATCCATATCTAAACAACATTTTATTAGATATTAATTAAAATTTTTTAAACTAAAATGTTTTTAATTTAATTTTTTTTAAAATTTGTGACAGTGATATTTTATTGTACTAAAGGATTTTCTTGAGCACATGCAATTATAGACAGGAGTCGGCTATGAAGAGGTTTCTTAAACTACAGTTGTATTAGGAAGATTTCAGTTTGACAGTGCAGTATTTATGCCACTGTCAAGCTTATTTTCAAACACTTCTAATATTCTTTACAATACCATATGATTTGCAAATTTAATTTTACTATTCATTCATTAAGAAAATATACTGAGAAAGGTAATTATAGATTTTACATAAAAAACAGTAACATTTACAAGTGAATATTCCTCTTTTAAAATATCAGTACTATTGTTTTTACACAATTATTTTGCAAAAAAAATTCTGAAAAGATAATAATTCATATTTAGAGTGATAAACATTGTTAATTTCATAGCATTAAGGTCTCATTTCAATAAAGCAGTACAGTTTGTTCTTTTTAATTTTAATTAGGAATATATGACAGCAAAATGCATTTTGATTCATTGTACACAACTGCAGCACAACTTTTCATTTCTCTCAATGTGGGTTCTCAAATTCAGCATTTTAAAACTATGTTTAAAAGCAATTTTAAAGCAAATATCCAAATGGACTCTATGAAATTTTAAAGGAAAAAAGTAATACATGAATTTATATCATTTTACATAATTGCTTCAAAGAACACTTTTTTTTTTTTGGTACCTACAGCAAATGTTCAACCCACAATTCTCACATTTCCAAGTTATACCTTCACTTTAATATTTGCCATTAAAGAAAACTATAGGGCATGACTATTCCACATAGAATTTCAATTCTACTTGGCAAGAAAAATCAGTAGCTGCTGGCAGTTTCCTATGATGTGCTGCCTGCTACTAGTCAAGGCATCACTGTCTTTACCACTCCAAAATGCTGCCTTTTAAAGCCAATCAATATCATCACAAAGTTACGGTTAAGCCTTTAGAAAAAAAGAGTTACCAAGAGAAAAGAAATTAGGCCCAAAAATTGTTTAGCTTCCTCTCAGATCCATAAAAATCCATAAATCTTACTTTGTGTCCTCTTGTTTTTGCTATTTTGAAGATATCCAAGGAGTACAATAAGGTCTTCAATAACTCTAAAATACTGTGAGCCCGAGGAACTGCATGCGTGAATCGTCACTGCTATGAAAAGTTGCTGTATGTCACAGGCAAGCAATCTGTATTCATTCACAGGAAGGCTGAAGATGACCAAAACACAATGCAGGACATTGTAAGAACCAATAATTTAAGACCACGAGAACTGGTTTCAATTCCCATTCTACCAGCATGCATTTATTCAATATTTATTCATATTCATTCTATGGCAGGCAGCACATTGTATACTAGGAACAAAAATGAGAAGATACACTTTGACTTCTGTCAAAACTATAATCTTTACCAGACAGGTAAAGAGATCATTATCAACAGTAAATGGTGGTAAATGCAACAACAGAGGTTAACACAAGATACCGTGGGAATGCAGAAGCAAGTTCCTAGTCCGCACTGAGGGGGAAGGGTATGAGGGTATGAGCAAAACCACAAAGAAAGGCTCCCCAAAGAAGGTGAGCCTGAGAAGATCAATTAGCCTTCTGAACCTTACTTGTGTAAACTATAGTTATTTTAAGGATCAAAAGAGATAATAGGTTTGAATGTGTATTATTCACTTCTAAATATATACTAAATATGAATCAGTTACTTCTGTCCCTCAATTTCAGCCTTGATAACCTACTTTGGTGTATGTTGTTAGACCTCTATACTTCCCTCCATTCATTTTTTTTTTCCAAATCAAGCAAGGGTTAGACATGGTAACTGCATATAGAGCAGCACATGGGGACTATCAACAAGCACAATTCATCTTTTTACAGAATAGAAGCAAAAACTACTTTTAGAACAAGCTGCAGGTACCCTTCCCAATTTATCAATTTCACAAATTGTACTGAAAGTAAGACTAAGCATTTTGAGGAAATAATACTTGGTATTTCTTTTTATTTCTCATATGCCAAGTATATAGAGCCTAAATATAGTAAGTGTCCAATGAAAGTTGAACTGAGTAGAGTAGAAGTCGTCTCTGGCCTAGAGAATCACTAAAGATATACTATCTTTTCTCTGAAAGAATACAGATAACATTTAATGCTTTAATATGCAATAAGATGGTGCTTCTAAAGATTTGTATCTTATCATTATGCTAGTAAAAATGGTATGCTGTGCATCATAAATGGAGACATCAAAGATATAAAATCTGAATAAAAATCTAATCTCAACATATTTTTAAAGCTGTTAATCAATTGGTGGAAGCCTTTTGTCAATGTACTTTTGACTACTAGAAATTAATTTATGATAATAGTGATAGAATATGACTATTATGAATTAATTTATTCAGGGACAGTGATAGAGTATGCTAATAGTAAGATAGCATGGTGAGTTCAAAACAGACTTTTGAAGTGAGACAGATTCAGTCCTCAAGTTCTCTCTTGTTTACTGGCTGTGTGATATTCAATGAGCTACTGTATCTCTCTCATCCTCAATTTCCTATTCCTGATGAGGATAACAATTTTTATAATCCTATGATGGAAGCTTAGCAAATCTATTTGGGGGCAAATACCCTCTTCATAACTAAACTTTGCTGGAAATTATGCCCTCTCCAAGCTAATTTAATTTCAAAATTTTTGTAGCAAAGAACTTTGAAAGCATTATGAAAAGTTACACTTTAAAGTTAGCTCTTACTAAAGTTTCTTTTTCTTTTTAATTTTTTTTAAAGAGAGAATGAGAGACAGAGAGAGAGAGAGAGAGAATTTTTTTAATATTTATTTTTTAGTTTTCGGCGGGCACAACATCTCTGTTTGTATGTGGTGCTGAGGATCGAACCCGGGCCGCACGCATGCCAGGCGAGCACACTACCGCTTGAGCCACATCCCCAGCCCTAAAGTTTCTTTTTCTAAAGGACTTATCAGGTGTAAATTTGAGTAACAATTTAAAACTTACCTTTTTTCTAATCCATTCAAAGCTGCTACTGTGTTACATAACACATAGAGCAGACCATTATCCAACAACATGTCTGCTACCTTAGAACAAGAATTTAAAATTTGGAGAAGAAGTAAAAGACCATTATGCAAGAGTATGTTGTCATACAGAGAGGTCTCTATTAGTCCCAGAATAGGAATGACAGACCACTTCTGAAAAAGTCCCATGTTCTTTACGTCTTCCAGGTCAAATCTATTATAAAAAATAAAATTAAGAACATGTTAGAAGCAATAGTCACAAAAAAAGAAAAAAATGGGCCATTATGTTAGCCTGATTTGATACTATAAATTTGGGTCATTTTGTTAACCCAATTTGAAGCTATAAGAAAATAAATTTGGGAAATAAGGATCCTTAACCTTTTTAAAGATTATAGACCCTCTTCAATAATAAGATAAAAGCTGTTGCCAGAAGTTCATCCCAAGATGAATATGTAAGCATTAAAAAAAAATATGTATACCATTTTATATCTGTAACTGACTTTAATCCATTCACGTGCCACTTATGTCCAAGGCATTCCTGCTACATAACAAGCATACAGGATTATTATTGTTATTTTACATAGTATTTGAAAGACAGTGAGCTAGTAAGAAGAGGTTCAGCACAAAGGAATGAATGAATCTTAAGTTCTTGTCCCAAAACTATTTTCCTTTGTGATGCAGCAAAATTATTTAAGCACCTCACCTGTCAAATATGTGTGATGATATCTGCCCTACTTTCTTTTCAAGAATCAAAGGAGATAATGCAGAATCGCTTTGAAAAAACTAAAAGCTATATGCAAATGAAAAGTGCTATTGAAATCTCAATAAATAAGTAAATTCCTCAGGATCTGAATCTGTCTACTGCAATAAGGAGACAAACATTTCTCTTTATCATAAACAGAAATAACAAAAAATAATTTTTCTGTGAAAATTTTGGGTGAAAAATATTCTTTTACTTTGTACTTATTTGCTAATCCTTCAGCACTACTCCAGGGCCAAATCTCAGAAATCAGGACATGCAGGGATTTCAAGTGAGGGTCTCTCTCTTCTTCCAGAAGACCTGAGGCTCTGAGGGGGGGGGAGGAGGTCCTGCTCTGACTCCTATAACCCGTGGTTGAGAACATGTGAGCAAACTCTCTTTTCAGGTAACTTTCTCATGTTAGTACTACAAGCCAAGTCTTACTTTATCACTTTCTTTCATTTGATACAGCACTTCTTTGTTTCTAATTTTTAGCTAGTGAATAAAATACAAAGGAAGAAGTAATATTGGAAAGGATATCATATGCAAATAATAAATTGATTTACCTGGAAAATGACTAGATTTTTTTCTAAAGTTGACAAATGATTTTAACAGTGTACTTACTAAATTTGACAGTTAAGATTAAAAAAAGAAACAATTACGGTGGAAGAACCCACTTACTCTTCATCAAGGCCAATATGTCGACCAAAGAACATTTCAATGAAGCATTCTAACAATTCCTGAGTCCCTCGATGCAGATATAACTGGTTGGCTAACAAGGAAAAGCCACGATTCTTCAGAAATTTATCTTTTTGTTCCTTAGATGCTCTATTAAAATATGCATGTAAGAGCTAAAGAAAAAATTCATGACAATTTAGATCATATGTTAAATGTGATATAATACATACAAGTCAGTATAAATACAATCATACTTGTATTTATAAGTTATTGTCTAAGTTATTCAGAAATATAGAACACAGAAAGCTCAATGAAAGACCCCCTCTATAGTAAGAGGAACTTTGTCTCTGACTGTGGAACGCTAGGGGTGTCTCTCTCTCAAGAGACTTTTTAACACTGCTATGATGGAAAACCAGCCTTTTCAGCAGAGCAGGGACACCTAGCAGACTGGCAGCCTTGGTGGAGTTTAAGTGGAATGAATACATGTGCTTAATTCTGAAGGAAATAAAATCAGTGCACGAGGCTCTCCCTGTAAATCTATATCTATTTGCTTAGAGCTCTATTTCTAGACTACTTGACAGGTTATTTATCCTGAACACAGGCCTGATTTTCCACCCTTCCTGTTTTAAAGACAACGTGTATACAACTTAATTACTTTCCAGAACCACTCCTCTCATGGTTCTGAACTTAGATGGATCTTAGCTCCATTCCATAGATTTCAAGGTGAACTCACTTTGGGCTTTTCTCCCCACCTGAAATTATGAAGGCACCTTTCTCTCTTCCACCCTAGTAAGTCTCTCAAATCTGTTGGTCCTTTGACTTCATTACTCCAGGCTGGAAACTCCTGAATTCCCCTGGACTTCCAGGTGAGCCTGTGGGACTGGTGGTCTCTCCCCTGATTACTATGCTAGCCTGTGAAGGGAGCATGTCCACCTCTCCCTATTTTTCAGTCCCTCCCTCACAGTGGTGACAGACTACCATTCCCCAAACATCTATTTTTATTGCCTTATTTAAAAAGTTTCCTAAGTTGACAGCATACTATCCAGTTGTTTCCCCCCATGAATCCTTCCCTGTGTCTCCATCAGAATTATCTGCTCCCCCTCTGCTCGCATTCTTCTTTATCAGTGCCGCCACTGCAGCACGCATCACGGTCCCTTGCCTTTTACGTGGTTGGGTATGTGACCCTCTTCTTCACAGGACCACAAATTCCTTGAATGCAGGGGCTCATGTTACTCCCCTCTGTACTCCACAGAGCAACCAGCTCAGTGCTCTGCGTGTGAAATGGAAGCACAATGAATACTAGGTGGAACTGCAAGTGGTTATACAATCTTTACATCCAAACAAACTAAAGAGAATGAGGATCTTTAAAAGACCATTCCAGCGCTTGGTTGCTTTCTACTCAAAGCCATTCATATCAAACATTTATTCATTTGACAATCTATTTTGGACAACTCTTATATACCAGACACGAGATATGAACAGAGTTTATTTTCATGTGAGAGATTAAAACATAAGTCCACAGAATAAGTGAAAGATAATTATAAGACATAAACAGGATGCTTTGATGGAAAAAATAAAGAGTAGTGCTAGAAGGAAGTAATTTTGATAAGGTGATCAGGGAAGTTCTTTTGAGAAGATGACATCTGAGCTGACACCTCAGGTCTAAACTCTGATGCTCTGTCTGTGCAGGCGAGATCTCAGTGAACCAAACTTACCTTGTGAATTTTTGTGACATAGATTTACTAAATGTTTAGATACATGAATTTATTGGTAGATTTAAAAAACATTGGAATAAATAAATATATGGGTAACTTGAAACTGGATAATACACACAAAATATAAATAATAAAAAACCATATTTAGTTCATTATTCCTAAATATAAAATAAAGCTTCAAGTCTATTTTACATAAATATTCAAGTTTTTAAATTATACATATGTTTAGTTTCTGAATTAAAACAGCATTCATGTAGTGTTTGCGCTTACTTTAATAACTCCTTGTTGTATAGCTGGTGAAGGGTGGTTAACGAGGACTAAAAGTGTATCTGCTTGAATGATCTTGTCCATCACATCCTCAAGCATCACATCAGGCAGGATGAGAAGAACGCCACTTAAGAGTTCATACAGTCCACAGCAGACAGGTTCTAAACAGTCTTCAGTTACACTAAAACAGAGACCAAAAAGTCTCACTAACACAGGGTAAGGGTAACACCACATGATGATTACCCTAAGAACTGTGCTGAGTGGTAATTTTAAAATGTAAAACAAATCTCATAAGGATTAGGAAATGTTTCCAAATTTAACTGTGATTAACACACTTGCCATCACGTTTTATCACTGGCATTTTTAGGAATATAGTACACTAAACACTATTCTATTCTGTGTTTATGATGCTTAGTACTGGAGTGATTGCCATTTTTGCTATTTATTTTAAATTCAATTTAAAATTCAGTTCTCAGTGGCATTGGCCACGTTTCAACAGGCATGTTTCAAGTGGCATCTGTGGTACTCTCCACCGCAGAGAAGACATTTACATCATCACAGAAGATCCCACTGGGCAGTACTACTTGAGATGCCAGTAGGAATAAGAATCAATCTGATTGTTTCCATGAACTAAGGGGTTTTCTCTAATAATTCCAAGAAATAAAATAAGCCACAAGAGATATTTTTCTTTGAGAGCTATTTAAGCCTTTGGTTGAATGTGGAACTCAATACTACCTAATATTAAAATGAGGAGAAAGGCACTTTCCGTTTGGTATCAACATAATGTAATATCAGAAGTGGTGTAACGAAGACATTTCTAGAGTGTAGAGATTCTTCAAAGAATATTTAAAGAGGGAGGGATGCATAAAAACTATGTGAGTACCTGTGAGCACTTGCAGCACAGTTATAGTTTGGCTCGTAACCAAGAGAAAAGGCAAAGTTTTCCCAGTCCTCAGTGTTCCTGTCAACAAGACTTGGCCACCGGCCCACAGCTGCAGATCCATTCTGTGAAGGAAAAGCTAGCCCAAGACTTGCAATGGTGCTGTGGCTTTGCTGGAATGAGGCCAGTCCCTTCAGGTTGTCTGGTCGGCGTGGGCAGGACTCATCCCCAGGGCTTTCATCATCTGACCGGGGTTCTGCTCCTAGGTCTTTGTGATCTACTCTGACCACAGGAGATCCCAGTGTTCCTTTTGGGACAACACTGGCAAAGTTGTGGGCTGTGAAAGCAGCATCCACTTCACAGACAGTTTTGGCAGACTCGCAGCTACTGATGAGTGCATCCTCTTTGCCTGTTTTCAGCACATTGAACTCCTCTAAAGGGTTCTGTGTCTCTGGCTGGGCAGCAACATACATATCTACAATGTTTCGTAACTTGTCAATACTACAACCCAAACTTCCAGTCAGTTTTAGTGGCTGCACTTGTGGACAGGTAGGAAATGATGGCAGGCTTCTGGAACGCAGCAAGTGGGCAGCCATCGGCTGTGGAATAACAGTGGAGGAACTATCTCCTAGGAAAAGCAACAGAAAAATACTACTTAAAAAGCTGCTAAGAGGGACCACTTCTCTGTGCACTATAAGTCTCAGTCATGGTGAAGGCCCACCTACCTATTGTTAAAGAATCTATTTAGGTTAATTTCCCAGCAACTGCTTAAAATGCTTAAGCGCCAGAACTATTTTTCTTTTAACCACATTTTATTAAAATCTTTCAAGAACATATGCCTTTTCCTGTTTCTTTAACAAAATGCAATATTGACCACATGATTTAAAGTCATTAGGATTAGTGGTTCTGCTGAAATTAAATGAATGAAGTGAAACAATTTATTCAGGCCAGCAGACACATGGATATGGTAAAAAGACCCGATGCTTTGCAACTAGAGATAACCAGATTAAAATGTCAGTTCTGTTAGTTCAGTGGCCTCAGTTAGATCACTCAATTGTACCATATGAGCAGTGTTTTTGTAAACACAAAACGAGAGTTCAGAATATCTACTTTGCAGGTTGCTTTCAGGATTAAGAAAGACCTATAGCATAGTGCCTGGCATATAATAAGTGCTCAATAAATGGCAATTTTATTGTTATTAAACAGCCATAAAAATAAATAAATAAATAAATAAAGGTATCATGTCCATCTGCAACTAATGTTTTTTAAAAAAAGAGTAATTTGGAAGACTGAAAAGTACTGTTGACATAAAGACTTGAATACACTTACTATATAAATACAAGAAGGAAGTGATTCTGAACAAACAGAAAAATGATAGGGAAACATTAAAAGCCCTGGTACAGTCTTCAGCAGTGTGAGGTTAGTCAGACTGAGGCCAGGTTGGGGATTTTCAGGTTAGGAAAACCAACAGGGCTGGGGCTGGGGCTCAGTGGTACAGTGCACACCTAGCACGTGCAAGGCCCTGGGTTCAATCCTCAGCACCATATAAAAATAAATAAATAAATAAAGATATTGTGTCCAACTATAACTAAAAAAATAAATAAATATTTTTAAAAAAGAAAACCAGCAGGCCAAGGGACAAGGAAACTGAAGATGATGTCAAGAAAACTGCCGAAGTTATAGGCTAATGGGATCTTGGCTGGATAGGGAAAGCAGAGGCAAAAAAACCTTGGGAGTGTGGTAAAGAAACCAGAAAAGCTGGGCATGGTGATTCAGCTATTCGGGAGGCTGAAGCAGGAGGATTCTAAGTTCAACATTATTACAGGCAGTGTAGTGAGACCTCATCTCAAAATCTGAAAAATTAACCCTAATAAAATTAGAAAGACAGGATGTTATGATCAGAGAGTGGATTAGAAAGGTTGGGTGCATCCTCTCTGTCATTTTCCTGTGAATCCCCAGAGGATTCTGTTTCTCTATTGGCTAGGGGCTAAAGCTGCCAAAGAGTCTGCTCAAAAGACCTGGAAAGATGGAGACGTGATTGCATTTGAAAATGTTGCAGAGTGATGCACATGATTGAGAAATTGATCATAAATGTAGAATAAACAGTGGAACCCTGTCTCAGGTGTGCTTGGAGGCCTTGTTGATGATCATGTCCATGACGGACGGGACAAGAGTGTGAGGCTGGAGTACTGGATGGCCATCCATCTACCAATGAAGCTGTCTAGAAAGACATGCTCAGGTAGGAAGGAGAGAGTAAAACAAAGAAACCAGGGTTTTGAAGAAAATAGGAAAATAAATCAACGGTTTAATGAAAGATAAATGACTGTGATAACAGAGGACAGATAATGTCAGAAAGTATGAGCCTCAGCCACTCAATCTGTTCTCTAGGGAACTTGTGTTAGATAGCTCTTATTATATTGTGAATTATAGATACCAGAAAGTAGTAAAAATGGGTTCTTTAAATACATCATGCTTAAGTTTAATATTCCATTTATTTTAGTCTAGAACTAAAATATGTAGGGGTATACTTTCATTATTGCTATTTTTACCTTCAGGTGGTGAAGCAGTAAAACCAGATGGGCTTATTACCACAAATCCAGGGCTAGCAAGGGATCTCCCTCCACTGTTAGAATGCCTCAGGTACATGATTGACTGCATTTTCTCCTGAAAGATCTTACCATCTACGATTAAAAAATAAAATTGAGATAGCAAAATATTAAAAAGGGGTAAATAAGAACATAACCTTAAAAGCAAATAATTAAATACAAATTTCAAATAGATGTTCAAAGAGAAAAATGTGGTATACTTTATCCTAGTGTATACCTGACCTGTGAGGACTTACACTGTGTGACTTATCATTACAAATTTTGTTATTATTGTTGCTGGCCACATTCACTTTGCTTTTTTCCTTCAGGCTCAATCTGTCTTCTGAGCTTCATACTTTAAATTCAAGTGCTTGATTTCTTCAGTGCACCACAAATGCAACAAGTCTGAACTGGACCATCTTTCTGCCTAAAGCCACCCTTGCAGTTCTGTGCTCTGGTTAGTTTGACAACAGCACCAGTTCATTCCCCATGGGGAGCCTGAAGCCACTTGGGCCACTAGTTTTGCTTCCTCTGTGCCAAGTCAGTCACCAGGCGATTCTGACGTTATTTCTGGTTCCCTCAACTTGTTCCCTCCCTACCAGAGTGCTGCATCATCTCTTATCTGGATTGCTGTCACGGATTTCTAAATCACATCCTGATGACATCTTGTCATTTTCAAATCTTCACGGCCATCAGAATTTTCTATCCAAAATGTCAATTTCTGCTTAAAACCTCCCGATGGCTTTCTGTTGCCTCCTTTCCAAGCTTATTGTCCACAAGCACCTCCATGATCTGTCCCCAGGCCTCTTACCAGGCTGGCTTCTTCCATTTCAGCTGGACCAACTTCTCACAGCTCCTGCCCAAGCCATTTCCTCTGCCTAACGGACCTTCCCTTGGACTCCTACCTACCTTTAAGACTCAGAGCAGGTATCACCTCCTCCAGGAAACCTCTGTCCCCTCAGCCCTCAACAGGCTCTCTGCTATCAGAAAACCAAAACGCTGACTTCCACATCACTGTGCTTTCCACATGGTGTGGTACAATTACCTGCTTCCACCTCTCGCCCACCTCTCTCCCCTCTACTAGGCCTCAGGTCTTGGAGGGGAAGGAAACGTATTTTACTTGACTTTGCAATTATCCTGCTCCCAGGATTCTGCACAGTACTTACCCTCTAATATGCTGAACTTAATACAAAGTCATGCTACCTAATTTCATTTGGTCTTTTAGTGTTGCTCATTTATTCATTTATTAGACTTCTTTAAAAGGCTGTTGTATAGCTGGTTTTCCATTCTAAACTACCACCTAGGTTTTTCATAGGTTCACTTCTGCTTGCTTTCTTACAGCACTGCTCTGCCCTAGTTCTTTAAAAACTTATTATTCCATCTTCTCTTATACTGATTCCTCTTTCCTGTTGTAACCTCTAAATAGTGATATTTCCAGTGTCTTATCCTTGGCTCCCTCTTTCCTTCTCTTTCTACATTGCTCTACAGTGATCTCATCTATTCTAAACTGAAACTCACTTTGGCACAGGGAGCTCATTGTAACCTCCCCCATGCTATAACCCTCCTTTCTAGTTGCCTGCTACACGATTCTTACAGAGCACCTCAAATGCAACATGCTTTACAAAACCAAAGCCATTATCTTCTACCCTAGCACCCCATTCATCCCATCCTAACCTTCTCAGTTCTCCTTTTATCCCTCTTTTCCAGTTCTACTGCTACTATGCCTACATTCTGTTATTTAATATACCTACAGATTACTTAATTGGACTTACTGTTCCTAGTTTCCTACTCCTGAATCCTACAATAATTTGCTTACATCACATCTGTGTTCAAAAACAAACAAGTAAGTGAGCAAAGCAAAATTAAAAAAAAAAAAAAAAAAAAAACTTTTTCAATGATCTCTAACTAGAATACAAGTTCAAAATCTCTAGCCTTTCATTAAAGGACTCATTTAACATGACCTTAGGGAAAATAAATACATAAATGCCTTAATATGGTATTATTTCTCATTTATCCTTTATAGATCCTATATACATACTTAGGAAAAATTTATTACTCTCTATTTTCTCTATTTTCCTCTCTTCAAGTTATTCTCTTTGCTTGAAGTGCTAATTCTCCAATCTACTTATCAAATTCTACCTAAATTCTTCAATGCCCACAACAGATAATTGTGTAATCTGTTAAATACTCTCTGTATATAATGGTCTAATTAAACTCTTTCTCTTTTGAAGTCTCATTAGCTTTACTTTTGTTTCTAATATACACTGTCATCTAAGTGTGTTTTTCCTTTCTCCTAGGTACTCAGGCTCCCTGAAGGCACAGACCATGTCTGGTTCATTCCAGAACCCCGTGTCCTGTTTCTATCCCAGTAAGTCTAGCTCAGACAGGCCATTCAACAAATATCAAACAAATGTGGATCAAGTGGGCCAGTGGGACAGAAGATCAAACAAAAATGTCATACCTACCTATATGCAAAGAGAAGTAGAAGTTTGTGGGGTTGTGACAAACGTAAGTATTAGTAGGAGGGTGAACTGCTAAAAGGAAATTGAAGATAATTGTCAATAATTCCAAATCTGGAGGAGATCCAAGGACTTCTGCAATAATTTTCACAAATGATCTACAAACCTCTCGGGGCATGGATGTAAGCTGCCCCTCTTTGTGTTCCTGAAAAAAATAAAAATCAAACTCTCTTTAGATTTAAAGAGAACAGTTAAAAAACATTTTTCATTTAAATATGATATTCTTTTTTAAGCTAGAATTCGGCTGGTTTACTACTCTAATCAGACCTTATTTACCATTATGTTGAGTTGCTATTTTTCAAGTCCAGTAATCTTGTTATTAAAAGCTCATTAAAGCCAATAGCAATTTATCCCACGTATCTTAATAGACTGAGGAAAGTCACATCACTGTGCTTGTGGGCATGGACTCCATAGCTCAACACCTAGGCTTACATTCCGGCTCCTTCATTCCCTGGCAGCGTTATCTCAGGTGTGCTTTTCAACACCTGCACGCTTCCACTTCTCTGTCGATAATATGGGAAGAACGCTAATGCTACTTCACAGAGTTCTTAAAAGGAACAAACACACGGACTCTTGGAACAATGCCTTGCACATAGTAAACTCACACATCCAAGTGAGGTCAGACATGCTTCACATCTTAAAGGTTTTTGTGTTGTTGTTGTAAACTTGCACACGCTTTACAGTTGAACATCCATAATCTGAAAATCCAAAATGCTCTAAAATATGAAATTTTTGTGTGCACAGAACTATATTAGTACTACCATCATTACTGTGACTATTGCTCTGACTATGACTATGACTTCCTCTTCTATTATACTGCTTCTATGAAATCCATAGGGAAAACGTGTACATAAAGCCAGTTACACTGTATATCATACATTGATTTACACAGCTCTTTCTCACAATGGCTCTAAAATGGCTTATTTCTAGAATGAGAGGCTAAAAAAGAAGTTACGTGACTAGCTTAAGTGCTACAGAAAATATACAAATAGCGCAACTATAACTTAAACTCAGGCTTCTGACCCCTTACGGCATCATCTACTGCTTGGAATAATGAGACTTGATAGAATGTCAAGTAATTACTAAAGTAGAGACTGATACAACTTGTTTATGTCCGCCAATTCCACTTTCCCAATGGGTAGCAATAGGCTTATGGGTCAAGAGTTTGGGAGGTAAACTTCTTCATCTTCCTTCTCCCTATGTCCAAATACATGTCTCTACATCTATTCCTCTTCGACTCTTAAGCACTACTGAATCAGAGTATTTAAAAGGCAGATTTTAATTTTAATTTAGTCTGACTACTACAGATGTGAGAGAACACTGAGTCTCCAAAAACAAACACAAAACTCCTGTGTCAGTATCTCCCAACTGTAGAGTGGCCAGACTAAGGAACATACATCTCTTGACTTCCAGTTCAAAGTTATTTCTGCCACACCATCTGCCTTTCTTCTCAATAGCACCTCTTGAACCTCCCCAACTCTCCTGGTTGCATTATCAGCTGTTCTTTCCTAAGCCATTCCAGCACATGTTTCTTCAAACTTGCTTGCTCCACTTACTCAAAAATAGTCTGGTATTCTATTTCATTTTTTTTAAATCCCTTAAACCAATCTTTTGTAATTCTGTTTTTCTCTTTGCTCTTGCTGCTAGACTTAAATAATAGCTTGCTCTTACTGCTCCCATGATCCACCTCACATACTGTCTGAAGTCCCTGAAATCTGATTCTTGTCTTCTCCACAGTACTGATATCTTACAAGGCATTAAGAATGTTCAAGGTCATAGCCCATTTCGGCCAACATTTCTCTGAACTTTCTCCATCACTGGGCTCCACCTTATGTGTATGTTCTTCCCTCCTCTTGCCCATGGCTTTTGCTTTTCTGAGTTTCCTGATTCTTCTCTTCCTCTTCAGCTACCCTTTCTACACCTCTTCCTACAGCTGATTTTTCTGGTTTCACATCCTGAGGATGGATGCTTCCGAAGAAGCATCCATCTAAGCCTCCTATGATCTCTCACCTCAGCCATCCATCCCAAGGTGCCCATCACCTCAGCATCCTACTATCTCTCACCTCAGCCATCCATCCCATGGTGCCCCCCATCTATTCCCACTGCTTCGCAGTCACCACCATTTTTTTTTATAATGTCTTTTATTATCCCAGGTTGAAATTTTATGTCACGTGTGACTCCTGAAGCTCCCATTTTATCAGAAGCAAGTCATATTCATTAACCTCTTTCATATTTGCTCCCTACTTTTACACTCCCACCCTTAGTGCCTTAGATCAGGCTCTCCACACTGTTCTCAAACTGATCAAACTACCTCATATTCAATGCTCTACCGATTTGCTAATCTTCCTGAAACACCACAGGGGTTCAGACTCCTTAAAGACAAAGACTAACTTCATTTCTTTAAATACTTTCCATAATACCCAATGTAAAGCTATGCTTCATAAACAGCTATTAATTTGATAAACAGGTTCTTTGAATGAAGGGGGTAAAGAAATATATACTTCTCAGGAAAAGGAATTGGTTCCTTGATTTTTCTATCATTTTTATAAATAATATGGAAATAAAAATATATAGATTGAAGCCTCTAAGTTAAAATATGAATAAGAATCTCAAATTTTCATTTAAATTCATTGCAAATTGGCTAATAATTTCAAAATGGATATAAACAGAAATAGATTTAGAAGAAAATTTATATATAAAGGATGCATAAAACATTCAGTAAGCAAGGGTCCTGAGAGATCACTGTACTGTATTGTTTTTGGTTTTATGTTTAGTGTTGGGGAAACAACCCAGAGCCTAGGGTATAGGCAAATGCACTATCACTGAGACACACCCCCATTCCACTGTCTTGTATTTCTGAAGACAATAATCTAATTTCCATGGGGGCCAAGAAAGGCATTGAAGGGTGTCGCATTCCACAACTAACACACTTAGGATCACTCCAGGGGAACTAGACTGCACGAAATAACCACACAGAGGCAGAGATACCTTTTTCTTTGGGTCTTATGGCAGCTTCTCTGGACTTTAGGGGTTCAAGGAAAGAGAGAGAGAGAGGGCGCGTGCTAAACCCTCTTACTGAGGAGAAGCCATTCAAATGAGGCAAGGAGTCAGGTTTCAGGGACTGAGTCTAGCTTTGTGATGTCTGCTGTCAGCAGGCTGACTGACATCTAGGAAGCCCACACCCAAAGGCAGAGCAAGAGAAGGGGATACACATAGGGCATTTCCATGGAACATTATATCCCAAACAGGGCAAAGGGGTAGGATTACAAAGGAACAGGTGAGTGTAGCTCAACCCCAGGGGTATGCCCACTCAGAAGACTGGCCTTGCTATCCGAGTGGGGAAAAGACGGAGTCATGAGTCATGGCACTACCACACCAGACTACAGTGATCTTTCAGATCCCCTGGTGCATCAGGACGGGAAGGTGTGGTCACTCAGTATGGCCCCCCATAGAAGGGCTCTTGCCTCTTTTTCAGAATTTGTCCATTTAACAAAGAGTTATTAGGTACTTTGTGTGCCAGGTATTAGGCTTATGGAGTGATCAACAAAAAACATATCCCTGCCGTCACGAGGGCTACAGAGGGAAATAAACTATAATCTTATCAACAACGTAAACTTACACATTGGTATACACAATGGAAGGATGGAAAGAGCAGGACAGGTTTCTCTCGGGAAGCAAGGTTTAAGTTGAAGCATGAAGAATAAGCAGGAGTTGGCCAGATGACAAGAATGGAATCAATACCTCTGCGGCAATGGGAATATCACGTGCCTCAAATGGGGAGAAGCCTCTCTTGTGTAAAGGGAATGAAATCCGGGTTCAGTGGCATAAGAGGATATGTGGCCATATCCTCTTATATGTGGCCAACAGATGGCAAGAGCTTTGTAAGGATGTCACAGAGGGTGAATGTCACTTATCCACAACAAGAAGCCCCAGAGCCACTGAAGCACAGGCATTACCAACGTGAAAAATCACTAATCCCATGAACGTCTGCATTTGTCTAACTTCTAACAGAGGCCTCAGACAGTAAAAAAATTGGAAAATAGCCCAATATACCAACTAACCAGGTAAAAGGGCATCTGTAAAAGCAAAGAAAGGAATTTGACTGGAAACCAGGCCATAGCACAGACACTACAATGTAACTCAGGAAGTTAGTATGACTTTTTAACACAGTGGATATATTTTCAATATTTAGTCCATTAAATGTTAGTTCAATATATATGTCCAATATTTAGTTAATATAGATCTTCCAGTCTCCATGGAGCATATTCTTTATTGCATATTTATACAGTCTTTGACCTATTTTTTTTTTACATATGCTATCTCTGTTATTAGTTTACTTTCTCTGCATTATTAGACACAAGGCTAATTCTAGTATATAAAGCAGGTCTTCAACAAACAATGCTTATTAAAACAATACATAGTTATAAGTTGCTATTTAAGGAATACTAGAATAAGATTCATCAGCTATTTCTACAGTTTGAGAGACTGTAAAGTTACCATTCTATTCCAATACAAAAAGAAAACCCTCAGAAGCTTAGTAGTTGCTGTTCTTTTGTCATTTGAGTTAGGAAAGATGACAATGTGAGATCAAGAGGCAAAAGTTGAAAGAAGAACCTAGAGATAAATAAAAAGAAAAGAGAAAAAAAAATCCCACAAAGATTTGATGCTCAGAGTTGAGTTATTAGAGAGAAACAAGGGCAGAGAGCCACTGAGCCAAGGCAGAGGAGGGTACCTGCAGAACCTGACACATTAGCAGGAAGTGGTGCACCGCCCGGGCTTTCAGCAACTGCTGCGTGTTAAACCACTGCTGCTGGTGCTCTGCGCGGATGAGGGCTTCCAGAGCTGCGAGCAGAGTCTCCCACACGCCAGGCTGAGGGAGCAAACACACACAGTTAGCACACAGATGTTCAGAAACTGCCACAGGCTTTTGAGAAAACTACCAAAATAACAAACTAACACTGTGCATACATTTAATGCCCAAAATTAAATTCGCCTGAAAAAAGTTAATCTTAAAAATTTATTTCCCTACTATTTTTCTTTGTAGTCAACAGGTCATTTCTAAATTCCTATGATGAACACAATATTGTATTAAGTGCTTTAGTACATTACCCTTTTCATGGCTTTAATATTTTCAAAAGGTAAATTATCTTGAATTATTTATTCCGATTAAAGAAACAAACATTACCAATATGGCTTTACAAGATGGAAAGTTGTTTCCAAATAACTTGTTCAAAAAGTGATGTTATTTAAAACAGAAAATTCAACAGTAATTTGCATCTTGGAAAATGTGAAATATGTATATTTTGGGATTAACTCACGTTAAGTCCACATAATAGAATTCTCTGAGCTATTAAAAAATTGTGCATCTTCAAAGAGTAGTTTGTATCCTCTGAAGGTGCCTTAAAATGTTCCTCCTGCATTGAATCAATAAAATTATCCAGAATAGCATGAAAAAAGGATCTCACTGATAATAATTGAAAGATTATCTTTACCTCATCTTATTCCTCTAATTGTTCTTTCAATAATGCTATCAACAAAAGGTAACAATAACTGGCCTGGGTCGCAGGTTTTATTATTTCTCCTGTCATTATCTGACAGTGATGAACAACAGAAAAGCCAAGGAACTGACAGACTTAACTCTACTACTCTAAGCAAGGCCGCTCTCTTCAGAAAACGGAACCGAGATCCAAACACAGACATCTAGAAGAAAGGCAGCTCCCGTATGAAAACTTGACTTGGGTCTGACAAAGAGTACCAAAATGAAACAGTGCCCCTGCTACTAAACGGCCAACATGAAAACCAGATTTTGTTAAAAAAACAACTACTTAGGAAGGAAATCCTTATTTCAAATCCATCAAAGTGTATGTATATTTTATCACTTTTGAATGTGATAAAAAAATTTAAAATCTAACAACCCCATATTTTCATGGTCTTCTGAAATACTACATAAACTGTCTAAATTTAGTTAGGATAGATATTCCAATCTCCAGTTGAGCATATTCTTTATTATATACTTATACAGACTTTCATCTAATTTTTTTTACTAATTTTTATGCTATCCCTTTATGTGTTTACCTTCTCTGCAACATGAAACATATATATCTTCTATTTTTCAGATCTTAAAATAAATCTTTATTCAGAATGAGAAATCATGACAAATTACAAAGTGAACAAAAACTGACAAATATCATCAGTATCACAACATACAGAAAAACAGCAGTAGTTGAGTTAGTTGCTTGGCACTACTTTTTAATACTTTTAAGTTTGTGGCTGACTTCCTCTTCATATAACAACGATTTTATAAAAATTTTCTATAGGATGAGTAGAAAAATAATTCTTTTCTAGAAATTTGAGCTAATTCATTTTTATTAATGATAGATTAGAAAAGATTTTTTTTTTTTGGCTTCATAACTCATTACTGTTGTGAAGACTGTAGTCAAATTTGGGAATAATCTCTCTTTCTCTCTCTCTCTAGTACTGGAAACTGAACTCGGGGTGCTCTATCACTGAGGTACACTCAGAGGCCTTTTTATTTTTTATTTTGACAGAGTCTTGCTAAGTTGTGGAGTCTAGCCTTGAACCTGCAATCCCAAGTAACTGGGACTACAGGCATGTACAACCATATCCAGTGGGAATAATCAAATTTTTTAAAATTCTAAAGGTATATACTTAGAATAGCTCTTCAAATAATTACATTTGCTGATAATATTGTTATATTTCAACTAATCACAGACAATCTATTGTTTTTTAAAAATCACCAGTGGGGTTGAGGCCATAGTTCAACGGCAGAGCACTTGCCTAGCATGTGGGAGGCACTGGGTTTGATCCTTAGCACTGCATAAAAATAAACAAATAAAATAAAGGTATGCTTTCCATATACAACTACAAAAATAAATAAATAAATAGATAGATAGATAGATAAAATCACCAGTAACTTCTAGAACCCTGCCACACTCTATATGCACAGTTCATATTAGAAGTGAGCAGCCTGTCTGACCCTATACCACAACAACTGCTGAAAGCCAAGGCAGAAAGGAAACAGCCCTATACCTATTCCCTGGATGAGTCCTGTGAAAACCAGCCCATGCACTCCAGCTGTTGAGATGCTGCACCTAGACCTACTGTCTTTCTACGTTATTTCATGCTTCTGACAAAGTCTTGCCTTTGGCATGATCCAGACCGTGCATCCTAGCCAGTGTGACTCCTCTGCTCAAAAGGACCTCCATTTCTGTCCCCTGGACCTGGTTCCCCAGACTCTTAGAATCCCCTCTTTTGGAGTTTATGCTAAATGTAGGTCCCGAAGGGGATCTAAATGTACCATGTACTCCTGTCTGATTGTAGTATTCTGAGCCAGCCCAAGTTCTGATCCTGACCCTCCAACTTAGTATTACCATGGCTGTTCAAAACTCAGCATGGGAAATAATCCCAGATTTCCACTTACAATGAATATTACACTGAAGTAGTAAATTCATTCTGTGGTTTAGAAGAATGATTAGGTGAATATTAGAGGGTATACACATCTATCTATATTCATAATAGCTGAGATCTGGAAGCAAGGCAAATATCCCTGGATGGAGAATGGAAAAGTGAAATTTGATAGACACATACAATAGAATATTATTCTACCTAAAAGGAGGAAATTTAAACCTATGACATCTGGATGAACCTATGAGGACATTGCACTAAGTGAAGTGAGCAAATTATAAAAGACAAACACTATATGATTCCACTTAGATGAGCTGTTTGGAGTAGTTGAGTCCACAGAGGCAGCAAATACAATGATGGCTGCAGGGCTGTGGAAGGGGAAATGGGGGGTTATTGTTTAACAGGTGCAGAGCTGTGGCTTTACAAGATGGAAAGGATCATGGAGAAAGACAGTGGTAATGGCTGCACAACTCTGTGAATATGCTTGATACCACTGAACTGTACACTTAGATGGTTTAAAAAGTAAATTTGATGTTATAAAATCACAATAAAAAATGAAAAAGATGTATATATTTTTACATGCCTCTGCTTTATTCCATATCTTCCAGTCAAGCAGTAGCTCCTCTAAAAGTTTAACATCTTGGATTATAGCATTAGACTCTATATCCAACTTGAACTCTCCATTCTCATTGATATGGATAACATCTTCCCCACAGCAACCTTCAAGAAGGGTCTATGGAAAACCAGTACCAATATGAGATGCATTAATGAGTGGTTAGACAAACAATCAACAGAAACATTAAGTTTTCAATCTGCAGTCTTAACATTAAAAGGAATATTAGTTACTAATTCACCATTTCATAAAGTGTCTTTGTTCTGTGTTGCAACTCAAATAAACAGAAAATCCTGAACTTCCAACTGTTTGTAAGCAATTACTCAGTTTCAAACACAAAAACCATCCACATCTTATTTTTATTTTTTAAGTGGAAACAATCTGTTCTTAGTAGTAAGGATTTATGTCAGAAATGTATAGATCTTGACAGTTTAAAGAGGTGGGGCTGGGAGCAAGGACATAGAAATCAACTTCTGCCTTAATACCATTACCCACAGAGAAATACTTTCACAATGTTACCATCCAGCTTTTAGCTAGATGAGTGCTTAAATATACAATGACATAGGCATTTATAACTTTAAAACTAATTACAGCAGCACTGCCTGATGCAAACGTACATCTCTGGTTCCTATGAACTGTGATCTCTTCCAAAACTGTGGGATGGAGACCACTTTATCAGTCCACAGCATGAAGAGCCAGACTGAAGACATCTACAGTCCAGCCAAGTCTAAAATTCTTTGAGTTTTTTCTTACTTGTCTAAAATGCTTTATAAAATGAAAAATGTAATTACTTGAATGATGGAAAGAACCAAAAGAGTACATAAGTTTGCTTAAATATACAATAATGAGTTTCCTTCATTTTTTTAGGGAATCACTGAAACCCAAGATTCTTACTGGAAGACTCTAATGAAGGGTAAGAATCACTCATAGAAACTATGGGAATTGACTTTAAGAAGTCATACCTTCAAGATGTGAAAGCCAACAATGCATTTCTGTTTGATCAACACCTGATGAATCATAGAAAGCCCATTACAATTTTCTAATTCATGAGCTCTCTGTTGGTTGAATTTAACTAAGGAGAGCAGGACTCGCAGTGCCAATGCCTGAGTTTCTTCACAGTCACTAAGTTCAACAACCTAAAAACAAGAGATGAATATATTTTTCTCCTAATCTGTTGAGACTAAAAATTTAACACATGTGATTACCTACATTCTTTCATATCAATTTTTTGGTATTTCTTCTCTTTTAAAAAAAACTCCCAACCCAAATAAACTAAAAAAATTTTTTTCACTTATTTATTGACCTTTGGAGTTTTTTCTCTATGCATTGGGAAGATTTAAGGGATAACTTTTCACAAATCTAATTTTTAAAATTACATTTCTTGCCAGGTTCAGTGGTGCATGCCTGTAATCTCAGTGGTTCGGGAGGCTGAGGCAACAGGATCGCAAGTTCAAAGCCAGCCTCAGCAACTTATCAAGACCCTGTCTCTAAATAAAATATAAAAAGGGTTGGGGATGTGGCTCAGTGGTTAAGTGCCCCTGGATTCAATCCCTAGTACCAAAAAAATTTTTTTACACCATTACTGTAGTATGCATTCTTTTCCAAAGGCAATTTAAAAATCTCATAATTTAATATTTGATTGTTCTAATTACATTTGTGGATAACAGAAAACTTCTAAAATCTTCATAAATTAGAAGAAACCTTAACCATCTGTTGCAGAAAGTTTTATGTCATCCTTAATATGAGATTTTTATCTTAGTATGGTTAGGTGTAGCTTTTTTTTGTAATTCATAAGGAACTCTTAATTAATAATAAAGAAGTAGATTCTTTTTAGACAAAACAAAAATAGTGAGTCTTACCCTAGCAAAGAGAAAAACAAAGATACCAGCTCCGCCAACCTCGTGCAGAATGCCTTGAATCGTTTTACACTCAGTAGGCTTGAGGTTTTTTAGTTGAGGAGAGTCTAGCAAGATGCTCTGGACTTCTTTTGAACTGAAGGGTCTTTGAGAGAGCTGGGTTTTCACCTGACCTTTTAGTCTGATCACTGGCTCATAGATGGTATACTGAGCAGGACAATAAGTTGTATAAACAATGGAAAGACTTTCCTGAAACACAAATATTTTCCTTTAATAACAAAACAAAGTTTAAAAGGTTAAGTCATCAGCTGGCAAATAAATATTTCAAAGTGGAAAGACACCCAGGTAGTCTTTATCTTTGTGTGTGGTTTTTTTTTTTTTTTTTTTTTTTTTGTTTGTTTTGTTTTGCTTTTTTAATGGCTACTATACTGAATAAAGATGAACATGAGAAGCAAGGGTGCTTCCCAAAGGGAAATCACTGTCACTGAGTTGTGACTGAAAATATAAACACATTGAGACTGAGAAGGATTCCAGCTTTGGTCAGCTTAGAATAAGCTTACCATCACTACTAACAACAGCTAAGTCTTAGACCACACTCATTATATTATAAACAAAGCACTGCCCTAAGCACTTAGGAATATGGAGACCCTGGTCAAATCATTTGAAATTTTGGCTTTAGATTTGCTCATGGGCCTATAATTAATTTAAAAGTAGCTCTAAACTACATTTTTGTGTTAGAATAGAATTCCAGTCTATTAGCACAACTAAATAAAATTAAGTAGAACTTTCAATATTTCTCCCAGGCATAGGGTAGTTTTGAATAGTTTCTAGCTCCCTGCCAAGTTTTTTCGAACTACTTTAAAAAGTAACGTAAGTTTTAAATGCAGAATGAACTTTGAGGTAGTCTCAGTGGCAGCAGCTGCGCAGCCCAGGCCCAGGGAAATCATGTACACTTGGTGTCTTCTCATACAAGCAGAGGGAATCCTGGGCTTTAGTCATGTATGATTCATGGCAATTTAAGTATCATTTCATCAGATACACCAACAAGTATATCTGTAAACCAGCTAAAGCACCTACACAGTCTGTTGTACATGGTTGAGATAAAATTATTACTTGAACAAATACTTGTGTGAGTCCCTCACTTTCCCTAAAGCAGAGGATCTCAAATCATGACCCCAACCAGCAGCAACAGCAGGGTCACCCAGGAGTTTACCAAAAAGGCATGCTCCTGGCCACACCACAGACACACTCCATCAGAAGCTCTTATCCAGGTATTCTGATAAACTTCAGTGAGTCTTCTCAGTGAGTGGACCTTGGTACTTAGACCGGTTAGCATCTCTGGCCCCCACATGATAATAGTTGACAGCCAAAACCTACTCAGGCCCACTCTGCACACACCATGTAAAAGTATTCCTTAGAGATAAGAGATTACATGCCTAATGTCAGAACTTCTGATACACTCCATAGTTATCCATTGTTTCTATTTTGCCACAGATATATATTTGACAGCATTTAAGATGTATATGTGTTTTACAAAACATCTGTACTATAATTTGCCCTTTAGTCACATGTTATAGCTTTAAAATAGAATTATTTGTGGAGGAGAGGGCTGTGGCATGAACCCAAGGCCTCCCAATAGTAGGCAAGCACTCTGCCACTGAGCTACATATAATTTTTTTATTTGAAACATACATCTCAACAATAAATAAATACATTCCCAAACAGTAGTCTGCGTCAAGTAAGAAATCTCTCTGTCTACAATTGTTCTTCTCACAAGAAACAAGAGGAAGGGCCAGGGAGGCAGCTCAGTGGCATGGCCCTTGCCTGGAGTGCACAAGACCCTGGGTTTGATTCTTAGCACCACAAGAACAAAAGCAACGCCCCATTCCAAGAAAAGAAAAGAAAAGAAAAAAAATCAAAACCCCACACAATAAGACAACAAGAGGAGGAACAGTTTCATGGCCAGATGTAACAGTTTTTAGTAGCTCTTCTAAGACTAAGAAATCTATTTTCTAGTTGTTATTAATGCAAAATCCCCACCAGTAGCCCTAAACTGTATACTGGTAGAACAAAACATTAGAATAATGTAAAAAAAAAAAAAACAAAAAAACAAGAGTATCATATTAGCAATACTTTGAAGGCAATATTGTTAGTTTCTACTAATATTAAAAAATCAGTTATCAAAAACCTGATACATGTAATTAAAACTAATATTATAAATGAACATTAGTATTTATTTTTTAAGAATGAAAAGGAAATATAATGAGCAATATTATAAAAAGTATATAAGGCTTATATTTTCACTGTATCACAAACATTTTTCCTGAATTTTTACTAGGTATAAACTGATAAAATTATTACAGAAATATAATTCCAAGGAAAAATAGATATAAATTTAAAACCTGAAATTATGACAGAGTGACAAAGTGTTTTGAGTATTTTTTTCAGGAAAAAAATAAAATATTGTAAGAAATACTGTAAGAAAATATTAAGGTACAAAATGAAAAATTAGAAATCTAATGCATGGGAAGTATATATTTCAATAAATATACCTATATAAAGTTTACTCTAAAGTTTAAATTTCTAAAATTAAACTTACAATTAGGAGACCAACATCCACATCTTTTTTATTCATAAAAAGTTCTCTGATTTGTTCACATCGCAAAATTTCTTTATTAATATACTTGGAGCAGTCATTCACGGGCTTGCCGTATTTACACGGCATTATGGATGTATAATTGGGTCCACAGGCGTATAAATAAAAGGCTTCTTGTGAACCAATCTTCGCTCCTGAGTAGCAGAGAAATACAGTCAGTTACTTAGAAACTGAAGCAGAATCTGTCACGGAGGACAAGAGGGCCAGAGTTCTTTTTGCCAGATTCCATCAACTATTCACTACATCTATCTATATGCTCCTTCAATCAGAAAACAAGCTTTTGGTTTTGTTTTGCTTGTTGTTTTTAATAAATGGAAACTATATCTTGGTAAATTCCATTTTAAAATAAACTTGAATTGATGTCTTTATTCTTTCCCATATTTCAATAAGCACTATCTGAATACTACTATATGCCAGGTTTAATGACATATTTTTTAAATTGTATCTCCTCCCTCCCCGAAAATTTAGTATTGACAGGACACACTAAAATTATAAATAAAAGAGACAACCATTCTACATTTACTAGTCCTGATACTACATTTTTCAGGACTGTAAAATGATGCTGATTTAATGTTTGGAGTGGGATAGAGAGAGATGCACTTAATGTGTATTTCAGTCGTAAGATAGATCCACATTAGAAAAGGTTTAAGTTCTTCAAAAGTAAATCATAGGATCTTGGGAATATACTACTTATTAAACACAGGTGAAGGAACAGAGATCTATATTTTAGCTGGGTTAATGTACTTAGTTTAACATTTGTTAAATGAAAGAAAATTTTGGAAATGCTTCCAAGGGGAAAATATACCATTGAAGAGGAGCAAATTTCCCAGGTCCCATTTTCCAGACAACTGCAAAACCTCTTCTTGAGATGATAAGCCATGGCCAATCATGCAAAATGTTTTATTGCTATCTGATGACAAACTTGTTTTTCTTGGAAGCATAAAGTCCAAAGTGACATCAGGCTTCCTGCATTGAAAACAAAGTCAAGTCAGTGATTTCAGGGAGTACTAGAACTAAGCATTTTAAAGTATGACTGTTTAGTGATGGGACATTCTTTTTTTTTTTTTTTTTAATTTTTTTATTGTTGGTTGTTCAAAACATTACATAGTTCTTGATATATCATATTTCACACTTTGATTCAAGTGGGTTATGAACTCCCATTTTTACCCCGTATACAAATTGCAGAATCACATCAGTTACACATCCATTGATTTACATATTGCCATACTAGTGTCTGTTGTATTCTGCTGCCTTTCCTATCCTCTACTATCCCCCCTCCCCTCCCCTCCCCTCCCCTCTTCTCTCTCTACCCCCTCTACTGTCATTCATTTCTCCCCCTTGTATTATTTTCCCCTTTCGATGGGACATTCTTGAATACTGCTTCTTGGCTCAGTATACATGGTTGGTGATGGGAAGAGAGGATGCTGGTTCTGCTTTGGGTCAGAAGTGCTGCCCATCCACATGCCACAGAAAGGCAGACAAAGGAAAGGTGACTGAAGAGTCTACAATAGGTCACGGGAGTGTGACCAGCCAGCCATTCACTCCAAGTTTTTGTCATTGTTGGACTTCTGCATATGTGCCTTCCTGGTTTACAGAAACAAACCAACCATCCCTCTCCTAATTTTACCAAGAAGACTACTATTTTGGTAAACAATTCCTAAAATTTCATATCCTCTAAAAGGACTCGAAGACTAAGCAGAAATAGAATGTCACTTCACCAAACTTTGCTCTGTCTCACCACTGAAATGCCAAGGCTATCCACATTTTTTTTTTAAATGCTTAGGATTATAGAACTTTGGACTAGTCTTTTTTCTCCACGGATAAAGGTTACAGGGATGCTTATGAAGGACAGGAAAAGCAAGACTTTCCTCATAGACAGGCAGGGAAGCTAGGAGGACTTCTTCATCTAGTGAAATTGATGAGTGTCAAACTCTACCCCTACTTTAGGCATGTCTTAAATTCATATTAAGATAATGAAGGTAAACTATTAAGACAAAGTCTAGATAAAATTTGTGAATAAGATGAAGACTTAGAATAAACTAACATGGTTAGGTCCTTTTAAGAAATTCAACCTTGTGTATATTTATTTAAAATTTTCCTTTTGTTTTCATGTTTCATATTTCACAAACAAAATTGACTATTTTAATAGGCTGAGACTAGACAATCCTTGGTACAAAAAAATGACTGTAACTAAAACACTACTGCCACCTGGTGACAGTATGATAATATAATTTTTAAGGGTGAATGAAAACCTACTGCAAGATGAATGCAAAAGAAATTCAATAACTATCTATTATGCCATATATTTCTACCATATTTATGTGTTGTTCATCAAATCACAACTTATATGAAATATTAATAAGTCATTTTTAAGAAGTTATTACTAAGAAGTTATTCTTTGTATGCTGCTACTTTGCTGAATTTTAATCTATAGCTCAGAAAGTGACAAAAGCACTGAACATGAGAATATTTTTGTCCTTGTTCACATGCTCACTGCTCTGCTAATTAAGTCATTAACTTGTACCAAATGACAAAAAATGTCTTCAAAGGAATGTAGAAATAAACGGGAGGACAAAGAAAATGATATGTGAATCAAGTGATCATACTAATTTCAGAACTGTCTGTGATGACAACCTAATCTCTCACTCTAAATGTGTCTATTTTACTTAGTTTTCATATCAGTCAGGTGACCTGATTCAGAAAATGGCTGCAGAGCTTTACAATACAGGGCTTGAAAGCATGGGCTCCAGTTAGGGTCAGGGCTTGGGTTCGAATCTCAGCTCTGCTCCTTGCCTATGCCATGACTTTGGACAGCTACCTTACCCTGTTCTGGGTTTCAGTTGACTCAGGTAAAACAGAGTAAATACATCAACTTCATAGTGTTTGGGGAGAATGACACTCTATGTAAAGTGCTTAATACAATGGCTGGCCCTTGTCAGGAGTTCCAGAAATAAGAGAGTCCAAGAGGGGAAAGAGGCATCCACTCACAGCCCCACCTCCAACTCCAACTAATCTGACTCAATGTTCTGCAAACAAGTTTACTGATTGCTACAGCTACCATTTCAGGGTTAGGCAGGTGTGAAGACTGAGAACTTTCCAGACAGCATTTATTTGGAATATGGACATTAGGCTTTAATTAGTTATTTTCTTAACTGAATAAAACAAGGCTGAATTCTTAATTTAACTGCCAAACCTGTTCTTCCCTATGGCAGGCACTGTGGACCAGCTACCCCAGAGCCATTCATAAGCCCCTTCTCCCTGCCTTCCTCCATCATTGAAGCCTGACAGCTAAAAGCAATCAATTCCTGCAGCCTCCTATAGCAATGGCAGGCACACAGCAATTGCTCAATAAATGTGATGAATGGATGAACAGGTTGATTTGTGCTAAAGATGCATGCTATTTCTGTGGTCTAGCCTGCTCTGGGCATTAGAAGATGTGTGTAAGCACCTAGCTAAAGGACACACTGTAGAATGGTCTGTGGGCTCAGCTCTAGACTTGGCAGCTTGGCAGTCAGTATACCCTCTCAAATATCTTTACCATGTCCCTTCATTATTTAATTTAGTCTCTTCCAGCCGTTTTTCTTACAGTCATTATAATTTCATTTACATTTTTCTCTATTCATTGTAATTTCTTTTAGGAGCCTAATTTAATTTAGGTATAAGCTTTATTAGCCAATTTGTTTAAATAATTCCTTGTGAATTTTTTTACAACATGGGTTTGAGGATTAAAATTATAGTTTATTCTTTGATCTAATATTTATTGTACATAAATATCTAAATGTCCAGGTTTTCTGCATTCTACCCAAACACAAATACAATCATCCATCAGTATCCATAGGGGGCTGCCCCCCATCCCAGGACCTCTGCAGATCAAAATCTGAGGATTCTCAAGTCTCTCATACAAAATGGCATATTTGCATATAACCCATATCCTCCTGTATACTTTAAGTCGTTTCTAGATTATTTATCAAAGCTAATACAACATAGATGCTCTGTAAATAACTGTTATACTGAATTGTGTAGAGAATAATAAGAAAAAGACCCTGTATATATTCACTATAAACACAACTTTTTCTTGAATATTTTTAGTCTGAGGTTGGTTGAATCTGTAGGTGCAGAACCCATGCATACAGCAGACCCACTGTGTTAAGCCTTAATAGTTAATTCTATGGCAGATTTATTTTGTATGAAAGGGATAAATAGAAAAAAACAACTCTAATACAATTTTTATGTTAATATATAGTAAATTTTACCTTCAGTTTTCGGAACTCTTTCTAGAGTTATAATAGACTAATTGAAATTATAACTGAGATTAATATGTATTCTTAAAAAACACTTCATACCTCTGTCCAGAGACCCATGTGGAGATTTTCCCATGTACATTCTTTTTCCCTTGAGGCTGCTGGAGGTAGGTGAGTACTAAATGCTGCCATTTGCTTGGGAGGAAAATATTTTCCTGTGATTCAACCTGTGCTAGTAAAACAGCTTTCATATCATCATTTGAATCCATGCATACACTACAGAAAAAAGGGAAGAAAACATATTGGCTGAAAAACATGAAAATTCTGTCCTTATTATTTAATACATGCATAAGAACTACAATTCTAAATATTTAAGTGAGGTTAAAAATCAGTTATATTTTTAAATAAAATAACTTGAAAAGTCAGTAGGTCTTTGTCTTACAACCAAAAATATCAGTTATTTTATTATATTATTACCTCAATTCGTGAGCTAAGATAGGTTAGGGTCATTGGCTGATGTTAATTTAGGGCAATAATTTCCAGAAATCAGTTTGTAAACAAATATTATTTCTATGTACATAGTCATTGTCTTTGTTAGAAATGACAATGTAATATTTGGTTCACATTTATTTTAACAAATGTCCAAATGTCTGAACATATTGGAGGTCTAATCTACTTTGAGAGTAGATTCACTTGACTGAAAAAGTGAAGAACTAATGCATACAAGATACCTAGAAACCTTTCTAACATTATAAAATACATATTCTGAAGTAACGAATTGGTTTGTTTGGTTTTGGGTCTTATTTCACATTATTGGCTCTCATATTAAATATCTAAATTATTTAAATGCACATCTATTCATTAGGGGTTAAGGATAATCGATACCGAAAGATAAAAGTGCCATTGTGCGCATCAGCCCACACTTGGATCATCAACGCTTTGGATCCCAGGGAAATTAAATGGATGCAGCCTTCTTCGATGAGTCTTTCACCGGGATTTGTATACTCTGCACCTTCTGGTTTTTCGCTCTCTATGAGAAAAACATGTTAGAATGGTCAGTAAAGAATATGATGTATGGTGGTTCATTTGTAGCATAATATTTACCTGAAATGTCGGAACTTCACCTGTTCCAAACAACAATATTTCCAAAGTTTAGATATTAACTTCAAAAGAGCATAATACACACCAACAGTTATCGAGCGCTTTACAAGTTACTACGTTTTAAAGTCTATGATGACTGAGAGCAGTCGTGAGCATGACTGCTGGGCTGCCACCTCAGTGACTTACTACCATCTCTACCAAGCTGCCTTTATCGTTGGACTGGGCACTTAACATTGACCCTGGTCCAGAGAGCACACAACATTGTCACATACTCACACTACCAAATTCACTCCACAACTGTCATAAAAATTGATCATATTAAAACTCCTTTAAAAAAATTATATTGTTTGAAAATAATATTAGATTCCCTGGTGAGTGATCTTTGAATGTAACTGCTAAGAGATTCTGAAACTCTACATTATAGTTTCTTTAAGTCAAAGAGGTAAGTGCTTACAGCTAAGCACTATCTGGTTATTGATTCCAACTTCTCTCTCTCACCACTTGAACCCTGCACTACGTGAATATATATGATGAACTACTTATTACTATGATGCCTGTGACTTCATGTAAAGCTACGTTAAGATCTATCAAAATGCACATCCAAAGGCTTATTAGACTTCTACAGAATATGAACATTACTAATTATTGTTAAACTGCATAAATATTAATTGTCAACAGGTATAATTACCACCAATTTTTAAGAATACTCTTCTGAGCATAGTGACAACAGTCCTAAAGAGGAAGAGTTAGTCAATAGTTATTTTGAGGATCAGTGCCCAAAATATGATAGATATAGAGAACTCATATCTGTTTTAACATTTAAAAAACATTTCTATCTAAAATCTGAACCTGAACAAATAAACGAACAAAACAAATACCAGTGTGTACCTAGGAATTAGAGAGCAGGAATATAGCAAATATTTCTTGACCTAATGCTCATAAAAATCTTAGGAGATGAATATTATTATCCCTACATTGGGGGTGACAGAATTGAGAGGTTAAATAACCTCCTCAAATGTATACAGTTCAATGTCAGAATAGGTGATATCACTGCAATATGTTTTTCATTTCTCTTCAAAAATTTTTATATATGTCTGCTATTTTTAGATTTTTTTAGTATTTATGCACAATAACCTTTCTAAAATGTTTCCTAATACATCTTTAAATTTTTTTTAAATTTATTTTTTAGTTATAGTTGAACACAATACCTTTATTTCACTTATTTATTTTTATGTGTTGCTGAGGATCAAACCCAGGGTCTCACACGGGTGAGGCGAGCGCTCCCCCAGCCCCAGCCCCATATCTTTTAAATTTAAACTCAAAAATTTTTTGGATCTTTACTTTTTTCAGTTGTGTACAATTATTCATTTTATTAAGACCTTGCTCACATTGGGAATGCCCCACTACAACATTAGAAAGCAATCTGCTTTCAGCAGAGCATTGATGTTTAAGTTTGAGAATTAAACACAGATGGGCCTGGTCCCATTCCACCACTTTCCAGCTATGTGACTTGATCATGTTGCTTAGCCTCAGCTACAGGTATGGAGAGTGTGAGCGCTCTCCTTACTGACTTGCAGTCAGGGTTAAAAATGAACACAGGGAGAGCTGGGCAAAGCGGCACACAAACCAAAAGGGCACAAGGCATGTTAAACATCAGTAGCAGCAGTGGTGGCAGCAGCAACAATGCTGTGACAGGCAGTACCCTTTCAGTGCTATCACTCTCAGGAGGCACACTTCGTCCACAGAAGATACTACAACTACCTGAAACAAATTATTTGACGAGTTTTTTATTTTAAAGTTTAGCCTCTAAGGCTAACCCAGAAAAGCATACAACTGCTATGCTGTTAGTAACATGGAAAACATTTATGAAAAGTGGATTCCAATGGTGGAAATTAGATGGTACTTGCCACTGCTTCAATCTTGACTGTGTCATTAGGAATTTTCCTTTCCATGTACAGATCAGTGGAGACCAGACACTGGGTGGGGGCTTATGTTCTAAAATAGAGTCTTCAAGGGGTGGGTAAGACTTCTAGGATGAATAGTTAGTGATGTCTATACATATAAAATACATATACATGTACATATAAAATCCTCAACTTCTGTGTCATTCAATTATTATATTTATTATTATATTAATTCCATGGGCCTTAAGAATTATCCTACTTACTTTATTTCCCTCCACCAAACACTGCTTTTTTAAAAAAAATATTTTTTAGTTGTCAATGGACCTTTATTTTGTTTATTTATATGTGGTGACGAGGCTGAGAATCAAACCTCACACATGCTAGGCAAGCACTCTGCCGCTGAGCCACAATTTTTGCCCTGATTATACGAGAAAGAAGATACAGTTACAAGGCACCATAACAATTCCTCAGTTATAGAAAGGGCTGAAATGAATCATATTCTTACTTTGGGGAATGAATGATTCATGTAAACTCCTGTGACAGGAACTAAGAGAAGGCCACTGAGGTCAGGCATGACACCAGAAGGAAAACTTGAAACAAAGGGAAAGAAAGTGGACTAGGGCTGCCTGATAGGGGCTGGAACCAGATGCCAGACAAAAGTGGCTCTAGGGCTGCAGCTTTTCCTATCCTAACATCAGGAGCTACCCTATCCAGAAACAGGACCCAAAAAGAAGCAGGGAATGGGGCTGATGACCCCATCAGCATCCCACCTGTCCCCCTATCCCCAGGACAAAAAGTACAGAAGGAACCAAATTTCAAGGCTATCTGGAACTCAGACTTTGGTAAATCAGGCCCTCTAAGGTGAAGAACATTAAGAACAAGTTAGAACACTACTGTATATCTTAACTCTTGACTAAAATTGGCCTCTGAAAATCCTTGGTGTACAAATGATAATCATGTCATCATACCTGCTCCATCAAAACTGCTGTCTTGTACAATCAAGGATTTGTTTCTTTTCTTTATCTTCTTTCCTTCCTCTGTGGCACTCTCAGATTCATGGATACACTCCACATTAAACCACAATGAGATACTGAAACCTTCTGATAGGTGTGGCCAGCAGTTCTGCCCCAGCAATGGCAAGTGGATTGGGGCTATGTGCCAAGAGGAAAGCAGCCGATGTGGGAAATTTCCTCTGTCAACCTCTTTCTTGGACCGTGAAACTCGTGCTCTTCGCAGTAAGCCTATGGCCTTGCTGTTTAGGATCCCGGGACACTTTGGTGGTGAGACCCCATTGCTTAAGCTTGGGGTATGCAGCAATGGAAAGGTCAGATACTGTGACGGGCTCATAGTAACATCACTTTCCACAATTTTCAGAAGACCCAGAAGAAGAATTTCCTAGAGAAAAAAACGAATGAAACTTTATAATCATGTAACCAAGTACATAATTATTTTGAAATTCAGGTTATTAGTGAAAATATAAACAAAACCACATACATCAGTATTTCTATTTCAATACCTTCTTATCTAGCATATCTTTAAAATTTTTATTTTTGTATAGTTAAAATGAAATATCAAACATACTTTATTCTTAAAAGTTGTAATCTCTTGTGGTTAATTTAGTTTAAATTTAGATATTTTTATGGTACAACCTAATATTTATGAGTTGGTTTTAAGCATTATAGGCTAAAAGGCTAAATATGATGATTATATCAGTAATTTCTAAAAAAAAAAAAAAAAGCATTCATTTTCCTGTACACTGTGGTTCTTCTCAATTACTTTAAAATGAGTGATGTAATCAAAGACCTTAAAAATTCTCCAGATTTCTGAATGATACTACAACGTGACTGACTTCATAAAACTGAATGCTCAATTACTTTCTAATTTATTTCACATGCTTTTTTCCTAGTCAAATAAATTTTCTTTCATGTGTGTTTGGCAAACTGAAATAAGGTTTTAAGATTGATTCATAATTACATGTTTTTTGGTTGATCTGAAATATTAAGAGAGAGGAAATGAACACTTAATTAAAGGGAAGAAGAATAATTAAGAAGAGAAAGAGGTAAAAAAGTAGACGAGATTGGCCTAGTGGCATGCCCAAGTCACACATAAAAGGACATCTGATGCTGATTGGTATCAGGGAGTGAGCTTGCAAGTACTACAAGCCTTCCATAAATACACAGCCAGCTCTCCATAGTTCCTTGGAGGCCACAGGACTGGTGCAGAAGGTGAAGTGGGGGTGAGTTTGGCAAGGGATAGGATCCCAACCTTGCTTTACACAAAGCAGCCTCAATGTTTTCTGTTTTATTTACAAACATTTCTAGTCGAGATTTCATCATAAAAATGGGTTCACCTTGGCTCAGGATGTGGTCAGTGGTACAGTGCTTGCCTAGCATGCGAGAGGCTCTGGGTTTCATCCCCAGCATCACACACCCACACCCACACCCACACCCACACACACACACACAGGTTTCCCAGCAACTAAAAGCCACTGGGCTATCCTACTGGAAAAGAAAATAAGGAAGATAACTGAGAAGTGGATAATCTTGTTTTTAGAAAAGAATGATCTCAAAGATAGTTGTAATTACAATTAAATTGTTTTAGTAATTAAAATTAGCATTTTTCAAGCACAAAGGTTAGGGACAAAGTATGTTAAAGGGACTATAATTTGGTTAGTCAAAATCAAAGTGAATATTGACTTGGTTAAAATATATGCAAACAATAAAATAATTGGGTACTTCATACATGACACCATGAAATTGACTATATAACAATTGCCACATCAAAAGAAAGAGCTTAGTGATTTCCAACTAAATACATTCTATTAATATTAGTGAAAAATGTAAAAATCATAGCATATTTACTGTACAAGGAGATTTCTCCAGAAATATCCTCAAAAGAAGGGTTAGTTCTTCTGAACATGTTCTTGTGCTCATCAAAGACACCAGGAGATCCACCAGTACTCTCTGGCATGCTAAACATAAAACAGCCAGTACACATTTAATTAAAGAAAACAAATAAGCATCTTGCATGGATTATGAACAATTTAGTAATCACAAAATTTGCTGAACAAATAGCAAGGTAACTAAATGCAACTCAACCAACAAAACACTTTTCTTAAAAGATTGGCTAGCTATAAGTAAACTGAAGGCATCTTTAAATCAATAGAGTATCTGTTAGATATGTTGACATTCCCCTTACCATAAAATGGTCTGTTACCTTCTCATTTTGAAATTTTTAAGTTATAGCTATTACTATAATTAATATTATAGTATATTATTTACATGGAAAATTAAATGACAGAATTAAGTAAAAATAGTAAAAATTATACAAATACTTAAATATCACAAACTAGTTTAAATAGTTTATTTTACTAAGGAGTTTAGCATAAAATACAAACAGTGGCACTAAATTCATAGAATTCTTTAGAGTAAAATATCTTCTTAGTCTTTATAGAGCACATTTTAGTGTTCAATGGTTATTTTTACATGCATTATCTCAGCTGATCCTTACCAAAACCAAAAACATATGAATCAATTATTATTACCACCTCAGAAATGACAAAAATAAGACTGATATAAAACCTGAGGTGTATCTTAAAAGAATGGTAGTTTTGAAAGACCTGAAGATCAGAGAACTGAAGCTAGGTTTAAGCCACCCAGTCTATAAAGGCAGTGAGCTGATGCAACAGTGTCACAGAGGGCACACCTGGGAAGACAATTTGCAATGACACCACAAATTAGAGTAGACTTTACGCTCCAAGTAACATGAACCCTATAAGGATTTTAGAGTAGGAAAGTAATTATGAGCAGAATAAAATGTTAGATTTTTTTTTTCCACTTCAAATGAGGATTACTTCTGTAAAACCACTGAAAACTCAAAGCACTAAAGTATAAAGTTACCAAAAGGAAGAAATCTATAACAACAAAAAGAAAACTAAAAGCAGCGAGGATGGTTGTGTGCACTGGGGACATGTCAGGTGAAAAAAAGCCAAAAACTTTTTTTTTTTGGTACTTGGTATTGAACCCAGGGGTGCTTAACCACTGAGCCACATCACCAGCCCTTTTTATTTTTTATTTTGAGACAGGGTCTCACTAAGTTGCTTAGGGCCTCACTACATTGCTGAGGCTGGCCTTGAACTTGTGATCCTCCTGGCCTCTACCTCTCAAGTCACTGGGATTACAAACTTGCACCACCATGCCCAGAAGAAGTAAAGGGATAAAAGAGAAAGTTGTATCCTACTTCTTTTGAATTACAAAGGGACTTAGAGCAGCCCAGGGTTCATCTGTTGGTCTAAAGTCAGGAGAGGGAATGAGAATGCTGCTGAAATGATCATATGATTCTTATCTTTAAGTCTATTGATGTGGTGAATAACATTTATTGATTTCCGTATATTGAACCAGCTTTGCATTCCAGGGATGAATCCTACTTGATCATGGTGCACAATTTTTTTGATATGTTTTTGTATCCGATTTGCCAGAATTTTATTGAGGATTTTTAACCATATGATCATCTTGATAGATGCAGAAAAAGCATTCGACAAAGTACAGCATCCCTTTATGTTCAAAACTCTAGAAAAACTAGGGATAACAGGAACATACCTCAATATTGTAAAAGCTATCTATGCTAAGCCTCAGGCTAGCATCATTCTGAACGGAGAAAAATTGAAGGCATTCCCTCTAAAATCTGGAACAAGACAGGGATGCCCTCTCTCACCACTTCTGTTCAACATAGTTCTCGAAACACTGGCCAGAGCAATTAGACAGACGAAAGAAATTAAAGGCATCAAAATAGGAAAAGAAGAACTTAAATTATCACTATTTGCAGATGACATGATTCTATACCTAGCAGACCCAAAAGGGTCTACAAAGAAACTATTAGAGCTAATAAATGAATTCAGCAAAGTGGCAGGATATAAAATCAACACGCATAAATCAAAGGCATTCCTGTATATCAGCGACAAATCCTCTGAAATGGAAATGAGGACAACCACTCCATTCACAATATCCTCAAAAAAAATAAAATACTTGGGAATCAACCTAACAAAAGAGGTGAAAGACTTATACAATGAAAACTACAGAACCCTAAAGAGAGAAATAGAAGAAGATCTTAGAAGATGGAAAAATATACCCTGTTCATGGATAGGCAGAACATCATCAAAATGGCGATATTACCAAAAGTTCTCTATAGGTTTAATGCAATGCCAATCAAAATCCCAATGGCATTTCTTGTAGAAATAGAGAAAGCAATCATGAAATTCATATGGAAAAATAAAAGACCCAGAATAGCAAAAACAACTCTAAGCAGGAAGTGTGAATCAGGTGGTATAGCGATACCAGACTTCAAACTATACTACAGAGCAATAGTAACAAAAACAGCATGGTACTGGTACCAAAACAGGCGGGTGGACCAATGGTACAGAATAGAGGACACAGAAACCAATCCACAATATTACAACTATCTTATATTTGATAAAGGGGCTAAAAGCGTGCAATGGAGGAAGGATAGCATCTTCAACAAATGGTGCTGGGAAAACTGGAAATCCATATGCAACAAAATGAAACTGAATCCCTTTCTCTCGCCATGCACAAAAGTTAACTCAAAATGGATCAAGGAGCTTGATATCAAATCAGAGACACGCCGTCTGATACAAGAAAAAGTTGGCTACGATCTACATACTGTGGGGTCGGGCTCCAAATTCCTCAATAGGACACCCATAACACAAGAGTTAATAACTAGAATCAACAAATGGGACTTACTCAAACTAAAAAGTTTTTTCTCAGCAAAAGACACAATAAGAGAGGTAAATAGGGAGCCTAAATCCTGGGAACAAATCTTTACTCCTCACACTTCAGATAGAGCCCTAATATCCAGAGTATACAAAGAACTCAAAAAATTAAACAGTAAGAAAACAAATAACCCAATCAACAAATGGGCCAAGGACCTGAACAGACACTTCTCAGAGGAGGACATACAATCAATCAACAAGTACATGAAAAAATGCTCACCATCTCTAGCAGTCAGAGAAATGCAAATCAAAAGCACCCTAAGATACCATCTCACTCCAGTAAGATTGGCAGCCATTATGAAGTCAAACAACAACAAGTGCTGGCAAGGATGTGGGGAAAAGGGTACACTTGTACATTGCTGGTGGGACTGCAAATTGGTGCGGCCAATTTGGAAAGCAGTATGGAGATTTCTTGGAAAGCTGGGAATGGAACCACCATTTGACCCAGCTATTGCCCTTCTTGGTCTATTCCCTAAAGACCTAAAAAGAGCATACTACAGGGATACTGCTACATCGATGTTCATAGCAGCACAATTCACAATAGCAAGACTGTGGAACCAACCTAGATGCCCTTCAATAGACGAATGGATTAAAAAAATGTGGCATTTATACACAATGGAGTATTACTCTGCATTAAAAAATGACAAAATCATAGAATTTGCAGGGAAATGGATGGCATTAGAGAAGATTATGCTAAGTGAAGCTAGCCAATCCCTAAAAAACAAATGCCAAATGTCTTCTTTGATATAAGGAGAGTAACTAAGAACAGAGTAGGGAAGAAGAGCATGAGAAGAAGATTAACATTAAACAGGGATGAGAGGTGGGAGGGAAAGGGAGAGAGAAGGGAAATTGCATGGAAATGGAAGGAGACCCTCAGGGTTATACAAAATTACATACAAGAGGAAGTGAGGGGAAAGGGGAAAAAAACAAGGGGGAGAAATGAATTACAGTAGATGGGGTAGACAGAGAAGAGGGGAGGGGAGGGGAGGGGAGGGGAGGGGGGATAGTAGAGGATAGGAAAGGCAGCAGAACACAACAGACACTAGTATGGCAATATGTAAATCAGTGGATGTGTAACCGATGTGATTCTGCAATCTGTATACGGGGTAAAAATGGGATTTCATAACCCACTTGAATCAAAATGTGAAATATGATATATCAAGAACTATGTAATGTTTTGAACAACCAACAATAAAAATTATTAAAAAAAAGAGAGAATGCTGCTGAAAACACAGAAATGAATGAAATGTCTCTTGGTGACCTTCACCTTTCTTCCTATTTCTGATTACAGAGAGCAGATAGCTCGGTTCTCAGTTTTAGGCTAAAAACCTAAGGATTCTTTTCTAAAGAAATGAAATGGATCACCAAGTGAAAGCTCAGAAGTGCAGTGGAATGTCAACATCATGGCTACTGAGCATACTGGTCAAATTGCCTAACCAGCTCACCAGGCTGCGCACTCTGGTGAAGCTGTCCTGCCTGGATGAAGAAAGATGCTCCTCACAGGCCAAGCTCTGTGTGCAGTGGACCCATTTTCATGATGTACGCAAAGTGCCCCGTGGGGTAACTGTGGCCCTAATGGCTCCCCAAAGTAAAGCTCTCCTCCTTAGGGCATCTCCTCCTTAGGACATCCACCCAGAACTCTTCAACAGACATCCATGCAGAGAAGAGGCCAAAAAGGAAGACAAATAATTTTACAACACTAGAGGAAATCCCCAACAATTTTTTAAATATAAATAGGCAAAACAGGTTCACAAAATATTTCGGAATCAGAAATCTAAAAGAATAATCCCAAGATGTAAAAAGTGAATAATCAATAAACTGATTCTAGAAGGAAAAATAGTAATTTAGGGGTTTTAAGAAATCATCTTAAAATGTTAATATCCAGATATACATATATATAAGATATTCTATCCTCATATGAAAAAGAAATAGCCAGAAAATGATCAAACAAAAAGAGCGCTTAAATATTAAATAGAGGACTGGTGTTGTGGCTCAGTGATAACAGCGCTGCCTAGCATGTTTGAGGCCCTAAGTTTGATTCTCAGTACCACATAAAGATAAATAAATAAAGGTATCCTGTCCATCTACAACTAAAAAAAAATTTAAAAATATAAAATAGATAGTTGCCCAAATTAAAAACTGAATAAAAGATTGAAACAGAATTGAAAAATATCTTCCAAAATATAGCAAAAAAAGAGAGAAGTGGATACTATGAGAGAAAAGACAAGACACATGTAGGGTATATCCAAAAGACTCAAGATTACAATTAGAATGCAAGAAAACAAAAAGCAGAGAATACAGAAAGAAGAAAATTATTTTAATAAGTATTAAATCTTTATGACCTCGGATTGGATCTTCCTAGATTTGACACCAAAACAACAAAGCAAGGAGATTTGACAATTAATTGTAATATGGCATATCCTGGGTAAGATCTCTGAACAGGAAAACGATATTAGGCAAAAACTTAGGAAATCTGAATAAACTAACATAGTTAATAACATATCAACATAGCTTCATTAATTGTAACAGACACCATACTAATGTTAGATGGTAGCAGGGGACTCTGACAGAGAGGAGTGCAATACAGAGTATAATAATACACCCATACACGACATAAGTAAATGGAGGAGAAAAATAAAGCTCTTCTTTACAGTATAATCCCAACTAATAAATGTAGAAAGAATGACAGGAATAGAAAATCACTATTTGGCCAACACCCAGTCTTAGCTGTTTCTATGAATGATTATCAATAGATGCTAAAATTTGTGGGTTAAGGTATGAGGAAAAATAGGATATTTACATATTTTAAGCTACAACCCCAAAAGATATTTATTAATTGTAAGGGAAAAATAGTAACTATACAATGGAGAAACCTGGCAGACAGCATCTACAGTGATTAAAGTTAATGTCACTAGTAATAAGCTATAGACACCATGAACCCCTTGATATAATGCCCTCAGAAGGACTCAACATTACTGCCAAGTATTTCTGCCAAAACTGTATAATCTGAATTTAGTCAGAAGGAAACATTGTGCAAACCCAAATTATTGTTTTATATTAGCTTTTATACTCCAACTAAAATTTAGGTTTATTGTGGCTAAGCATCATATTATATATCATTATTAGTTTTTCAAATGTCTGAGATAGCACTAATTAGAGAATAGACAATATGAGATAAGGGAGTAGCAGAACATTCGTGCCAGATTACCATCCCCGCAACACTACCCAACAATTTACTTAATCCTTCCAAATCTAGATTTTCATCCCTATACATTAAGTATGTCTATTTAATTGAGGAAGACAGAGGGACAAATGGGATGATGTATATAAAGGTACTTTTGAAATCAGGGCATAATGCCAATGGATGCTGTGATGATCAACTCTTCACACAAGAACAAAACAATTTCAAAGCTATTTTTTAAAAACAGTTTTAACTCACCTTGAAAATCAGAATCAGCTTGTGTTAAAATACTCAAGAACCCTCCTAAAAGATTTTTCACAGTTCCCTGAAGATTATAAAATGAAACATAAGAAATTAAATGTTTTACCAAATGGAAACAGAAAAACTTCAACAAAGTAATAAATTATTTAATAGGAATCTTGTGAGTGTGTGTGTGGGCGTGTGCACGCATTTAAATGACTGGAAAAATGCTCTAGGTAGGATTAATTATGCATTTATTTTCCATACTATCTTGATTTTTAAAAATATTTTAAAGCAATGAACATACTTTACAATTAAATGCAATTTTTAAAAAAGTTATCAATTTTCAGAAAGATAAAAGGGATTCATTACTGGTCAGCCAATGACAATATTAACTTTGTATGCTACTTTAGAGAAATATAGAATCAGAAGATTTTAGAATGTTAGACAAGACATTCAAGGTCAATACACAAGTATTAGGGGTTGGGGCTGTAGCTCAGCGGTAGAGCGCTTGCCTAGCACATGTGAGGCACTGGGTTCCATCCTTAGCACCACATAAAAACAAACAAACAAAATAAAGGCATGCTGTCAATCTACAACTACAAAAAAATTTTAAAAACCACAGGTATTATAAAAGATAAGTGATCATCTCAACTAATTTTCAGATGAGTTGGGTTATAAGTAAAGATATGGGGGATTGGGATATCAGTGACAGGTAGCGATCAAACTTAAAACATATTTACCTGTTGCATGAGTAGAAAAATGTTCTTTTCTTTCTGCTGGATAATTTTCAAAAAACTCTCAAATACATGAGCAAGCACATCAAGTTTAGCTTTGCTAGCAGAAAGCAAATTTAATTCCAGCATGCAAATCTCAGGATATATTATTTCCCCTTTAGTGAGCTTTTCAATCAAGTCATTTGGACTGACTGATGCACTGAAACCTTCTGCTTCAGGTTTTAAATCTACCCCTGCAAAGGGAAACAGGAAAGACTATGTTTATACTCTAAAACACTGAATAAATACTTTAAACCTTATTTCCATTTAGAAGACCTAGTGGCAAAAGTGCTATTTATAAGAAGATGCTCATAAAATCTTTTCCTCTAATATTACTTTTGATTCAAGTATTGAACCAAGTCTTGTGGATAGTTTGAAGTTTAATGAGTAATCTTAAAAGTAATTTTGATATCCAATAAAACTACAAATATTACCAACAGCAATTTTTATACATATGTGATAAAGATTAAATATACTCCTCCAACACAACTGGAGAAAAATTACTATTCCAAACTTTTTGCCCCCAAAATACCTAGATCACAGGGTAGTTTAATTCACTTGCCCATATTACTACGAAAATAGTGGATTCGGCTCTTGATTTCTAGGCTCAAACTTGCAATTCTTCTGCCTCAGCCTCCCAACTAGCTAGAATTACAGGTATGCACTGTGCCTGGTGTGGGTGGATGAATTTTAAACTTTGTCTTCTCCATATGTGTGAAAAAGAGTCTTTCTTACTGAATATGACATTTTGGGAGACAGATCTTAAAAAGAGACTGCTGTGATATTCAAAAAATGTTCATATAATGAAGAAATTTATAAATTTCTACCTGGACCAGAATTCTTGAAGTTGAGATCTAGTTAGCAAACACAAAAGGGAAGACATCTACTATTACAAAATCATACCTATACTATTACAAAATCATACCTATATTATGATAAAACCATCATTAAATTGATATCTTTTCAAAAAGCATCAACCATGGGTTCCTTATATCCTTTAACCAAAATATTAATGATTATTCCCATTCATTTTCTGTGAAAAAGAAAATTAACTCTGAGGAAGATAAACAACTTTAAATTTAGTGAAGACTAACAGTACTGAGACATTCATAAGGCCAGTATAGGAAAAGACAGAGCTTTCCTAGAAATCTTTTGGCTCAAATCAACCCATCTTTCCCATTCCACTCAAGTTTTAAGCCCAGAGACAAAGGATCATATGCAATGTAGTTCCATCCCAAGGGCAAAAGTGGACTGCAGAAAACTAAGAAGAAATCTATACTGAATTCTTGGATGTCACAGAATGATGTCTGCATTCCTTTTGTTATTTATTCTTTATAATAAACTGCCAGTATTTGGCTGGTTTTCTTTATTTAGAACTCAATTGTAAATATCACCTCTTCAGAAAGGGTGTCCCTAATCACTCAACCACTATCACATCACCTGGTTTTATACTGCTTATGTTGTTTATTTCTGATAATTATTGTCTATATTTCCCAGTGGAATGAATATGAAACCGGGAAAATACACATATGTTCTTAGGCTCTCAGTCAATGTTTGTGATAACAAGATCCATTTCATGTTTTAAATTGCATATATGAATGCCAGATTTGTTAACGTGATACATTTTAAATTGTAAGGCAATACAGAGTTCTAAAGTAAGCATCACTCTGAACCACTTTCAGATCCAATCACAAGCACATCCACAACATTTGTACCGTCATCCCGGGTTTCGCCATCCTCAGGATTGCTTTCACTATCCGCCTCATAACCTTCTTCTTCAACCAGAAGTTTAAAACTACAACACTGAGGACCTTCAGCTTCTTCTGAAAAATCTCCAGGTTGGGAAGACAACTCTTCCTCAGACTGATGACTCTAGAAGATCAGTATAATTCAAAGGCAACAGTTGTAATATTCCCTCATTTCTAGCAACAGGATATTTATTACTTTTTGAGAAAAAAAATCTTACTAACTAGTAACCATTATGAATTATGAAATTCACTAAGCCAAACTTTCTAGTACCTTTCAGACAAGTTAACACTTCATTTAAAGTGGTTTCTAACAGATGGGTCATCTTGATTTCCCTGAAAAATAAACCTACTTGGAAATTTCATTCTAGTTATACAATAAAGAATGACTAAAGATCATTAGGAGGTGGAATTATACTTTGTACTATTTAATGTTTATATATTACTTATTTGCTATTGGAAATTTTTTCAAAGAATTTTTACAAATAATACTTCATAAATTAGTTAACCATAGAAGATATGACAATTTTTCAAAGGGAGTGAAGATGATTTCTGAATGTAAATGTCTACATATAAGCATCTCAAAAATCAAGAGTCCCAGTATTAATTTCCTGTTGTAACATCTGTGATAAGACATTTTCTTATGAAAATGCTATCAATATCTTCACTTAAGAAACATGTTCACTTTAAAAAGTTCAGAGTATTTTATTGCAACAATAATAAAAAGTAGCACAAAGTATGTTGACATTTTAGAGTTATAGCAGGCATGGGCTGGGGTTGTAGCTCAGTGGTAGAATGCTTGCCTTGCATGCGTGAGGCCCTAGGCTCAATAAAATTAAACAAATAAAAATAAAGATATAGATATATAGATACAGAGTTACGGAAAGCAGTAATATATTTCAGTAAAAGATTATTAAACATCACATCTATCTATTGACTAGCAGCAGGCCAAAGAGAAGTTATATAAAGGTTAGTGATAATGAAACAAACATAAAAGAAAGATGAAAGAAGAAATGAGTCAACTGTATATCAAAAAGTTAAAGGGAAAAAATTAAAAGTTACTTTAGAAAAAAAAATGTTAACACCAACCACTAAAATACTATGATTGCTATTTTCTATGAAAGTACTAGTCAATTTCATATTGAATGATTTAAAATTAAAATGAGTAGAGTTCTAGAAATATTAACTGCATCAATATAGGACCAGATTAGATAGCTGAATCTCACCATTCCTAAATTACCACTTAATAAACTCAGTTATATGTAAGACTTATCAAATCAAATCATATATTTGTCTTACTTGGAGTAATTCTAAGTAAATTTCCAGATTAGATTAAAGAAAAGCATGTCCTATTGCTCTTCTGTGTTTTGAGGTAAGGTACTGATGAAACACTACCCCCATGGAACTCACCTGACTAAATCTGGGTCCCTATGTTCTTTTTTTTTTTTTTTTTTTTAATTTTTTATTGTTGGTTGTTCAAAACATTACAAATTTCTTGACATATCATATTCCACACTTTGATTCAAGTGGGTTATGAAATCCCACCTTCACCCCATACACAGATTGCAGAATCACATCAGTTACACATCCATTGATTTACATATTGCCATACTAGTGTCTGTTGTGCTCCGCTGCCTTTCCCATCCTCCCCCCTCCCCCCTCCCCACCTCTCCCCTCCCCTCCCCTCCTCTCTCTCTACCCCCTCCACTGTATAACCCTGAGGGTCTCCTTCCATTTCCAAGCAATTTCCCTTCTCTCTCTGGGTCCCTATGTTCTAAGAACCACATTCACTAACCTCCTAGTCCCATCTCATACGCCTGCCTCTGCTAGTCATACCCAATAACACAACCATATAGGTTCATACCTTCTCTGTCACAGCATCAGGATGTTCAAAATCTGCTAAATGATTCCCCAGGGCAACTCTAAGCAGGGCATCAAACAAAGGCTTTGCCAATTCTGTCTCAGTCACTTTTGACTGGGAAAGATGATCCCTCATTTCAAACAATATATTTTCCACAGACAAGTTCTAAGGTAAAATAAGAGAGACCAGGAATATCAATAACATGTTTTTAACAAACAGTGACAAAATAAATAATTTCTTAACAAACAGAAATCCCATTTATTTACAGTTGATATGAAATAAATTGACTATATAAATTTTGACCTCTTATCCCAACATTCTATGGGAAAGTTAATAACATTTTTATTTATTAAATATATTACTTGTTTTTAAGCTTCAATTACCATAAATGAATTGCATCACAAAGATTATTTCCTGAAACTTCATAGTTTCAATTAACCATCTTTGGAGTTTACAAATTTTCTATTGTTGTGGTTTAGATATGAGGTGTCCCCTAAAAGCTCATATGTGAGACAATATAAGAAAGTTCAGAGTGAGAAGATGGGTTAGGACAGCCTTAGCCTAATTATTGCATTAATCCTCAGTAGGGATTAACTGGGTGGTAACTGAGGGAAGGTAGGGTGTGGCTGGAGAGGTAAGTCCCTGGGGTGTGCCTTTGGGGTGTATATTTTGACCTTGTTGAGTAGAGCTCTCTCTCTTTTGCTCTCTCTGCTTCCTGCTGCCAGGTTCCCAGCTGTTTTCCACTCCCACACTGTTCCACCATGATGTTCTGTCTCACCTTGAGCCTCAAGGAATGGAGTTAACCATCTATGGACTAAGACCTCTGAAACCCTGAGTCCCCAAATAAACTCTTCCTCCTCTAATTGTTCTTGTCAGGTATTTTGGTCAAAGCAGCAAAAAAAGCTGTCTAAAACACTTATCACTTATTCTCAGAGATTCCTTAAGATTCTAAGAAGTTCTAATTCTCTTCTCTCAGTCCTTTCCTTCTGCTCATGAAGGAAGCTCTTGGTGCTTGCTTGTATCTCTAAAATAGGTGATGAGACCATGAAGATGGAAAAGAAACCAACTTGTTTAAGGAATTACCATCCACCACGAGAAACAGGTACATAGGAGTATGACGATAACTCTACCAGAACTATGAACAAAATGCTCTCAGAACAGAAAACTGAGAAGGTGCCTGAGTGACCAAGTACCCCAGAGGAATTGTATGGGAGGGTCAGAGAACAAGCAGGAAACAGCAGGCACTGGAACAGAAGAAGAAAGATTATGCCAAGCACAAGAACATGCACACAACCCCAGAAGCAATGGCAAAGATCAGCTTGGTATGGCTGACTGCAGCACGGTGAGGAGCAGCAGAATGTGAGGCTACACAAAGAAGTAGAGCAGACTGTGGAGGGTTTTGCAGGCTATGCTAGGAGTGGGCTTTTAACTGAGAACAATATAGAAGCATTAAGATGTTTTAGACAGGAGGCTACACAGAGGCTGAAACTAGAGTAAGGGGACTCATTGGCTGAAATAACAAGAAGGGACCAGTTAGTAAGGAAATCAGATCTTCCACATTCCCAAGTTTCTTAGTAGCAGGGCCTGAGATCATGAATTTCTTTTTGGTGAGGGGTGCTCTCGGAGATATCTGTCAGGATGTGACAGATGCAGAAGAGGTCAGAAGAATGCAGACAAAGAATGTGGTTTCAGGAAAAATCTCGCTCATTCCATAGAAAGCTCTGAAGCCTCAAGTGTACCACAGAGATTGTCCTCACCCCCAGAGCCACATCCATCAGCCACTGGCAGTAAGCACCCTTTGCCTGGGCACAGCACTCTATCAGCCAAGATGATCTTCAGAGGAAGGAAGCAGCCCACATCACATGGGTGCCTCAACATTCTCAGTCCAACACAAGAAACATGAGTAATGACAGACATGATGAGGACGACAAAAGAGCATAAACCAAGGAGAGGGGATCTAGGCAGGGAACCCAACGGAGTCACACCAAGATTGTGAATTCCGAAACACAATATGCATAATTACTCATGTGAAGCTAAATATGTGAGCTGCTTCACATGGGGTTTTGCATTACAAACTAAACTATAAGGCTCTTTAGGGCAAAGGCTAGGGCACATGGTTCTTTGTGCCTTCCATGATACCTGGAACTGAACTGTGCTAGACACACAGGAATTTCTCAAAATGTAAAAGCTTTGTAAAAATAAAATGATAATAGTATTAAGTCAGAACTTTTACACACACACACACACACACACACACACACACACACACACAGGGCTAGACTAAAAGCAAAGTATTACCTGATTAGGTAACTCCAATTCTATCTTTTGTTGACTGTTTCTAGCACTATGAAGACAAATGGCCAGAATGGCTTCCAAAAGTCGTATGCTCTGAAGTGCGGTCTCACTTTCTCGCCTCCTAAACACCTTTGCTTCCTCAGGAGTAGCTTCAGTAGATGAAATAGGCTCCATGTTTATGGAAGAAATACACTGTGATTCTAATTCACCTACACTGTCAGCATTGTTTTTCAGACTACCCCGATCAGGTGGTGTGTGGTCCTTTGTTGTAGTCAGAGATGACAAATCTTCCTTCCTTGCTTTCTCCTGTTGAGAAGTTCTGACCAAGTCTTGGTTTTCAATTACATTTATATTTCCCTGCCTTTCCCCTTGCTTGTCTTCATGATTTCTGAATATTTTCTGTATTATCATAAATATTAACTTATGGCACACTCGGAAACCACCAAGCCTATGAAACTGTTTCTGGAAGACTGAGCTCAACATGTAAATCCAACGACACATGGACCACACGTCTGCTGCTTGGTGCATATGCTCAGGAGAAGGCAAGACGAGGCTCTCAAGAGACAAACATGGCAGCGCATGACTTAAAGGCTCACTGGCTGTACTGTCATAGCCAGAAGTATCTTCTGACTCATTGGCCGACTCCCTATCCAACTCTGCTTCTTTACTTACACATAAAAATGCCTCACAGAGGAAGAGGTTTATGGTGTTGATATGAACATCTTGGTGAACAGTATTCCATTTCTTTGGATAAGCTTCTTTGAGACCAGCATAGAATTTGCTGAGGCTTTGAGGAGAATCTGAATAAGCCTGATGGTCATGAAAAGGGGCCCCTGTATTTGAGGACAAGGGCTCCTTCTCTTCAGTGTGTGATCCATCGATACCTGGGGTTGAAACATCTTTCTGTTGTTCCCCTAGGCTGATTATCAGAGTTTCAAATGCTCTTAGGGAATGACTTCGAATACCATCTAAGTAATTTAATTCAATTATTTGATTTATTCCATTACATCTTAAAAACAAATCTCTTATTACCCTGTGAGAGAAATGGGGGAAAAAATATATATATGAACATTATTTATAAATAGGTACATAAGCTGCTTAAATATCGCATTGCTGCGCATTATATACTTAATACTACCTAACTTGATTTATTAATTATCTCATAAAGTTCTTAGTTAGATAGTGGCCAGAACCTCAAGCTACTTTAGAATTACTCTCAAGTCCTTCTTTAAATACTGCATGTATGGCTCTGAAAGTATTGAAAAAGGATTATGTACAACCCAAATTAAATGAAGCAAATCAGGGAAGAATATTTTTCTCCAAATGGCAAAAATCTATATAAATTCTCTCCAATCACCATCATCCAGACACAGATGCCCTAAGAGCAGACAAGCATCTGGAGTTTGTTCATTTGTTCCTCTGCCTAAGGGTTCATTGAGGACTTTTCATTTGTCTTACATCTTTAATTCAAAAAGGTAAAGAATCAAAACACAGAGCTGAAATTTTCTTCAGAAGGCTTTTCTCTCAGATGAAGATTCACATGAGTTTCTCTGCAGTTGTCTCTAATTTGGCCAGTTGATCAGAACAGACAAATACTGAATACTACAGAAGGTTTTCAGGGGGCTAGGATGCAGCTCAGCCCTAGAGGACTTGCCTACCAATATGCAAGGACCAGGGTTCCATCTCCAGCACAGCAAAAAAATTTACAAAGTATGGAGGGAGGGGAGATTTATCTCTTTCCCAAGTGAGATCTGTGTCTAGGTCACTGGAATCATTCTAGTAATATGTAATGTAAATCAGTTCAGTGACTCTCAGACCTTATTTTACAAAGATCCAGGTTGCCCACAAAAGAGTTGCAAAATTTTCAATCGAAGTCAGTTGTATTTAAACAAAGTAAAAAAAACAAAAGGGTCAAAAATTTTAAAAATAATTGTAGGGAAATGATTTAATATCAGTATTAAAGTAGTTAAGATGAACCCCAAAATGCCACATGTGAAAACAGTAATGATAGGTTATATTTATTTTACTACAAGTTTTTAAGAATGCTATAAGTATTAACTTGAAAGGCTAATTAATATACCTACCAGAAGCAAGCTTTATTTATAAAATTATTTTTAAATGTACTAGACTTGGCAATCACAAAATCTGGAAAATCACTGGTGGGTTTACAAGTAATTGTAATTTCCTTCATTTGTTTTTCTGTATTTTTCTTATTTTTTTCTATATTCATTGCTTAGGTAATAAATCCAAATATGATATTTAAAAATAATAATCCTCTAATGCCACTTCTTCAATATACAATTATCATCTCATATATGTACATATTTTATACAGTTGTAAATAAGTGAATATTGTTTGAAATTTTGTATATTTAAAAAAAATTTTTTTAATTGTAGTTGGACAAAATGCCTTTATTTTATTTATTTTTATGTGGTGCTGAGGATGGATCCCAGCGCCTCGCACATGCTAGGCGAGCGCTCTACTGCTGAGCTACAACCCCAACCCCTGAAATTTTGCATATTATAAGCATTTTCTCTTGTCCCAGCATAATCTTTGTAAGCATTTAAAAAATATATTTTTTGGTGTAGATGGATACAATATTTTCATTTTTGTGGGGGTGGGGGGTACCATGGATTGAACTCAGGGGCAATCCACCACTAAGCCACATCCCCAGTGCTATTTTTGTATTTTATTTAGAGACAGGATCTCACTGAGTTGCTTAGCTCCTCGCTTTTGCTGAGGCTGGCTTTGAACTCGTGATCTTCCTGCCTCAGCCTCAGAGCCGCTGGGTTTACAGGCATGCACACTGTGCCCAGCTCACAATACCTTTATTTTATTTATTTTTATGTGGAACTGGGGATGGAACCCAGTGCCTCACACATGTGCCCCTTATAGAAGCATTTTTAATGGCTAATAATATTCCATCTATAAATACAATTAAACTTGGCCCTTGCTCTTAGATATTTATGTTGCATCTGTTTTTCTTCCTCAGAAATATATCTAAAACTTTACCTTTTTTCCATTGAGACCTTAAATTCAATGACTATCCTCTTCTTTATCACTATTCCCAGTCAAAATAAATAAATAAACAGTTTAAACTATGGCAAGAGGTGGGAGTTTTTTTTGTTAAAAACTAAAATTAGACTAAAGTTTTTTCGTTAATAAACTCAGACAACAGTAAATATGGTTTAGGCTGCTGATAAGGCTCTGGAGATATGAGAATTAGAAGTGCCAATGCATACGCTTTATCACACATTCAAAAGCATCCATAAGAAAAAATAGCAGCATATATATACATACACAAACCTGGATTTAAGCAGGATAGGCAGAGTTTTTAAATAAACCTGAAGCACTTCCTGCGGCAGACACCGTTTCAGGTGGTTGCACATATGAGTTCGAGCAGAAGTAATGTTGAGATGTTGACAGTGATGTGCTAGTTCAACTCCTCTTTGCAGCACAGGATTAAACAGGTAATTGTACAACTTCCACTGAATAACTACATTGCCTTTCTGGATTAAGTTACAAATGTGATTTGCAATCTGTATACTATGTAATCCGTCATCTTCAAAAACAAATTTCTGATAAGCCTCTAATGCATCCCACTTCCACAGCAAGTCTTCAGATCCACTGCTGGGCAGGATCCCCTGAAATCTGTAGGAAGGACTGGGTGCACCCGAGGCAGGTTCGGTAGCATACAAGCTGCCCTGCAGTGTCTCTTCTAACTTGGCCAGCTGGTCAGAGTCCACAGTACAAATGTTGCACGCTGCTTTTTTAATTTTCTGTGGTATCTCTGCACCTCCCAACTGATCCAAAATAAGTTTGTTAAGGATATTCAATATATGCTGCTGAAAATTTTTCAGTGCTGGCAATTTAAAAGCATGCAGCAAAGGGATGATTACAGATTTGGGATCCATACAGCAGCATATTCCAACACTATGAATGCCTGATAGAATCTGGACACAGGTGCTGCCCAAAGAAGCCTGCTGCAGCAAGCGCAAGCACTGATGAGCACACACTGCAATACAGCAGCACCGCTCGGGATAATGAACATCTCCATCCGCAGTCTCTTCAAAGGGGTTTCTGGAAAGCTGGTTTTTAAAAGCTGAAACCAGAAGTCCGGAGAGATCTCGGTGGTGATGCATAAAGTGAGAATACTCACAGCGTCTGTGCCTTTTTCTCGTACACATTGAGTGATGAAGTTGCTCTGATTTTACTTTTTTCACAGTGCTCATGATTTTCATCACACTATTTATTAGGGCTGTCAGATGTTGTGAGGCCTCTGGAGGAACTCCATCTCTTGAAACTAGCCATTCCATTTGAAGAACTGCTGTTTCAAATAGATTAAATCCTTGGTGCTGAATGAATTCTTGAACCAGATCCATGGCTTGACTGAAGTAGAAGGGATTTGAAGCTGAACTTTGAAGACAACAGATCAGGATCCGTAGAACTCCTTCCAGAAGCTCAGGTAAAAGAAGGGCTCTATGACGAAACTGGGAAAACATAAAGCCCTCCTGGACCTCCTGTAGTGTTTTCTTTTGTCTTGGTGCAAAAGGATCAGGCTGCTTTTCTAAGCAAGTTCTAATTTTTAAAGCTGCCCTAAGCAATTCAGTTAAATTTTTTCTAAGACTTTCCGGCATGACCTCTGCAGCACTAATATCTACTGACATGAGATGCAACACTGTTCGAAAGAGCATCCTCTGAACTAAAGCCACGGGTTCTTCGGTCCAACTTACAGAAACCACTTCATTCTCCAGCTTGTCACTTAGATTACAGCAGTCCCCAAAGCCTGCTAGGAATTCAGTCAGTGTCGGCACTACACTGGCTGCAAGGGCAGAATTATGATTCAAAGTAATGTCAAATTTACAAACTTTTTCCAATAAGGACAACAGAACATGACATAAGTCAAATGGAGAATTATTCATGTTACTGAGAATAGACAAGGCAGCTGGTTCACTTAAAATGTCAGTGCTTGACTCCTGCCTCGGAGTAGTCTCTGTGGAGTTTCTCAAAGCCATGGTATCAGGAGACACCTGCTCTTTGGTTACAAAGGAGCTTAGTCTAGGTGAGAGGTGGTCTTCAGGAGACTGGGTTACGAAACGCTGCAGTGCATGGAGCCTTCTGTGCTTACTCACTGCCGTGCTTTTCTCATCTGAGTTGCCTTCTGAGTCAGAGGTGGAGAGCTGTGTTTTTCGAGCATCTCTTATAGAATAGCGATGGGTACTTTTACGCTGTCGTCTGCTTTTTCGAAAAGCATTTACTTTTGTAGAAACCTGACCAGATGGGGCACTTCCTTCTAAACATAATTTTTCCTGAGTAGATCTATGTGAACTTGAGTTCTTTTCTTTGGTCAGGATTATATCAGATGACAATGGCAAATTAAAATCTAATGAAATGAAGAAAGAAGATTTAGAACACCTCAGCATGTTGTTACACTCAATTTGTTCAGGCAGTGACACTCTCATTTACCACCACCCACTGTAAGAGTCCAGCCTCACATGATTTTGCTACAGGCTGTTTCTCTCAGTTACGCTCTCTCTGAGTTACTTCTTCCTATATTTATCCTTCTCATTCTAAATACGAGGTGGCATTAGTTCAAAGGATACCGACTGATTTGGAAACCAATAAAGGAGAATAGAATTAGTATTTAAAATCATATATTTCATTTTAACTGCAACGTAGTTAGTGCTGCTGTTCAACCACTTTACAAACTTCCTCCAGTAATGTCACAATGAAGACACAGGGATATATTATGTTCTCACAAAAGCAGTAGTTTACAGCCTTTAAGAACTTTAAATTTTTCCAAAATTAATTCAAAATCATATAGTATATACCAAATGTTCACCAAGACTGAAGTTAAGAGTTCTGAATTAAAAATATTTCTCAAGGGCCTCATGAACTGAACTAAGCACAAGGTATGGATATCAGTGTTTGATCCTCAGTCCCTACTAGCCTAGGGCTTGCCCTGTGGTCAGCACTCAATGGCTACTTCTTGGAGAAATGAATGAATCTTCCTTACTAAAAAGATGATTAAATTGATCTTTCCCTTTGCAATATGTATCAAAATCTACATGAAAAATACAGTTGCAATTTAGAGTGAATAAAAATTGTAAATTAAAGAACTATGCTTTACTTAGTAGAGGGAAACAAACAAATGAGAGGAAAAATTAAAAGCAGTCTGACCAATTCCATTGAAGCAAAAAATATAGGCAATGAAGAAAATCTCCCTAAAAAGACACCAATCAGATTTCTTATGTGACTAAGAATTTTTGAATTCTAAAAATTCAGAAGAAAATAAGAGCATAGAGTAAATCAACAATATTACAAGACCTTAGATAACCTCATAAAAGAGACCCATATGAGAAATTTCCTAAAAACACAAGGCATTAAAATATAGTACAGGAGAATTTTTTTCTTTTAACCTGATTCTCAAGCATTTCACAATTCATATTTCCTAGAAATGGTCAAGGGGGAATATTGCTAATCCTTCCAGTGAAATATTTAAAGTTTCATGTATTTACATGAATATACAAATATATATAAACTTTACATATATACATATATATTAAATATATATTCATATATATTATATATATACACATATATACATATGTTTTTATATATACACAGACTTATTTTTCAAAATCAGAAAATAAAAATGTCTCTTGGCCTTAAGTGTAATAATTCTACATGGTTTTTGAAACAAAATATTATTTCAAACTTATCCTTTAGAAACAACGTTAGATAAACTAAAGCAAACAAGTCATTTCTAGAGAACTGGTAACAGCAATCTTTAAGCAAAGAAACTTTAATTTCTTTCTTCACACTTTCCACTATCCATTTTTCTGATGTGGCATATCTGGGTTTACTCTCTCAGATAAGTGCTCTGCTTCTTCATATATTTTCTAATCATCATTACCCTGAGTAATCCCCTAAGAAGCACCATGGTTTTTATATTACTGGAAAAAATTAAAAATGTGCTTGCTAAAGATTTTTCATATTAAGTATATATAAATCATAATTAACATATGCAGAATCTGAAGCTGCACCAACCATTCAGGCAGAAGCAGCTTCTCAGTGGGATTATTTTCCCCAGGGGACTATGGATGATGCCGGTGACAGGCTGAGGGGACCATACCTGCTGCCTGCTGCTCCTGAACAGGTATCTTCCACACAAGGGGCAGCAGCGACAGAAGCAGAGTCAGGAGTTCTTCTCTGCACGTCAACGCCTGTCAGAAACAAAAGAATCCTTTGTGTTCTAAGGGCATAAGATACTTTTCTTCCTAATATCTGTCTTAAAAGGAACTCAAAACCACTTTTTATTGAAGAGTTGTATTTGAGAAGCAAGGAATCAAATTAACCTATCGTAAGTCTAATTAAAACTGTGATTCTTTTCCATTTATAATCCTTTCCAATGACAGAAGAATGTGAGAGTATTTGCTGGTATTTAGCACATTCTTGCTATTATTTCCAAAAATAGCTTTTATTACTACCATGCATCTTGCATGAATTCCTCACCTACCTATGACAAAACAGATTTGTTAGGTGAAAATGAAAAATTAAGCCCTATTAATTAGCAAAATGATAAGAAGAAGTTACTAGAAATTTTTAAGTCTTCATGCAGTTAAATGTAAAACTCAAAAAAATTTAAACAACAAAATGATGCTATTAATAAATAATATATATAAAGAGAAAATGATTTATTAGTGAAGGTAATCTGATAAATATTTATTGACTGCACACTATATCTACAGGACTTACTGTCTTACCCTTTCTGGAGTAAATGGTCCAAGCCCTGGAGAAGGTCCCCTCATTTGGTCCATAAAATACATACAAACAAGAACAACAGAAGGCATGTAGTATGAGTAAGTCCCCAGATGTGGTACAGGTAATCAGTTTAGGAATTCAGGAAAAGTAGCACACTTTATTAGAAATATTGACGTAGGACTGGAACTACGAGACCTGGGCCCCCTGGGCCGCAGGTGGTCAAAGATTTAATGACCAATCAAGTTAGAAGTTATTTCTCACACCAACCTGTTGAGAGGGGGTCAGGGTGATACAATCGGATTTGGTAAGGGGAGGCAGTTAATATTAGAGGCACAGACACAATGTCTAATGAAAGAGATGATGACCATCTGAAGTATTCTGACAACACAAATGGTAAAGGAGATAATATTTGAGAAAGTGTAAGGTAGGCCTAAAATGACTTGCAGTTTACTTTCTATGAGCCATAAGGGAGGGAGGATAAAAGATCTAAAAAGACTCTTCATAATGGCTGATAATGAATCACCAAAACAGGAAATTTATGAGGGATATTAGGTTGAGGTAGAGATGATGGATTCACTTTTTAAACTTGTTTAGTCTGAGATGCCTGTGGAATATCCAAATGCATTTCAGTAGACAAAGGCTATGTATTCCTAGAACTTAAGAAAAGATCTGAATAAAAACACCCGCGAGTCCTGGGTGGAATTGCACCCCTGAGGAGGACCCCTAGACCATCGGGTAGCCTGGTACAATAGTGAGGCTTCCCAGGAAGAGTGTGCAGAAACACAAGAGGAGCCTGAGGAGGACTGAGCTCTGGAGGCTTTTAAAGTCAGCACCAGAGAGAAACCTACACACAAGAAGCCTGGCAAAAGAGAAGTGGAGCCTGAGGAACCAAAGAAGAGAGCAGTTCAGGAAAAGAGAGGAGAGTTAGCAGGGTCAAAAGCTGTTATTTTTGAACTGTGTGGCTGAAGAGCATTTAGCAAAAGCAGGGTCCCTGGTGACCTTAACAATTGCAGCTTTAATGGAGTGACTAGCGGGGAAGTCCCATCACACAGTCAAAGGCAGGGGCGAAATGTAAATGACTTTAGAAGCAGTAAACCCCTGTTTAGCCCACCATTCCTGTAGAGTCCTCCTCATCTGCTTTTTATCTTCAATAGATGAACCAACAGCATTCTAAGGGAACTTGCAGAAACCTCAAAGATGTGTGAAGCAGCTCTGTGGAATTCGGCTCCTGCTCCACAACAGCAAGCTGGCACCTCACCACTGCTGTGTGAGCAGACACTTCTGCCTGCTCACCTCTGCACTACACGAGGTTCGAGCACCCTGGCTCCTTCCCACGGCTCGGGTACTCAGGCCACCTTTGAGGTCCAGCCTTGGCAGCATCTACTCTGTGAAGCTTCTCCTTCCCCAGCATCCCAAGACGACCGCTCCTCTCCTCAGAACTGCATGCCTGTTGGCCTCACTTCACCAAGTGGAGTAGTTTTCAGAAACCACGAGCCTTTCAAAGGGATGATATTGCAGCAAGAGCAGATTTTTGGTTTTTGTGCCCTCTGCTGGAATTACACCCCTGAGGAGGACCCCTAGACCATCAGGCAGCCTGGTACAATAGCAAGGAAACAACTCTCGTTTCACACTCAATTGCCATCATTTTTAACCCTATTCATCATCAGAGCAGTGCTCCCTAATCCACTGGACCTATTACTTTTTTAGATATGGTATATTCCCAGGTTTATTTATCCTTTCTGGTTCCAAAAAAAATCATATTTAATTCTGTCCTTTTGGAAGTTATCAAATCTTTTTCTATTATTTGTGGGCACCCTAGAAAACTAGAACTTGCAGGCCTCTATTTCAGATCACCTCTAGTTTTATATCTCAACATCCAATGGATACATAATAGTCATGGTATCTAGGAGAATGGGGCATACCAAGTGGAAGTGTCCCCATATGCCATACACTGATCCATTCCCCGTCATCTCTGGGCTGTCCAACCTACAGAAATATGACCTTCTAATTTTGGCCAGAGAGGAGATGATGGTATATGAAACATGGCCCCAGCTTAATTGAAGTTCCTCCTGTCAAGTGATGGAGTCTATTTCTGCATCCCTTAAATCAGAGCTGGCCTCATGATTTGCTTTGACCCACATAAGGCAACCAAAGTGATAAAATGTGGCTTCCTGCAGCTTCCCCCTCACTCTCTTGGAATGCTCCCGCCACATGTAAAGAAGCTGAGCCCACTGAGAGATGAGAACTGCAGCAGCCTGGCCACGAGCCCCATCCAACAGCCCTCCTTCATCTGCTGACTGACTGAAAATCCAGAAGTATGCCCAGCTGACCTCACAGGAGCCCAGGGGGCCACTCCAGGGTGAGCCCTGCCTGAGCTGTCAGCTCCGAGTCCCTTGTGGTTCACTGCATGTGCTCTTCTTTCTCCAGCCCTGATGTCCTCAGGCCCCCTCCTGGGAAGCCATCTCTCAGAAGCACTTGCTGAAGACTCCTCTGTACTTCCCACCTTTGGTCAACACTCCTCCATCTGCCTGTCTCTTCAAAAGCTAAGTGTTCCTGGAAAAGCCCGCTGCATGTTTTCATCTCCGCTGGCCCACAGTGGGTGCCAAGTGGTCTGCTGAGTGAACCAGTGAGCACACTGTGTCAACACGCTCTTCAAAGCCTGGTGTCTTCCTGTCATATGTATTTTCCATATTACTACAGATAGGCCAATTATGAAGTACTATAGATAAATGTGATGATACTCCAAAATATAATAAGACTAAAGAACTTTACACAGAATATAGCTGATAATCAAAGAAACCTATTAAAATGTCTAAATTAAATTTTATTCATCAACATATAACATCTGTCAGTGAAACTTCATACTTTACTCAGCAAAATAACCAACAATTTTATCAAATGTTCATACAGTTTAAATATATAACTCTGAAATTTTAAACAGTACTATTTATACCACATGGTTATGTATACTGGTCCAAATTTTAAATACTATTGGCAATAGATCATTGTTATTTTCTATCTACTGTGTAAGAATGCAGCTATATATTTATAATCAGAGTACAGAAGAAATCAGAAACCATTATTATCAAATATTACATGGAAACAATTTTTATGTTGGAAGAGATCCCCCATTCCGATCAAAGGTATCTAAGAAACACCAAAAACCCACATCACATTCAATGGTAAAATAGTGCATGCTTTCCCTGTAGTCAGACACAAGGCCAGGATGTTCACTTTCACCTCTTCCACCTGCCTTTGTTCTAGAAGCCAGCACTAAAGGCAAGAAAATAAAATTGGGAAAGAAGTGAAACTATCATTAATCACAGATGAGATTGTTTACATAGAAAACCCTGAGGAAACTACAGCAAATTTTCATGACTTAATAAGTGAATTTAGCAAAGGTCAATATACAAAAAGCAGCTGTATTTCTACAAGCAAACAATAGAAAAATTATAAGTTTAAATGTCATTTATGATAGCATCAAAAAAGAATAAAATATTTTGAGTAGATTTAACCAAGAAATGTGCAAGATTTCTACATCAAAAAACCATAAAATAGTTGGGGTTGTGGCTCAGTGGAAAGCACTTGCCTAGCACATTTGAGGCCCTGGGTTCAATCCTCAACACCACATAAAAATAAATAAATAAAATAAAGCTATTGTGTCCAACTACAACTAAAAAGTAAACATTAAAAAAAACATAAAATATTGCTGAAAAGTTTGAAGACCCAACTAAACAGAGATTTATGCCATGTTTAAGGACTGGCAAACTGACAACAATGTTTTGTCAGTTCCTTCCAAAGTGATTTATGAACTCAACATCACACCCAAGTGAAATAAGGGTGTGCATTTTTGTAGAAGTAAAAAGATGGCTAAAATTTGTATGGAATTTTGAAGAACACAGAAGAGAAAACATTCTTGAAAAACAAGAATAAAACTGGCGACCTTCACTACATAATTTCCAGACTTCTTTTATAAAAGCTGCAGTAATCAAGATAGTATGGTATTGGGGAAAGAAGAGATGACAGACCAGTAAGACAGAAAAGAAAGTCCAGGGTGAGATCATACACATATGGTCAAATGGTTTTCAACAAAGGCACCAAAGTTATCCACTGCGGAAAGAGCAGGCCGATAAGAAGAAACGATGCTGGAACAACTGGGTAACTGTATGAGGGAAGGAGGAGGAAAGAACCACAACCCCACAACTCTCACTACACACAAATATTAACTCAAATTGTATCACAAACCTAAAGGCAAAAGCAATAACCAAAAAGCTTTTAGGAAAAAAAAAATAGAAAACTAGAAGAATATCTTGCAACTTTGGGGTTGCAAGACAAAGATTTCTTAGGACACACAACAAAATCAGTATGAAAGAAAAAATAATCTTTTCCAAAGACACTGTTAAGAAATGAGGGCTGGGGATGTGGCTCAAGCGGTGGCGCAGTCACCTGGCACGCGTGTGGCCCAGGTTCGATCCTCAGCACCACATACAAACAAAGATGTTGTGTCTGCTGAAAACTAAAAAATAAATATTAAAAAAATTCTCTCTCTCTCAAAAAAAAAAAAAAAAAAGAAATGACAAGGTCACAGGGCTGAGGTTGTGGCCCAGGGATAGAGCACTCGCCTAGCACGTGCAAGGCCCTGGGTTCAATCCTCAGCACCACATAAAAATAAATAAATAAAAAATAAAGGTATTGTGTCCAACTACAACTAAAAATAATAATAAATATTTTAAAAAAAAGAAAAAAGAAAAGAAATGACAAGGCCACAAAAAATACTTGGAACTCAACAAAGACTTGTCTCCAGAATACACAAAGAACTATGACTGGATGATAATCAAATATTCAGACCTTAAAAATGGCACAAAGCAGGACTGGGGTTGTGGCTCAGTGGTAGAGCGCTCGCCTGGCATGCATGAGGCACTGAGTTTGATCCTCAGCACCACATAAAAATAAAATAAAGATATTGTGTCCACCTAAAACTAAAACATAAATATATATTTTTAAACGTCACAAAGCTTGGACATTCATAAAAGAAGATACAACATACAACAGTCTGCGCTTTCCCATGACTTTAGTTCTGCACTTTTGGTTACCCACAGGCAACCACAGTTTAATTCCAGAAATAAATAACTTGCCAATTATTAATACCATAGTATGTTGTCACAACTGCTCTATTTCATTGTTATTGCTATTAATATCTTACTGTGTATAATTATAAATTACACCTTACCATAAGTATTTACTTAGAGGAAAAAAAAAGTGTAGAGAAAGTTTGGTACTATCCATGATTTCTGGTATCACAGGGCCTCTTATAATGTATCACCCATGGGTAAGGGATGACACGTTATATATACATGCCCAATAAGTACATAAAAAGTGTTCAATATCATCAGTTGTCAGAGAAATGAAAATTAAAACCACAAGAAGATTACTAATTTATATTAATTTAAGAATAGCTAATACTAAGAAAACTGGCAATATCAAATATTAGAGAGGCTTTAGAACAACTGAATTCTCATATATTGCTTGTGAGAATAAAAAATGGTCCAACTACTCTGAATATAATTTGACAGTTTAAGTTAAGCAAACACCTACTCTTTGACCCAGCAATTGCATGCCTAGATAGTTGCCCATGAGAAATGAAAACATACCCACATAAAGACTTTTACAAGAATATTCACAGCAGGTGTATTCATAATAGCATACAACTAAATTCATAAATGCATACAACTCAAATGGTTAAACAACAGGAGAATGGTAAAACAAACTTAGGTACATATGACATTTTTAAACATATTTATTAGTAAAATGCATTCAGAGCAAAGAAATTTTTAGTGATAGTTAAGTGCATGTGTAAAGTCCGTAACATTCAATGTATTTAAAAATGTCATATTGATGCTACAGAAACCTTATTATCTTTTAAATCCAAGGTAACTGAAATATTATATGACTATATTAATTGGTTCCTGAAAGCATACTGCAGAGTTTTCTTTCCATCATATTTGACTTCAGTTAACTGTGAGTTGCTTAGTGCCTTTGCATTTGTTCTCTCATCTACAAAAGGTTAGATGAAGACTGCTTTCTAACCCCAACTAGCTTTGAAACTCTGTTAATTCTGTAATAAGGAAACAGCAAAAACATATGGCCCTATTTCAAGCAAAAATACCAATGTATGAAAAACTAGAGGAATAAACTATAGGACTCAGTAATTAGTGGTTAACACAAAAGGATTCACTGATTTCACTCCCGAATTAGCAAGTTCCCAAAGTATAATCCATATTTAACTTTTCAAAAACATATTTTATCTCTATTGAAAATGTGAATTCATATGTTTCTGAACTGTAATCTTGTATGCCTACCCACAATTATGGTAATCTCACTGCTATTAGGATAAAAAGCATATATATGAAACCACATTAGAAGAAAGGCCATTTGAAACTTTTAAGATATTTCAGATGTTTTGAAAAGTATCCAAATAAACAATGTGTACATAATTGGGGCCATTTTTTTTTCTGTTGGAGAGACATAAGAGTATTTTATCTCAAAAGAGACTCTCAGAAACTACATAACCCAAAAGTTACCAAGTTGTAATCAACTGTGTTATACTGATGAAAAATGTTACCTGATCAATGAGAGAATTTAGCTTGGTAAGTAACAGAAATCCTCGCCCATGGACAAGGTACTGCCCAAGGGTTGCCATGTGTGTCTCTTCCTCCTCTTCCTCCCTGGCCTCTGTCCTCTGAACCACTGCATTACAAAGCCGGTTGACATCGGTCAGAAATTCACGTGCCAATGAGTTACTGTCTGTGCTCATGACCAAGCTAAAAAATAAACATTACAAAAAAGGTTAGAAAAATGACTACAAATTTACTTTTAAAATTATGTGTTTTGTTGTTTTTTAAAAAATATTTTTTAGGTGCAGATGGACACAATATCTTTATTATATTTGTTTTACGTGGTGCTGAGAATCAAACCCAGTGCCCCACACATGCTAGGCAAGCACTCTACCACTGAGCCACAACCCCAGACCTGTTCTGTTGTTTTTAACAGAATTTTGCTTAAAATTTCTGGGCATTGGTCCTAATCTATAATATTCTCAGGCATGGTTCTGATCTCAAGTACTCCTTCACTAATCCCAGGTTTGTAATGCCTGAGCATAGCCAAGAAGGGGTTAAGTGACAACACCTGGAGAGTAGACACTAGTGAGGAGTGGCGGTCAAGGTGGGTTCTGACTCTCTCTTAAACAGAATAAAAATAAAACCATTACTTATGCAAAATTTTTCTTGCTTTACATGTTTTAAAACAGACAGACACACCTGTTAAAAATATAAACTGATTTTTTCATTAATAGAGCCCACAATCACTGGCCCACCCTCCCGAAACCCTAGAATTCAGTTAATAATGCTGGAAGAAGGGATGGGGGAGATATTCCATAAGATGAGTAAAGTCAAAGAATTCCAGTAACTGAAGTTATGCCAAATCACTTCTTAGTAAGTATTAAAATCAAATGTATAGCAATGTGGCATTTTAAGATGAAGGAAAACAATAAAGTAAAATAGATACAAGAAGGGGAAAACATATATAGAGAACGTGTACAAATTTTCAGAAAGGAAAATCACAAGCAACAATATATCTAAAGAGTTTCAAGATAGTTCTATCTTGCCAGGCACCCATGGCCCATGCATGTAATCCCAGCAACTTTGGAGGCTAAGGCAGGAGGATTACAAGTTCCAGGCTAACCTTAGCAACTTAGTGAGATCCTGTCTCAAAATAAAAAATAAAAAGGGCTGGGGATGTAGCTCAGTAAAGTGCTCCTGGGTTCAATCCCTAGTAAACAAAAACAAATAAGTAAGTAAAGTTTTATATTAAGGTTAAAAGTAATTTTAAGACATCTGGTAACCTTTAAAAATGTTTAACCTAGAGATGTTAAATGATATGACATGCATGCGGCGTTTGGGGCTTAAGACTACTCTAACAGTCTGGACGAGAAGGCAGTGGGCCGTGTGACTATACCAACTATCAGAAGGCAGGACAAAGCCCTGGGCCCTCACCAACTGAAGCACACCTGACTGGGAGCAGTCAATATAGATGTTTGCTCCAAGACCTAGTTGTATAGTGTTGCCTGCAAAGGGATTGGGCAAATTGGGTTCTCTCTCTTTTAGGAATTTGAATTAAAGAGTATAGTTGATGTGCTGAATGGTCACATAGAGATAAGCCTGTGGTAGCTGAGGCTCACAAGAAGCCAAATGGATAACAATGAACCAACAAGATACAAAGAAAAGCAGATAAACACTAAAGGGAGAGGCTGGAGAAATTCCTATACTACCTTGATTTCTGCTTGTGTTAGGGCCTGATAGTTTAATTCTTGGATTCCCACCTGAATTTAAGTATTATTATAATAACAAATAAAATTTGTATATATGTATAAATTGAGTATTTTTTATTATTTTTTAATTTTTATTTTCTACTAGGGATTGAAACCAGGGGTACTTTATCATTGAGCTACATTCCCAGGGCCTATTTTTGAGACAGGGCCTAAATTGCCGAGGCTAGCCCCAAATTTGTGATCCTCCTATCTCAGCCTCCCCAAAAACTGGAATTATAGGCATGTGCCCAGCTTATTATTTTTAATATTACTGAACAGTAGAAAAAATGAAAGTATAAAATAAGATCAGTCATTATTCAAAAATGCAGCAATAATCTCCATTATATACATGACATTAATTCCTGGACCTGAGTTGAGAGTAAGAAGTAAGCCTTATTGGCTTGCCTCCACATGTGACCTGATGTTTTCCTCTTGTAGCTTCTAGTATTTTTTTCCTTATTTTCTATTTAGGTATTTTGATTATGCTATGTCTTGGAGAGGTTCTGTTCTGATCTTGTCTATTTGGGGTCCTATATGCATCCTATATACAGATGTCTATCTCATTTGATATGAGGAAAGTTTTCTGTTCCCATATCATTGAAAACATCCTTAATAACTTTAGCCTCTATCTCCACATTCTCTTCGATCACAATGACTCTCAGGTTTGTTCTCTTGATGCTGTCTCAGACTTCTTACATATTTTGATCATGGTCTTTTCATTTCCTTTATTGCATACTGATTATTCAAATTCATATATCCAGTCTTCAAGGCCTGAAGTTCTATTTTCGACACAATCTAATTGGTTGGTGATGCTTTCAAGTGAATTTAAAATTGAATTTATTGTGTCTTTCATTTCCAAGAGTTGGAATTGGTTTCTTTTCAATATCTCTATTTCTTAATTGAAATGGTCTTTCATATCATGTATTTGCTCTTTTTTTTTTCTTTTTTTTGTAATTGCTCTATTAACTCATTCTTTAGATCTTCTTTTAATTAAACATTTTAATAATCAGTTTTTAATAATCTTTTTTCTGGAATTTCACTCACTTCCATATCTGTGGAATCCTCTGTTGGGGGACTGTGAATTTGGGGGGAGATTTGTTTGCCTGTTTCCTGATGTTTTCAGAAGTCTTAGACTTGTACAGAATTGAGATGGATTCCCCTTCCTCTTTTATGTGCATGGCCTTTTGTGTGTAGCTATCTTTTTTATTCTGGGATTTCTCTGTTTTTGATGTATGAGAAGATGTCCAAGAGTAGGACCTCAGGTCCCTCTCTGGTTATTTCTCTTTGAGGACTGGTTGTTGGTTTGGGGTTTTTGTATCCCCAATTCCACATGTTGAAGTATTGGTGAGGATTAGGTGAGGCTAGATTGTGTGTGGGGTGAGACTTGCTGTCACTTGTCTAAGTTGTGAGTATTGCTTGGCAGTAGGGCTTCTACTCTGTAAACTTAAGTGTCCCACTTTCCAGCCCCTCCTAGAGAAAATGAAGAACTCGGAATAGCACTAATGTTAGCAACAGGTATACAGCTTTAAGATAAATACCAGTGTCTACATTGACACCTGTAACACTAATTGTCACCTATTCAGGAATCGTGGGGTCTGCATTTAACAATAAAAAAAAAATTGTGAACTAGATCAGGCATTAAATAACAGGTGTCTACTGTCATCAATTATATTAATCATCACAATGTGAATGGGGTAGGAATTACAACAAATTATATAATTCTAATAGTGGGATTATAGCTTCTTAAGTGAAAATATGGTAGAAAGGCAAGAGAAAGTATGACATATTTTGAAAAGTGAACAAAGGAGAGGCAGGAGATAGCAGAGGTTGGCTATGAAGAAAAAGAAATAAACTATTAACTAAATGAATAAAAAATAGAAAGGAAAAGGAAAAGGAAATTTTGGCTATTAGTGGGGGAAGAGACAAAGGGGAAATAAGAGGGACAAAAAAATCAAGTCATAAACAAATAAGCAAATGTAAGATAAAAACAACTCAAATCCACATATAATTATACCTCACCTAAGTCAAATCAAGGTTTAATGATAAACAGGTGCAGAAGAAAGCAATTAAAGTAAAATTCCATATATATATTTTCAAACCTATGTGCAGTAAGAACACACTTACCCCCCTATACAAATATATACACACAAAATCTCACAGAATGGAAAAAATTAAAAAATAATAAAATACAATGAAATGATATTTGAAAAAAAATTTAAAGTGAAAACTTTTTAAAAAGTAAAAAAATGGGAATTTGGAAAAAAGATAAGAAAAAAAGAAGAAAAATCTTAATGATAAATAAAGGGCTTATTTCTATTAAAGTGGTCAAAACTATTGGCAGAGATGGATTTCCATTCTTTATATTTATCTTTGGGTTCTGACTCTGGGGTCACAGGCTGGGGGATGGCAAGTCCAATGTATTTGTGTTCTTCACCTAGCTTCCAGCTATAAAGACTAGGAAGCAAAGCTGGTTGTAGCATCTCTCAGCTTCCTGTCTCCCTGTGTAGAGTGGGACAGACTAGGGAGTGCTGATGAACTCTGTATTCCTACAGTGGGGTGCTACAGAGTTTAAATTGGAAGTTCCAATAGTTGGGGTTTAGTCCTGGCTGAACTTTGGAACTCTGTTGGTGGGGATCTGAGATTTGCTCCCTAAATTGCTGTGAAGATGCCTGCTCTGCTGGGTGTCTGGATCACTAGGCCCTCTAGTAAAATACACTTTTAGGGCATTGGGACTAACCCTCCACAGGTTTCACCTTCACTGTGATGAATGTGAGTTACCATGTGTCTTCCCTGGAGTGCCACTACAGGTGTCTTCCCAATAGCTCTCATGGGGCACCAGCAACAAAGGGAGCACTCTCTTTCTTTGATATCTGGAGCTTGGATGTTCCAGGCACAATGATTTGCACCTGTTTCAGTCAGTCTGGCTCAGGCACACTCTGGGGATCATAACAGGCAACTGCTAGGGATGCTGGCAACTTCTTTTATGAGTTCCTGATCTCCTGTCTGTGCTCACTACTGCACGGTGCTTATAAATGGTTCCCATGCCAGCCACCCTGGCTCCTGCCAGACTATCAGCATGTGGGCCAGGTGATTCCCCCACCAACTCTGGGTCCATTAAGATGGGCCCCTCTCTCTACTCCACTCCAGGTCCACTTCTTCTGCTGCGCTTCCCTCTCTCCCTGTGCTCCCCATGCTCCTCAGCAGCCAAGCTGGTACATCCCTAACGTATTAGTTTTTCCATTAGGTTTGAAGTTTCTGACTTTCTGGGTCTCTCTGGTTTCTTTGGCTGTCCAGTATTAAGTTCCAGTGAGCTCCCTCCATAACCACTTCACTGACATGCAGTCCTTCCACACCCAAGGTCTGGTGCTAAGAAGTGTGTCCTTCCTCTAATCCACCATCTTCTCTCTCCCTCTTATTTAGACATTTTGAAAAACTTTACACAAGACATTTTTACCCTTTTCTCTATTATTTTACTTTTTAATTTGACAAATAAAATCATACTTAGCATATACAGCATATTTTGAAGTATATACACACTAAGAAATGGTTAAAACTAGCTAATTAACAAATGTACTACTTCATGTTGTGAGAACACTGATATCCACCCTCTTTACATTGTTCCAGATTATGTACCATCATTAACTATAGTCACCACACTGTCACAATAAATCCCTATTATCTACAAATTACAAAAATTCTGAATTCTTCTAAGCAATGTATTTACAAACTTTCCCTTGAGTCTGACTATGTCAGCTAGCACTAACAGAACACTGGCAGGTGGACAGGGGCACTTCTACTTTGCACATGAATATTCGTTTCTTCCTAAAAGCCATGCTAAATTTAACTGAAAGCCTGTCAGCTATTCTGAACACCAACTGAAAAGTTAAACACTGCATTTTCTTTGAACTTTTTCTAATATTTCAAATACTCATAAAAGTACAAAGAATATGTACATGAAGTTATAGGCAACATCCACATCTATCAAGCATTACATCAAATTCAGGTATGTGTGTGCACGCACCAATTTGTGTGTGTGTGTGGGTGTGGGTGTGGATGTGTGTGTGTGTAAAAGAGTCAAATCTAGTACGGGAAAGTGCGCCCACACTTCTACCTCCCTATAGCTAGTGTTTATCACTGCATGGCATGTTTTTATATTTCTTGCATGTTTACAGCTATGAAAGTATTCGGTATTGCTTTTACCATTTAACAAGTGTATACAAAAAGTCCTATATGTACTATATGTGTCTGTACTTTGGCTTTCCCTCTCAACATTATATTCTTCCTTTACACCAACCTATAACATGCCACAGTACGAAAACTACAATTTATACCTCCATTTCCACGAAGGGCAAGTTTAGCTGCTTTTACTTTGGGTTTCATTAATATTCATGTAAGTACATAATTTCAAAGATTTAGATTGAATCAAGTCTTTCTGACTGCTAATATTTATTTTATTACTTACCAGTCTTTTAACACTTTGTTAACATTTAGAGTCAATGTAATTTGACTTCACAAACTAGATGAAATAGTCTTAGAATAAAGCTTCACCTATGGGGGAAAAAATAGGACAAACATATTATTGGCAATAGAAAATTAGAAATAATTTTAACAAATAAAGTTCTCACATAAAAAAACTAATGGCTCCTCTTTATATATGTTGTTTAAAATAGTCAATGAGGCTGAGGGGCAGAGCCGCCCCCCACCCCCCTCGCCTGCCAGGTAGGG